CCTAACCCTAACCCTAACCCTAACCCTAACCCTAACCCTAACCCTAACCCTAACCCTAATCCTAACAAATTCATCAATCAAGACAGGTGTGAGATGTAGGAAGGTGTGGTTGGGAGAAAGAGTCCTTCTGCACAGCTTGTGAAGGTCTGTGCAATAGGGTCAGCGCAGCAGCGGAAATTTCCCAAAAATAGCCCCATGCACAATGAAAAGGGAGGTGAGCAAATTGGCACACAAAGGACTTCATTTCAGATGCGTCTCTACAAGTTAAACTTAGTGTTGTAGCGGCAGTGGCGGCAGAATTTGTGGTTCAAGAACTCAAACAACATCTTGATCATTGTCGTAGAGAGGGTTGCAGCGAGAAGCGCCATGCTGGTCGCAGGTTGGTCGACGGAACCTAATGCCGATGCCTGACAACAGGGAAGTCGCTTGAGTGTGTTATGGGGCCGCTAGGTTGTGATGGAGGAAGCGATTAGTAGTTTGGATGAGTTTTCGACTGGCCGATGGAACTACACAGAACCAACTTAAGGCTGCGTAGATGGCGAGACCGACTTTGTACAGAACTAAATGTTTGCCGCAGCGCCCTCCATCGTTTTCGTACCCCTGAGTGAGTACGACTTTGATCGAACACTATTGTCAAAGCCGACGTCTGCAATGCTGGACTGATGGAATGATGCGGTTGGTATATCTGACCGCTCGTCTTGAGCTTGGCGCTCACAGTGTTCAGCAGCAACACAAAAGGTATCGAAAGCAATGGCGTCATCGCAAGGCTCACAGATGCTTGCTTCGGAGAAGCCCGGAAAACCAAGCCAGGCAAGCGCGCAGAGCCAGGGTCAAGATAAGTCGACACCCGCGATAGCCGCCGTTGTGAGAGGTTTGCGTAGACACGTGAGAGCTGTCAGCTAAATCAACGTGGGGGTAAGTAAGTGTAACGAACTGCCGGTTCTAGGGCAGAAGCGGGCTCCATCGCAGTACAGTGCACGACTTCCCCAGTTTGCACTGAGCAAAATTTTAGCCGAGTGGTAAGATGTCAGAAACGTTTCACGTTGCAACACAGAAGGGCTCCGGACGAGTTTGGTCTCTCCGTGCTGTGACCGGTGATACTACCACTATGACTCGTCTCGCTTAGAATTTCGTTGTAACGTTCCGCCAGCGGATACTTGACTGCAGCATCGCAGCAGAGGCCTCCTACAGAGCGGAGGCGTAAAGCAATCAAAACCCAGCTGCACGTTCGAGGAATCGCAGAAACATCTGCCTAGACTGCCATCTGTTCAGGGTTCAGGTACTTGCTCGGCATCAAGGTGTTGGAATATGAGTCTTGAATGCAGCTTATTTGCGCATGTTTGTTTGTACCATAAGCTCGTCGTCCGGTCAAGCTATCAAGCGAAACATCTCTCAACATAGTGGATGACGATTCAAGGTCTGGCCACGTAACATGCTCGGAAGAGGACCGACTGCCATCGCGAGGTAGCATTGCACATTTCCGCGGTATCGGCTATTCTCCGTGCCCTCTTGGCACGGGCAAGGGTCCACGACTCGTGTTGCGCACGTTGGTCTCTGCTTCTTTAAACTCTTGGCGCGTCTTTCAGCCCTTGCTTCGGTACGGCCCTTCTGAACGCCTCAATTCGGCTATTGGCTATGCGAGAATGCTGCAGGTGACAAAGGCGATTGCGCTTTTCCCTCTGATAACACGCTCATTCATGTTCGCGTGGGACTGCCTGCTTCTGCGCCGTGTTCCACCGGCTCAGAAGGCACCGTCGGTCAGCTGGTAAGAGTCCAAGCATGGCTGAGTCCACAAACATCGGGAGACACCGGTCAAGTATTGGCGGGCTCCAGGAGCACGATCCTGAGCTTGACTACGACAAACATTTATAACGTACTTGTAGCCCGTGAAGGATTGCCAAAACCCCCATCGCACCGCTAATCCATCTTTAGGTACGAGCCGACCCTTCATCAAGTGTCCACATCAACCCTTTCGAATCTCAGCCAATCCGCCAGTAGGCGACAGACTCATAATATCGCCTCGCTGACTCGCCTGCAGTCCGCAACGACATGTCCTTCCTGAACCCTGCCAGACTCGTGCGCAGGAAGAGCCGGGTCGAAGCTCCAGCACATGACTGTGTCGGCTATGAAGCGAATGCTGTTGACGCTTACCGCCAGGAAGACCGCCCGTTAAGAACAGAGGACTACTGCGAAAACTTCGTCAATCTGGTCGCCATCTATCTCACCTATCTCATCATCCTCACATCTGCGGCGGTTGCCATCTACTTTTCCCTGCGGGGAGAATCGTCTTTCTTACAAACCTACGATGTGCAGAGCTACCCCAATGTCGTCTTTGCGTGGAACGCTGATCCTTCTGGTACGGCATTACCTCCCGTCTCGGCTGCCGATGGAGGTTCCGCGACATGCAGCCCGGCATTCTCAGCCAGGAGCTCCTATCTAAGGTACTCGTGCACTTCAGTCGCCTCTGATGGTCGTGAGAGCCTCAGGTTTCAACTCTACTCGACAGATCTGGCGACGGTGACGCATACTCAATGGCGCGATCCGAGGCTCAAGTACTCGGACATCGAGGTGCCAACCTACTTCCTCACATACTACTCTTCCTTGGACGTTGCAAGCCTCACATCCAAATTTGGTAGTTATTTGACCACGAGCGTCAACGATCTGCCTACGAGGACTCCTGTACTAGCATCGGCAGCTTTTACCCCATCAATGACTGCCGGAACAGCCACTTCCACGTCGGCTTCCCTGCAGGCGCGCCAAGCCAGCGCTACGGTATCGAGCGCAGCATCAGCAGCAACGACTTCGGCGCGATCAATCACAAACCCCTCCGCTTCACCGTCTCTGAGGAGGATCGACTACGGTAGTGCATCCATATCGGCTGTTGCTGCTGGCACGATTGTCTCTGCCGCGCCAGCGCCTCCGCCAACCACGACGACGATCAGGATCTACACTGCAAAGCTAGAGCAGAGCCACTACATCTACTTCATTGTCGTTGCAGGTCTGGCCGCACTTCTGGTCACTCCGACGACCATACTTATTAGCTACAATCTGTCCGTTGCCACCAAGAAAGTCTTCCCGCCTGAAGATCGAGCCGTACAAGCAGCGGCGACTGCGCTAGGAGCCGCTATCACACCTGCAAAGGCCGAATCCGAGCCAAGACAGGCAACAAGGTCGACTGTGCGAGCGAACGTCGGACCTGAACGGAAACGAGTCAATAATCACAGGAGGACCTCGAATCATGCTCGGACCACCACTTCGCCTGGCGGCACCAGCACTGCTGCAAACGGTGCGACAGCAGAACTTCCGCTCTTCCAGCTCTATGGAAGTATGTCTGCTTGGCGCGAAGGCATGACTACCACCACCGAGGCGGCCAGCACTGTCGATCAGATCCAAGCGGAGCTGCCAGAGGTACCTCCGCCTGCGTATCAAGAACGCGATAGTGGCATTGCAACTGTCACACAGCTGACATCCCGGGCCCATGAGGATGAGATCGAAGTCGCCAGTGAGCCAGACGATGACTCGAACAGTACATCTTCGATAACCCCGCCCCATGTCCAACCTTATAGCCACAATTTCCGACGCGAGCAAGAAGCTTCCTTTCAGCATCGTCTTCGGCGGCGTGCACGGGGTCCTTTCGAGACCAGGACGGATGGGAAACGGCTTTCCTTACGGCTGGCGTGGATGATTCTGCCATCGTACGCCTTCCTTTTTTTCTGGGACGGAATTGCGTTCATCTTTCTGCCAATTTCGGAGCTCGCAGCGATTGGCTTGGCGGGCGATGCCTTGTTGGACCTAGCCTCCTTTATCAGGGCCGGAGGCTGTGCTGGTCCGCTGTCGACCAACGACGGAGTGTGGGATCTGCAAAAGCAGGTGTGCGGAGCATTGCTGGGACAGTACCCCAATGCATACTCAAGACCAAGGCCCGCGCTGACTCTGATTCGAGTGGGTGGTGATCTGCTCGCAATCTTGCTCGCTCTTGTGGTGATCTTCCTGGCGCAATTAACCTTTCACATCGGTCTGTTCCGAAAGTCGCATCTTTCGGAAAGAGACGGCATGGATCCGAACGACACGCCCGGCCGCTACACCGGAAAGACCGAGTGGGGATACATTGCAGTATGCGAGAAGGTAGGGCACCACGGACGGCGCGCCAACGAAGAGAGGCAAGGCGAGCTTGTGGAGTTCGAAAGAGGCGAATGACGTGTGGCGAGGTGAATGCTTGTCTTATATTGTTTCCCATCTCTGCTGCAGACCGGCTTGCTAGGATCTGCGTCGAAGTCAATTACAGCAGTATCACGACGTTTGACCGAAGGAATGAAATTTGATACTCAAGGCGGCAAGCAAGTGCATGTTAAGATTGGAAAGTCATCCCCAACTACATGAACGCTGCGACTGAAGATCTGTCTGACAGCTGGAGCAAACGCTCAACCGCAGCCTTACTGCTTTGAGGTGGCGCGCAATCATGCTTCCTGTTTGCCCAAGACGCCGACACAGCGCGTTGACCACCAGGTTGCCATCGGTTCCTGCACGCGTTCCATCGCCTTGCGGTGAGTTCTTTCAGTTTTGCCGGTCACCTTGCTGTCGCTCGACCGTGTCAATCTGCATCGAGCGACGTCTTTTCTTGGAATTCTGATGCCGGTATGAGACCCTGACTTTGCAGCTTGTGCAGCTTCTCTGTCGCAAGCATGCTATAGGTAGTAGTTGCTCTCTTCAAACTCCCCCCGCCGGTGCCTTGTGTCTCATTGCGAGCTACCGGGGTCGCATGCGCCAGAGAAGGCTGAAAAAAGCCAATAGTTAGAGGATCACTTAGAGAGCCTCGTGTTCTACCACTAGAAGCACGCCCCCATGTACGCTGGTCACGCATATATAATGACCTTGGTGGGACCGCCCTCATTCACCCCGTCTGTCTTCGCACAAGCACAACCAACAGTCCGCTGCCCAACTAGATTGATATTCATAAGAAGCTGCTCAGCGATAGCAAACTGATTGTCTTCCACCATGTCGGTTACGCGAGAGCCTTGGGTGCAGCCCGGACTCAACTACTCGAACGTAAATCATCTGGAAGACTTTTGCAAGCAAGACGGCGGCTCATGGAACGTCACTGGCAAGTGGCGCACGCCTATTCCTCCCGCTACCCTGGAGCAACTGATGGGTAATGCAACAAAACATGGACACAACTACATCGCTTACAACAGTGGCGTAAAATCCGTGCCAGGCAAGTTCGCCGCCCTGGTGCTGATGCTTTCGATCCTCATGACATTTGCATCTGCAGCTGTCGTGAGTCCGGTGAAAGGCGACTTACTACTCGAGCGCGCCACCAATGGGACAGATTCCCCCCAGCTTCAGCCGTGTGTCAAGCGAGCCGTCGAGGTGGGCGACGGCAATCCCCATCAATCTTGTCGATGGAAACAGGTCACTGGCGATTTGGACTGCAAAGGTGGGTCCTGCTCAGTGACGCACTTGGAAACTCGCAGCCTGAGCTGGTCGATCGGTTTTGGTGGTAACGGAGGTGAATTTACTACTGCTGGATTCGATGTCTCCGAGAGCTACACCACCGGCAACAGCTACACTTGCTCTGCGAAAGCAGGCGAGACGGTATGCGTGACTGCACTGGTCGGCTACACGGACTATACAGTTCAGGAGAGAATTGTCTCGGGCGAATGCACATCCGTTCACTCCGACCCGTACGTTATCTATGCGCCGAACAACTACGATCAGCAGCACTACCGTTGCCACCATGGCAGCAACTGCCACGGCTTGGATTGGGAGAAATGGGACCACAACGCCAAGTCATGCCGCGATGACTAGCCGCCTATCTACGTATCTCACCTGGAACTTGGCTTGGACAATAGGCCGGTCGTGTTTGCAGCACGCTAGACACAAGCGCTAGATTAACAAGAGCTACACGGCACGACTCTACTTGCGCCTCTCTCTCGTTGTAATAGTTGATTACGTATTGGGCTGGTGCCCACGGCTGCGTCGCTGGTCATCACCACAGTAACCTCTTTCGCGCTGCTGTCTTCCCTCGAGGCGTTTCGATGTGTTCCGCCTAACTCAGCCGTTCCTTTCTGTCTGTTCCATATTCTTGTGCGAGTTGATCGTTTTGGCCTAGTTCATGCCGTGTTGAGCAAGGGCGCTTTGAGGAGAGCCGCGTCTGAGAGCGTCTAAGAGATGGTTCAGCTGCAGCTCGGATTTCGGTAAAGGGCTCTTCGGTTGTCGGACGGTGGTGAAATTGTGGAACAGGAAGAAAGCGCGCCTGCAAGTTTGGTTCTAGCATCGCGTTGAGAGCCTGCTGCGTGTGTTGCTCGGCGCTCGGGAAAAAAAATAAACCAACACGAGAACAAGAGCAACACCGAGCGTCATCTCTCAGATCTTGATCCCCGTCACGCTTTCTACACGCCGAACGCAAAGGATTATCATCTCTTCGCCGAGCATCCATACAATCGTCGCTTCTGGCTGACCCGCTCCGTCATGGAACAGCAGCTGGCAGCCTGCCTCGAGGCGACGCTCTCGCCAGATGCCAACACGAGAACACAAGCCGAATCGCAGCTCGAATCCTTCCGATCTCCCCAGACCGACCCTGCAGGGCAAGCAGGTCCTGGCTTTGTCAAGGTGCTACTCGACGCGGGTCTTCCGATACACATTCGCCAATCCGCGGGTATCGCCCTACGCAAATACATCACGGCACGATGGTCGCCCTACTTTGACGGATTCGTCGGCAGCGCCGTGGACGTGGCTGTCAAGCAGCAGATCCGTCAGGCTTTGCTCGCAGGACTATCGGATCCCGTGCGCAAGATTCGTCTAGCGTCCTCGTATGCCATCTCCACCATCGCAGGTCCCGACTACCCCGATGAGTACCCTGATCTGTTGCCCTACATCCATCAGCTGCTACAACGCGGAGAGCCCAACGGCTTGCACGGCGCCATGACGCTCCTCTCCGAGTTTGTGCGGGTCGAGATGGACGAAATTCAAATAATGCAGGTAGCCAAGGAGATCCTGCCGGCTTTGGAGCGGGTGCTGGCGCAAGAGCAACAGCACAGTGCCCACGTTCGGGCGAGATGCGTGCTCGTCTTTCGACAGTGCCTCACAACCCTCTTCATGGTCAAGGAATCTTATCCTGACATCGTCAAGCAGGCGTCGCAGACCATGCTTCCGCGGTGGCTGTCCATGATGCAGGCGCTCTTGGCGCAGGATGCTGCACAACAGCTTGGCTCCGATCTACAGCAGGGCTGGCCAACGCTGGCACTACGCAACGAGATCTTCAAAACGCTCAAGGTTGCCGCCATGTTCCGGGCTCGGTTCAAATCGCATCTTCAGAGCTTTATGCAGTCGTCAATATCCAACCTTGTCTCTCTCCTTCCTCCTTTCAAACAGCTCTACTTGTCCAGCGCATCCGCTATTGATACGCCGACATCAGATGAGGGCGACGAAGATGTGTCTTGCGACATTCCCACCTTGGCATGCTCGATCCTCGACTTCATCAACGAAGCGTCACGAGGCGACCGCTGCCGAGATCTCTTTCTCCACGGCGGCACAGGTGGTCAGGGTAGTGAGACCGAGGTCTTGCAGCAACTCGTCGGTCTGCTTCTCGTCTACATCGACATGACGGTCGACGACGAGGACAATTGGGCCAACGACGCAAACGCTTTCATCGCTGACGAGGACGACGAGACTCTGGCCTACAGCTTGCGCATTGCGGCTGCCGACCTGCTCGGCATGCTCATCGAAGATTTCCCAGTTCCTGCATTACGAGCTATCGGACAACAGCAGCAGCATCTCATCGCGCAGGCACGCATCGAAAGGGCGGATGGCAACGAGGACTGGTGGAAAGCGCATGAGGGCGTGTTGACCGCCATCGGTAACAACGCCGACGCTATCAGCGAAATTGTGGAGACCCAAGCCGAAGGCAAGCAGGCTCTTGACCTCGAAAACGTCTTTTCTGCCGTCGTGCTGCCCAACGTCGGCAGTGATGCGCCACCTTTCCTGCAAGGACGTGGCTTTGTGTTTGCGTCGCAATTCGCCACGTCGCTCCCCTCCGAGCTTGCCGCTCAATTCCTCGATGCAGCCGTAAGCGCTATCGAGTCTGAGAGTGCTTCCCTGCCCGTCAAAATCTCGGCGGTTCGCACCGTTAAAAACTTCTATCGACACTTGCCCTCGCAGGTTGTTGGACCCTTTGCACCCCGCGTCGTGCAAAAGCTCGGGCCTCTCCTTATGCAGGCTTCTGAAGACACTCTCATCCTCATCATCGAGACCGTACAGGCCGTGGTGGTGGAAGAGTCAGACAGCGGCGATGTGACAACATCGGCCTTGGTAGAACCCGCCATCATCGGCGAGATTGTGCGCGCAGCTCTCCAGGTGTGGGCGCCCAATGCTCGAGACATTATTCTCCTGTCCGTGGTCTCGGACCTGCTCGAGTCGCTGGCTGGCTCGAAGCAACCTGGCGTCCCTCAAGTCATCGTCCAGCAGAGCTTGCCCTTCCTCGCTGCCGCCATCGGTTCCAGTCTACCGGACCAGCAAGCTGCCACCAGCAATGACGAGCCTTCCGCCCTTGCAGAGACCGCAGTGGAGCTCGCCAAGAGCGTGCTCGATGGCGCCGATCCTGCTGCACTTCGCGGCGCTGTCAACGTCCTCTGTCCGAACCTGTTCCAGGTGCTGTCCACCAGTCAGGATCGGGACGTGCTGCAAAATGGTATCGAATGTGTCACCGTGCTCGTCAAGAAGTGCACGCAGGAACTTCTCGACTGGAAGCAGCCGCAAAGCCAAACATCTTCTGTGGACCTCATGTTGCAAATCATCGCCAAGCTGCTTGTCCCTACCAATGACTCCGAAAGCGGAGGCCTTGCGGTGGGTGACCTGGTGGTGTCGCTGTTGAGAAAAGCAGGCGACCGCATCTCCCACATTCTGCCCGAACTGCTCGGTGCTATGGTGCAACGCCTCGCGACCGCACAGACGGCGACATTCACGCAATCCCTCATCGTTCCAGTTGCATACCTGATGCACGATAACGATGAGCAAGCCAAGCAGGTTATGAATTTGCTCGAGTCGATTCAGGTAGGATCTTCAACCGCCGAAGCGGATGCTGAGAGCGGCAGCGGTCTCGAGGTGCTTTGCAAAAAGTGGGTCGACAATGTCGAAACATTCCAAGGCTTCTGGGCTCAGCGTGTCAGCGCACTAGCGCTTGCCAAGGTTTTGGACAGCCGACGCTCCTTCCTCACCACCGTCAACGTTCGAGGTGACATTCTGCCGGACAACTCGGGCATCATCCGTACTCGCTCACGGGCAAAGACCATGCCGCATCAGTACACGAGCGTTCCCATGTTTGCCAAGATCGTCAAGGTGCTGCTCAAGGAATGGAGCAGTGCTTCGCGGGCGGGCAGCGGCGGCGGTGCTGGCGCAGGTCGCGAAGACGGAGCGCGTACGCCCGAGACCGACGACGAAGATGGCGAGTGGGATGACGAGTACGAGCCGAAGACGGGGGGCAAGGACGACTTTGGCTTCCTCTCAGATATGCTGGGTCCTGGCGGCCTAGAGGCGTTGCAAGACGATGACGAGTTTGGACTTGAAGACGACGAAGACCTCAAGTCTGATCCTGTCTACAGCTTGGATCTAAAGAGCTGGCTAGGTCAATACCTACAGCATCTTGCACAGGCAGTCGGACGCACCTCTTTCGAATCTCTTCTCGCACCTCACATGAATGCAGAGGAGACATCGATGCTCAACTCGATTTTGTAGTCCCCATTGCAGTAAGACGAGACACGCCACACTTTCCCCGCTTGCTAGTTCTGTATGGATGTAAAGTGCTGTGCGATTGTGTTGACATCTGGCTCAGTCGATGACGAGCTGAGCATCGACCTGTTCAAAGGAGTCGAAAAAGTGCTTGAAGAGCTGGATCTTGTACTCGACGTCCTTGGTACCGCACGTCTCACGGATCGAGTGCATCGACAGCTGCGGGTTTCCGAGGTCGAGCGTTCGGATGCCGAGCTTGCTGAGCATGGGTCCGATGGTGGAGCCGCAGGGCATGTCGTTCTTGACGACGAACGACTGCAAAGGCACCTGAGCGCGCTGTGCGATGCGTCGGATGAGGAAGGCAGTGGGGCCGGTGGTGGCGTACCTCTGCTTCACGTTCGTCTTGATGACGGGCCCCTGGTTGATCTTGGGTCGGTGGTTCTCTTCGTAGAAAGAAGGGTAGTTGGGGTGGAAACCGTGAGCCATGTCGGAGGAGAGGAGGAAGGATCGTGCGATAGCCTGCTCGTACAAATTGGAGGAAGCTGGAGACGAGGAGGACGAAGACGACACGGGAAGCGCCACTAGACGCTGGATGAGACTTGGCAGCATGTTGGACTCGGCGCCGTGGGTCGATACGGAGCCGACCTCCTCGTTATCGAAGAGCGCGATCGCACGGATCGACGAGGATGCCTCAAGCGACTCCGGCTTGGAAAGAGAGTCGATGAGGGCCTCGGTGGCGCAGAAACACGACATCTGGTTGTCAAGGCGAGGAGAGTGGATAAATTCGTTGTTGATGCCTCCAATCGAAGCAGGTTGTGTGTCGTACAAGCTGAGCTCAAAGTCTTGGATCTGTTCGACGGAGATTCCAAGCTCGGATGCGAGGAGGTCGAGGAGAACCGAATGATGCTTTTCTGCCATGACAGGGGTGCCTACCGCTTGAGGAGTCGCCTTGGCGGCCTCGGCAGCCTCGTCGGCACGCTTGTTGAGCTGCTCGGTGGCGAGACCAAGGATGGGAACCGTGTTGTCCTCGACGTTGAACTTGAATGCTTCGTTGACGGTGCGGTTGAGGTGGATGGCGAGGGTGGGAATACGAAGTATGGGTCGCTTGATATGGACGAGCTTGCCTGTGAACTTGTCGTGAGATTTGGAATCGGAGACGATGACGCGACCAGCAACGCCGAGGTCACGATCGAACCATGAAGCCCAGATGCCGCCACCATAGGTCTCTACACCGCATTGGAGGTATCCTTCCTTGGCCTTACGCGAGACTGGCTTGATCTGGAAGTTCGGCGAGTCGGTGTGAGCACCGACGACGTGAACGCCGTTCCCAGGCTGGTACTTGGCGCCGACGGCGAAAGCGACGATGGCAGACTGGTTGCGAGTGAAGTAGTACTTGCCACCGGGCTTGACCTTGTTGTCCCAGAGCTCACTCTCCTTCACCCGTTGAAAGCCAGCAGCATCGAGTCGAGCCGAGGTGGTTGCCACTGCATGGAAAGGGGTGGGGCTCGCATCGACGTATTCGAGGAAGCGGCGGGCGGCAGCGATGTCGTCGTGCTGAGCGCCTTTGTCCGCGGACCCGGCGACAGTGGTGGAAGAAGCGGCGCTCATGGTGGAGGAGGATCGAGAAGCGACGCCGGTCGGTCTGAGCCGGAGAGAGGCAGCAGAGACAAGCTTGAATAGGACGTGCGCCGACAGCTTGACGGTACTGAGTGAAGAATCGAGAGCCAAAGGTCGCCTCGATACTTGATGTGAGAAGAAACAAGTACTGCGTAGTGGATAGGAAGGATGTCGTGCGTACACGGAGTGAGCGAGAAGAGGTGAGCGTGGGTCGTGCGCTCAACTTCGGATCGGCATGGTCCGAGGGCGCCGACCTTGCCGAAAAAATTCAAACAGAAAAGCGACACGCAGGAAGAAAAGGCACAAATCAATCGCGGCACAGAAACCGCAAATGCTTTCACTCAAAACCGCAACAACTTCCAACAGGAGCATGCGAAATTGGTGCATATAGTATGTGCATGTATGTGTATGTCCATTGACGACATCCTTTACAAAGGCAGATGGTGAATCGAGCTGGTATATGACAACGATGACTGGTTCCTTTCAGAGTTGCGCCTCTCGCTGCTTGATGGTCGACTCCTCCACCACTGATGGGATATACATTGACGTGTATTGGCGCACTTTGGCCCCGACACTCTGCTCTCGACGGTCCTTGCCCTCACGTCGGAACTGCGAGAGGCGATCGATATAGCCGGTAAGCCGCGGAGACTGCGAAGGCCAGAAGCTCGGGTGAAGGGCCATGATGGGCACGGGCTTTTGATGCGACGACTTTTTGCGCAGGATCATGCCCATCTCCTCCATACGAGTGAAGGCTTGCGACAACGTAGCAGCATTGATCGACTCGAGATACGACAATTCTCCCTGCGCATACAAAGTCTTGCCCAGAAGCTGCGTGTGCTTCTCAAAGTCCTTGGCGGCGAACCAAGGCAGCTTGTCGGTGGGGTAGCCTTTGGCTTCAGCGCCTTGCGGGATGAGAGAGAGAAGCGATACAGAAGCGAGCCAGTAGCCCTCGATGAACGGCCAGATAAGGAAGAGGAAGGAATCGAAGTTCTCGCGTCCAATCTCACGCTCCTTTGCGCTAAGCTCGATCGAACCGCCCTCCTCTGGCTTGATGTCGGGGTGCTTTTCGAGGATGCCGTCGGCGACCATGCCATCGATGGTTCGGTCCACGTTGATCTCGAGCGTGTCGACGCCAAAGACAAACTCGTTGCGGAGCACTGACGAGATGAAGAGACATTCGCTCAACAGATTCTTCCTCGTCATCCTCTGCATGGGTGCGGTACCGCCCTGCTTTACCTTGGTGTAGAGGGCGGCAGCGGCGAGCGACTCCGAGACGAAAATGTGGATCACCTGGTTGCGGTAGAAGCTGAGCTCGAACCGTTTTTGCGGCACAAAGGTTGGCTCCATGACGTCCTTTTCCTCGGTGATGAGGCCCTTCATAACGGTGCTTAGCGCACGATCCACCACCTCGCCTGTGTTCATGGCACCAAAGTCGGCGACGGTGAAGCCTTTCTTGGCGATGGCCGCGCGAATCCACTCGACTCTACGGATAAGCTCGCTTCGCGACACGCCGCGACCACGCAGCGTGAGCACCACCGTGCCGATCAGCGCGGCCGGCATCACCACCGAGACCTTGTTGATATCGGCGAGCACGCGGTAGCCAAGCGCCTTGAGCAAGAGCACCTTGTGCACCTCGTTGTTGACAGGGTCAAGCTCCACCTTTTCGTCCTTGTAGCCAGGTGCAGCTCTTCGATCCTTCTGTTCCTTTATGAAGCCCTGAAGAGACCAGGGTGTGTCGAAGCGGATGTCGATGCGACCCATCTTGAGCTGAAGCAGCGAGGAGCTCCCAGAGAGCAGTCCCAAGAGCGACTCGGCCTCCTTCGGCTTGCCAAGCAGCTCCGAGACGTACGTTTCTGATTCGATGACCGAGTCGTATTGCAAGCTGACGGGGCAGATCCAGACATCGTCGGTACGGCCGTTGAGCAAACCCTCGACCACATACTTGAGGATACCGAGCTTTGGTGGGAGAAGCTTGCCGGTGCGTGATCGAGTACCTTCGATGAAGCACTCGAGGTTCCTGCCGCTTGCGAGCAGTGTCTCGACGTACTCTTTGATGACAGCCGGGTACAACTGATCGCCAGAGAATGTACGACGGATGAAAAAGGCGCCACCTTTGCGGAGCACGTCGCCCAAGACCGGCAAATCGAGGTTCTCTCCGGCAATGATGTGGGGTAGTCCAATTCCAAGCCGGAACATGAGCCATGATACGGTAAGGTAATCGATGTGGGACTTGTGGCAGGGGAGGAAGAGGATGCTCTGCTTGCGCTCGGCAGCATAGGCAGCGACCCTGCGAAGCTCGAGCACCTGCGGGACACTGATGTGGATGCCTTGGTGGTACATTCGAGCGAGGATGTTGTTGACTGTAGCTGCAAAGAATTTGATGAAAGAGAGCGAGTCGACGCGCGCCACACTGACCTGCAGGATGGCCAACGCTTCTTCTCTAAGTTGCTGTTCGATTTGGCGCTTCTTGCGTTCTTTGAAGATGGCGAGGTTCTTTTGGGTCTTGTTGGGACCGGTAGGAGAGAGAGGTGGCTGCTCTGGCAACAGATGTTCTACTCTGCTCGACGCCAGCTTTCGGATACGTTCCTGCACCTGTTCGCTGTTGAGCACCGCTCGGATGCTCTCCTCAGAACAGCCGGCGTACAAGATAGGCGCGCCAATATAGTTGGAGTAGCCACGCCAGCCGGTGCCTTGGCCGTAGGCGACGAACTGCTGTAGAAACTCAAAGGGAGACTCGCGGAAGTGTGCTTTGTACGCGGCAACCACGTTGAGATCGCCGAGCTTGTGCTCCTCGGACGTGAGGATGCCTGTCTTGTCTGCTAGACGGCGGTCCTGGCGACGGGCCGAGCCCAGGTCACCCAGCTGTTTTGTCAAGACATTCTTCTCGTCGTCAATCGAAGGCAAGCGTTCTTCTGAGGGCGGTGAAGAATTCGAGCTGCTTGATCCTTGGTGCTGATTGCGTGAGCTGGCGCTTGAAGACGTCCCCGCGGACCCGTCGCTGACCTTGACTCTTGACGAAGAGCCCATGTTGATCGACGAATCCTTGAAAGTTGGTACGGCACAGAAAGTCGCTGCTGTGGAATGGAAGGTGAGAAAGAGGTCAAGATCCCAATCTAGGCTTCGCGGATGCGACGACGGATGCTTGAGATGTGACGTCTGTACAGAGAAGGAGCCGCAGCGATGCTTTCACGGCGTGACATGCATGGTGTTCATCACTTTTTCTGCTCGGAAGAGAAACTCAACTTAAATTGGGTTTCGATGCGGGGAAAGAAAGTGCGCTGTTCGTTGGTGGTGTTAGGCCTCCCAAAGCTACCACCCCACGAAAAAGTGCACGGAGCACACTCCACATTGCGCAGCTATCTCACATCAGAACCGCTCAGTTGCAGAAGAACAGACACTCTCACAAGCGCCTCCAACTCCCAACAGCACCGCACGCTGATCGCTGTCGTCATCAAACGTTCAAAGACAGCACACACTAAACACACTCCTCAACAAATTAGCCCGCAGTGCCACGCGAGCAATCATGTCGGACGAAGAGTTCATCATGGATGATGCGGCGGACGAGGATTACGACTTCGAGTACGAAGAGGACGAAGACCTCGACGATGCCGACGCAGATATCGAGAATCGCTACTACAACGCCAAGAACATCAAGGACTCGGATCCCGATGGCGCGATACGAGAGCTTCAAGCCGTCGTCGACGCCGAAAAGGAAAAGGGTGATTGGGGCTTCAAGGCGCTCAAGCAACAGACCAAGATCAACTTCCATCGGGGACGTCATGCCGAGGCTCTCCAGACATATACGCAGCTTCTTTCTTACACAAAGAGCGCAGTCACGCGCAACTATTCGGAAAAGTCCATCAACAACATCCTCGACTATGTCTCGAATGCCACCGATGTCGGTCTCTCTACGATGCAGTCCTTCTACGACGTTACAAAGTCTGCATTAGAGGACGCAAAGAACGAGCGGCTATCCGTCAAGACCGATCTCAAGCTGGCACGCATCTGGCTTGCGCGAAAGGAATGGGGTCGCCTTGCAAAGTCGTTGAAGGAGCTGCGTGCTTATTGCACCAGTCAGGATGGCAGCGACGATCAGTCCAAAGGCACCATCTTGCTCGAAATATTTGCCCTCGAGATCCAAATGTACGGCGAGGTGGCCAACTACAAGAAGCTCAAGGAGGTCTACAACTCGACGCTCCAGGTCAAGAGCGCCATCCCGCATCCTCGCATCATGGGTGTCATCCGCGAGTGCGGTGGCAAGATGCACATGTCCGAAAAGAATTGGGCCGCCGCACAGGTCGACTTCTTCCAGGCCTTCCTCAATTACGATGAGGCCGGAAGCACGCAGAGAATTCAGGTGCTCAAGTACCTTGTGCTGGCCCACATGCTCATGGGCAGCGATATCAATCCATTCGACTCTCAGGAGACCAAACCTTACAAGAACGATCCCGAGATCGTTGCCATGACCAACCTCGTCGCAGCTTACCAGCGTAGAGAGGTGCATGAAGCCGAAAAGATCTTGCGCGAAAATAAGCGCACCATTCTCGAAGACTCGTTTATTAAAGCCTACATCGACGACGTCTTGCGAGGACTGCGCACCCAGTACATCATCGACACCATCAAGCCCTACTCGCGCATCCAGCTCGCTTACCTCGCACAGCAGCTCAATATTGGTGTCGACCAAGTCGAAGATCTGCTCATGGCGCTCATCCTCGACGACAGCATCAAAGCACGCATCGATCAAGTAGGCCAGTTCGTCGAACTCGATCGCAGCGCCAGCAGCTCGGGCAAGCCACGATACCAGGCGCTCGCAAAGTGGAACGTCGAGCTGGATCGCATCGGGACTTCGGTCCACACCAAGCATTCAACGGGAGCAGCTAGTGGGTCCGGTACTAGCGTCGGTGGCTCGTTCCTCCGCATGGGCATGGGCCTCGGCGGCATGGCGATAGGTATGGGCCCCTCTCTCCGATGATCGAATCACAGCATGAAATTCTTCGCCTCTCGTCTTGCTCTTTGCATCTTGTATTTCTATCATGTTCATCTCAACTTACTAAGCTACTCATTCGCATCGAACTGCTCGAGGTGGCTTCACAGAAGTATCATTTCATTTCGGTCGCATGATGTCATATTGACGGTATTCGCACCAGTCAGCGAGGCACTTGACTCGCTGCTCAGAAAGGAGTAAGGCAAGACGGGCGCTTAGGCGGATGCCTTGACCGTGGCGGCCTTTGCGTATTTGCAGCCGAAGTGAGGGAGGCTGTAGGCACCAGCAGAGGCGAGCAGCTTGTGCGCATCGTTAGCCTGGTACTGAGCAATTTCCTGCTGCTTGGCGTCCGGATCGACATCGTCCTGAGCATCAACGTCCCAAGAAAGGAAGGTGTTGGTCATATTGGGCTCAAAGGAAGCGTCAATGATGCCGAGTCGCTTGCAGTAGTTGGTCACCTTGGTCCAGTCGCGAGGCACGTTGGCGCAGTCGCGCGACATGTAGGCGAACGATCGCTCAAAAATGCGCGCGTTGATGGGTCCCTGCATGCTCTTTTTGAAGAGCTTGAAGTCCTCCCAAGCCTGCTGGGGCTGGGCGAAAAGGTCGTCGGCGGCGCGCTTAACGGCACGCATGAAGGCCCGCACCTTGTCGGGGTGCTGGCTGACAAAGTTGTCGTTGGCAATGTAGAGGATGGAGCAGAAGCAGCAGCATCCGAGCTCGGCGAGCTCGTCGATCCTCAGCATCTTGACGTCCGCCCTGGGTCGGCTCTGTTGCTCGCACCAGTCCTCGAGCTCCACCATCTGGACGTTCTCAAGACCGATGGCTGCGTCGACACGGCCGTCGATGATGGCCTCGGTGGCGTTCATTCCGACACGTACGGCGGTGTAGTCCTCGGGTTTCATTCCAAAGTGGCTGGTGAGCTCGTCGATCTGGATCTTGCCGAACTCGCCAACATAGCCGATTCGTTTGCCTCGGAGGCTCTGGAAGTCGGAAGTGATGCCGCTACCCTCGATGTAGATGATGCCCGTGGCGGGCTCATCCATGAGTGTGCCGATCGAGGTGACGGGATAGTTGCGCATGCCTTTGGCGGCGAGGGTGTGGATCATGGCCTTGAGGCCCATGTCGGCCTTGCCTGTACCGATGATTTCGGTCTGCAGATTTGAGCACAGCGTACGTGTGAGCTGGTCTGAAGAGCAAGTCCAAAGTGATAGATTGAAAGTGTCATTCGAGACTGTTCGAAACTTACCACATCGCTTGGGTCGTTGGGCTCGAGGATGGCCACCTTGATGCCCTCGTTGGCGAAATGACCCTGGGAGGGGAAGAAGACGACGAGCAAATTCAGTAAGACGAGTCGTCACGCGTCTACGATGCAAGGCGAGCGATATTTCGTGATACTCACCTGAGACTGGGCACGGTAGACGGGAAGATGATAGGGCACTGCTTGCCAGTTGGTCAGAAAGGTGATCTTGTCGCTCGACATTGTGGAAAGAATAGATTGGCTGAAATGATGTTGAGATGGGAAGCTGAGTTCAGAAGCACGAAGTGGGAGGGGCCCTATATATCATTTGCCGCTGGCCAACGCGTGCGCCAGACAGACCGACCGCACGAGCCAGTCGTGTTGAGTCAGCAGCTGAGAGAAGACTGGCCACAGACCAATGCCAAGGCACAATTTGCTGGCTTGTGGCTTCATCTGCCATGACTTCTGATCGTAAGGCTACCCGACTTTTTCAGTGTAAAGTTGCTTTGGCTCAGGATCTGCGCGTATCTTTGGGAGGTGGGCAGCTTGGAATGATGCCCTGGATGCAGTGCGCAGCTGCAATTGATCTGAAGGGAAGCCCAAACTTGAGTCGATTCGTTGGTTGCCGCCATCTGACTACAATCGACGAAGGGTCGCCCCTCCTGTTGCTTTCCTGCGTCGAGTCATCTAACATAATAAAATGTAGTCTTTCCGGAATGAAACTACTACAGTCGTGGCAACAAGCTCAGAGGATAGCCGATCGATTTCGGCTAAAGGCTGTAGATGCGTCTCGAAGCCCAATGGCATGAGAAGAGGGAATCGCGAGATGCTCGGCTTCTCCGACGACAGTAGCGGAAGTCTTGGTGGACTCGGCACGTGCGCTTGACGTGCACGGTGCAGTGTGCATAGTATCGGAGAAAGTGTGGGTAAGGTTTCGTGTTTCTGCGGACATGAGTAAGCTTCGCTGCGCCAATGCGTCCATGCCAGTGAGCGAGGTGGAAAGATCCGCAAGCGCCCCTAAAACAAGGGTCTTCAGGTGCGAAAGGGGCGAAAGGTCGCTATCGAGACAGATCAGGATCTAGAGGGAAACGGCGTTCACGGAGAAGAATCGCAATTTGCGCGTTCCGTGGTGCGGGGTCTCGCTTCAGGCGCTTAACCGGTAAGGTTGACGGCCACTCTAACATTCGCTCTCAGCTGTTCAGGACTCTAACATTCTAATTACGACGACGACGACAGGCCAGACCAAACGCGGGCACCTCGCATGTCTTTTTCTCGTTTAGGCTGTCATACTTCTGTAGTCTGCAGCAATGTCTATGAACGCGTGTAAGATCGATCTACGAACACTGACTACAGTAGTGAACGTTAAGAAAGTCGTCTTCGCAGCAACCACCATCTTCAAGTGTCACAAAAATTTCGACTTCCAAGATGCAAAGCATCGCTATGCACTGAGAGCGACACGACCTGCGACGGTCACCCTAGCTAATTTCAACAAGTGAGATGCAGAAGACGGGTCACTAGTCATGTTCGTTGAACGAATCAGAAGTTGAATGGCACTGTGTGGGAGAGATACGAATTCATGCTTCTTCGTCATCATACGGTTTGGATTTAGGAGGACCTTGATGCTTCTCGGGAGGCGCGATCCAGCAAGGCTCATGGTTGAAGCACTCTCGCTGGAGACGAAGTTGCCGTGAACCTGATTCAGTGACACAGATTCTTTGTGATGGGGTGGAGATTGTGGCTGTGGTAGCACGCTAAGAGCAGACCCCATCCTCTCGGCTCGGTTAGCCTGCTATTGACACACAAGCGAAACCAACCTGAAGCAATCGGCTGCAACGCATCGACCCACGAGCTGCCATCCTCATCGGCTAGCAACGGAAAAGGGGTCCCGTAGGCCGCTAAGAAAAAAGAGGAGGCGGTCGTGCTGTCTTTTTAGGTGACCGGCACGGCTCTGCTTGACGTCATCGACGCGGAGTAACAAAGTCTGCGCGCTCTATTTTTCGTTGCTTTTGTTTTTCGAGGTCCGCTCTTGCGACGTAAAAAAAATCTCCGAACAGGCCAACGGCACGGAGTGAACAGCAAACACACACGTCACAAGGGTTGCTTCTCGTGTGGATAGCCGGCACCAAAGCGAGGATCGGAAGGGCAGAGAGAGAGAGTGCTCTCTCCGAATGCCGCTTTGACATACGAAGAAAGCGGAGGTTACTTGGGTTTCCGTTGGAATGCCAGCGGCGGTCTCTGCGGCTCGCATGTGAGCAAATGACAGCTATGTCCGGTCGATGTTCTGGTGCACCAACGCAGAGCGGATGCCATGAATCCCCCACTCGCCCATCCGCACTTGTGTCATTGACGATCCGGGGAAGGCCACGACCCTTACTTCCTCTCATACTACCACCTCTTCGGCGCCTACCTGCAACCTCCTTACATCAAGATCTCCGCAGACAACATGGAAGAGAAGCGTGCACCCAGCGGCTCTCCGCCGCAGTCGTCGACGCCTGGCGGCACACACGCCCCCACTCAGCCCTCGGAGGGCGGCCATCCTCGGACCCACTTCGACGCCGAGAAGCTCGACAAGAAGCTGACGCGCATGCGTTCCGATGGCAAGGTTGAGATCACCGAAGATGAATGCTACGACGAGCTCGGCTACAACTTCCCCACTTGGAAAAAGTGGACGATCCTCACCGTCATCTTTTGGATTCAGGTTTCGATGAACTTCAACACCTCGCTCTACTCGAACGGTCTCACAGGCATCTCGGAGGAGTTTGGTGTTAGTCTGCAGGCGGCGCGATGCGGTGCCATGATCTTCCTGGTCGCATATGCCTTCGGATGCGAGCTGTGGGCTCCGTGGTCCGAAGAAGTGGGACGAAAGCCCATCCTGCAGCTCAGTCTCTTCTTGGTCAACATCTGGCAACTTCCCGTCGCCCTCGCTCCCAACTTTGCCTCGATCATGGTAGGACGCTTCCTGGGCGGTCTTTCGTCGGCTGGTGGCTCCGTGACGCTCGGAATGATCGCCGACATGTGGGACGTCGACACCCAGCAGTACGCCGTAGCGTACGTCGTGTTCTCTTCGGTGGGCGGCAGTGTCCTTGGCCCCGTCGTCGGCGGCTTTGTTGAAGCGAACCTGAATTGGCGGTGGACCATCTGGATCCAGCTCATCTTCGGAGGTGCTGTTCAGCTTGCGCACCTTTTGCTCGTCCCCGAGACTCGTTCGACCATCATGATGGATCGCATCGCCAAGAAGTGGCGCAAGTCCGGCAAGAACCCCAACATCTATGGACCCAACGAGCTTCGTCCTTTCAAGGAGCGCTTTTCTGCCAAGGAGATTCTCGTCACCTGGATTCGACCTTTCCATATGTTCCTGACCGAGCCCATCGTCTTGGTGCTCTCTCTTCTTTCCGGGTTCAGCGACGCGCTCATCTTTATTTTTCTGCAATCGTACTCTCTGGTGTACAAGCAGTGGAACTTCAGCACCGTCGACGTCGGTCTTGCATTCTTGCCACTTCTGGTCGGATACTTCATCGGCTACGGTATTTACATCGTTGCCATCGGGCACATGCGGAAACTCAAGGCCGCCAAACCGGATAGCGAGTATGCGCAGTTCGAGTCGCGTCTTTACTGGCTCTTGTTCGTGGTACCGCTCCTGCCGATCGGCCTAATCGGATTCGCCTGGACCTCGGTCGGCCCGCCTGTCCACTGGATGGGCACCATGGTGTTCGCCGCCTGTATTGGGGTAGGGAACATTTCTATATATGCTTCTACAATTGGTCAGTCTTTCTTCACGGTTCCACTATCGCTTTCGTCGTCACCAACATCAAACCTGATGATGGTGCTGCGAGCAATCAAGATGGCGACGAAGACGAGTGTTCCTCCGTGACGTGAATGCCGAATACTGACACGCGCCACAATTCATTTTCTCCCCATTCCATTTTTCATTTCATTTCACATGCAACAGATTACATGATTGCCGCCTACGGACCGTACTCTGCTTCTGCAACGGGAGGCAATGGCTGGAGTCGAGACTTCCTGGCTGGTGTGCTGACGATTCCAGCCACACCTTTCTACACCAACATTGGACGGTCAAAAGGTCGCAACCTCGAGTACGCATCGACGATCCTGTTCTGCATTGCTACAGTGCTGGTAGGGGCGGTGTACGTGATCTTTTGGAAGGGACCTGTCTTGCGCAAACGGTCTCCATTTGCGCAGCAGCTGGACGCCGAGCGAAAAGGTGCACCTGAACGTGATGGTCACAAGGAAAGGCTGACGGGATCGCACAAGAGGCCAGTCAGTGGCCTCGGCTCGCGTCGAAACTCGTACTACACGTCGCAGAACGCCGCTTCTCGCAATGCCTCTCGCAACGCCTCGCGCAACGTTTCGAGAAACCCTTCGAGGAACGTGTCTCGAGCCAACTCGCTTTCTGGCGACAGCAGCAGCGCCGAGGTGCCTGCCAGGACTGCATAGATGACATTATGCTTCCGACCCTATACACACCCTCCAACGATGATATGAATCTCCGTGCGAAGTCAAGTACGCTTTGCAGTCCAACGTATCGTCCATGTAAACCAACTCCCGTATAATGGAACCTGATCTCCAGCAACGGTTCATAACAACGCTCCGACTGGGTATGAAATTGACAGAGAGCGTCGCTGAAGCTGGCTTTGTAATGCCTGCTTGTTTCTTCTTTTCCTTTGTCGGAGACAAGCGGCGGTGCCGAACACCGTAAATACCCGTGCCTGTCGGGATTCTGTACACTTCCGTTCGGCAAGAAAGCCAGGGGGAAGCGGCATCGTACCGATTGGCGCTGCAAGTGACCCGAATAAGAACATCCGCCGAGACTAGGTGCTGACTGACCTCGCAGGAAGCTTGCATGCCAGGTTCGGCGAGTGGCCCAGTTGTGTTGCCTTGGTGAGGTAGCGATGGCTCTCGTGAGTGCGTCTGCTGCCAGTGTTTGTTGCTTCAGAGTAGCCGAGAGTCGAAAACAGAGTGTCGCAAATCAAACGCCGAGACTCTAAAGTTAGTTTTGGTGCATTCCGCTCCGCGTCGCGAAATCGATTAGGAAGATCGGCGAATAAAAAGACAGGATTGAGATTGTTCCTGTCTTTTGGGTCGATGTGCCAATAGTGCGGAATTCTTCGTGGGCTCGGATCGGAAAGGTGCGGCAAGGTCTTTGGTAGATCTGAGCAGCCTTCGGGTGCCATGGCGAACAGCATCAACGGAGGACGCCTGCCTAATCAGGCTGCTCGCAAGGCGAGTCACGTCAGACCCATCCAAGGAAAGGCGAGATCTACCCACAGCGTCTCACGAGATCGCATTTGGAACCTTCTGCACGCTGACCGGCTACAGAGACAGCGCCTACACACAGCGCGCATCGGTCATTATCATTGAAACCCATAAGATCTGCAGCAACAACGCCATGACGGGCTGCAAGTCGGGATGATCAAGGCCCGGTGAAATCTGGTTCCATTCTGTCAAAATATTCTCAAAGAGACCGCCCAAGTCTAAATTCCGTGGTGGCTCTCATCTCCTGCAGAACTTTGAGCTGGTCAGCCGAGAGCGCAGGGTGCACCTGTGCTCGACCTGCGTCGTTGCCCGACACCGCTCGCGTGTGCGTTGGAATTTTACACTCTCTTTTTGAAACCCACACGAAAGGCAGCGAGGTGCAACAGCCTCTTGCATCAATTTTCAGCATGCGGTGCAGCAGCCAAGAGCGAGCGAGTCAGCTCGCACGGCCAACTGCGTCAAAGCGAAGCGCAGTCGCGAATTTTAAGGCTTTTGCAGAGAGACCCTGTGGCTGGCCGTTTGACCGTCGATTTCCAATCGGAGCCACCCGACAGGCTCTCTAGCGTTCAGACAGTCATCGTGGCATTCTCTCTATTGTCACAATCACTCCATTGTCGCCTCGACTCTTCGTCACACCTCTTCCGTGCGCATCGCAGCATCCCAGGTCAAGCCACGGCCCTCTTCGGTAGCCACCAATCGTTCGTCACGTCGAGGTCATCTACGCCAATCCAGTCGCCACAGCCATCTATTTCGTTCGGCACCGACTACCAGGCGACGTGCAGACCGTTGAAGTTTCAGAGCGCTCCATCCCTGCCACATGATCCGAACTTAGCTGCCGTTGCAAGGAGCAATCAAACAACCCGCTACAAACCCTACTGAAAAGCGATTCCGCCAACGCTGTGCAGCGGCCGACGTTTCCCCTTGGCCTATATTGTCGCCGCGCTGCATGCTTTGCTAGGCGCACCGGTCTCTCGTCCTCTCTCCATCGAACCGCTCGCACTCGATCCTCGATCGTATCGACAGGCTTTGGCGCCGATCTTGATGGCGCTCCGTCGGCTCGCCTCGACTCTGTGAGGCGCTAAGCGTTGTGTCGCAAGCATCATGTCCTCCGATTGCTCCATCCCGCAGTCAGAGACGTCCTCTCCCTCTTCCAGCACCATTCTTGAAGCGACAACCTCCTACTCTTCATCCACCGATCGTCCTTCCAACGCTCAGCCTAGCTCACGATCGCTCTGTGATAACGGCACGCCCGCCTTCCCTGACAATCATGGCTATCTCAGTGCGAGCTACGAAGCCAAAGGCAAACGTAGAGCCAGCGAGGAAGACATCAGCGTCTCGCATTCCGATGATATTCGTCATCTCTCCGAAGGCTTAGACGATATCTCCATCGACTCGGCGACCTCATCGCCATCCCAACTGCATTCGTCAACCTCCGGACTGGGCTCTCGAGGAGCAACTCCAGAAGACTCAGCGTCAGTTAAACCACCAGATCGAGAGCGACGTTTCAGAAAGGGTCGGGAAAGTGTTTCCCGCTCCGTCGCGCCCAGTCCGCTGCGCTCCGCTTTGAACGCTTCACCGACCACAGGCAGTGCATCCCAGTTCGTCTTGCTCCTTGGTCAGCCTGCCTCAGTCTCCGCCTCGCTTTCTGCACCCAACAAGAGTTCAACGGCCACCACATCTGCCGCATTACCCTCCCTCTACAAGGCCAGCCGTGGCCGAAGTGCCAATGTCAGTCCCAGTCGTAGATGGGATCGTCGCGGTGCCAGCGCTACTGTCCTCAGCGGCGCCAGCGCAAGTGGCAGCGGTGGCGAAGGCGACGAACCGAGTGACGAAGACACCACAAGTCGACCAGTTGGACAACAGCACAGAACTGACGAGCGAGAGATCCGGCCCTCCTCGCGCTCATCGAACCGTCGCCTCTCGGTCCCAAGGGAAGAGGCCCTTTTTCCTTCTGACGACGACGACGACGACGAATCACCACCGTTCTCGCCTACAGAAGAAGTAAGAAGCGGGCCTCTTGACCAGATCGAAAAGCATCGCCGCCGGTCACGACGCTGGTCCAGCACCGAGCGCGATCGCCGACGAGGCATGCGCATCCTCTTGCAGGAACGCAAGAACGAGATTCTAGACTCTGTCGAAACGCTGCGTGTCTCACGATCCAAAGCTTCCGGCCGTGGCCGAACTCGATCCACGACGCGTGCCAACAGCGCCAACGAGGACGACTGCTCCGACCTCGAAACGTCCTCCTTGCCCTCCAGCTGCACTAGCAGCTGCGATCTCAATTACGTCCCATCGCGATCGCGTGCAGAAACGGTCGCCATTCCTATCAAGGAAGCCAGAAGCCGCAGGAGCAGTCCGAGAGGCGGTGCACAAGATGCTTCGGTGAGCGTTGCATCCAGTCTGGGCCAAGTACCTTCTTCCACCGATGGTAGCGACGATCGTTCGCCTGCTGCATCAACGCCGTCCACCTCGCTCATCCAGCGGAGCCCTCCTGGTTTCACTGCGCTCAAGCCTATAGTCGCTATTCCGGTGCTTTCCGACTCCGACCCTCTCCTCGGTCTGTCCACGCCCAGCGTTGAAGACATGATCCAGGTAGACCAGGTCGAGTTCTTCCCCGAGGAAGCCATCTCAGCACAGCTCGCCTCAGCCAAAGTCAAGCGAAAAACGTCACCAAAGCGCTCCAAAAAGTCCTCCTGGATCATCGGAGACTTTGAGAGCGAGCCTGAGAGCGATGAAGACCCCAAGCCGGCGAAACGTAGCCTCGACAGTGCCGTTGACCGCCGCAACGTCACCGCCATCAGCAGTTCGCCTCCGTCATCATCGCCGAGCAGCTACCAGGCCCGCCTGGCAAGCCTGCAAAGTCAGCTTCGAATCTGGTCTCGCACTCAGGACGCTCCTGTACAATCCAGAGTCCGCCAAATTTCGTCTGGCTCCGAGGATCAAGCGGATGCTGAAGCTGATGCCAAAGAAGGCGAATCGAATGGCGCCAGTCTCTTGTCCGCCAGCTGGCGAAATTTGACGCGGCTGCCGAACCTCATCCTCTTGCCCGGTCTCGCTGCAAGACAAGCGCGCGAATCTCTCGCCTCGGCGTCGAAAGCTCAAACCAACGGCTCCGACGGCAGCAACTCTGACGCTGCCGCTCCCTTGTCGTCGAACGACGACTTTGCGCAAATTTATCGACTTGCCAGCGCCAGTCAAGGCCTCCCAGACGAAAAGACGCTACAAGCTCAACGCGACGTGGCTCTGAAGACTGGGAGGCCGCCCTCGCCATCGCCCAGCCCGTCTCCTCCCACGTCTCTTCTAGGCTCACGTCAGAGCAGCAACGACAGCATCAGCACCACCGATAGATCGATCCAGACATACGGTCTGCCCGGTAATTCCCGTCGTGGTAGAGGTGTTGCATCACCTCTCGAAGCCGACCGCGATCCGTCTGCCTATGTGTCTGGTCTCGGCCAGCCCATCGACCCTGATACCGAGCTGTCATCCGTCGTGCAGCTTCAGACCTTCCGCAGTCGAAGCAGGAGCCGACCAGCAGACGTAGGCCAAAGAGGTCGCTCTGACCAACAGCCACGCAGCGCCTCACCGCGTCATTCTGCCGACAGGGATGGTCACGAGTTGAGGCAAGGAAGGCTGTCTCCCAAGAAGCTTGGGCAGCCTGTCGAATTGGAACCAACTCATGAGGAGACGGCGCAGGGCCCTAGTGGGATCCCTGCCAAAGCTGCGGCATGGTCGTCAGCGTGCACGGCAAGAGCACCAGAGCTGCTCGCAGTTCAGATTCCAACACCAGACATTAACGGATCTCTCGCAAGATCGCGGCTCGGACGGCACGATGTTTTTGGCGAAGGCCCGAAGCCGACAGACACTGCGTCTGCTCCCACTTCACCTACCTATCGAAAGCAGGCTCTTTCGTCTTCGGCGACAACCAGTGGCGATGAGACCGACAGCGTCCCGTCGCCGCCGAGCCAGGGTGGAATGGAGGGGGATGCATCCCTCGACGTGGATGGATTCCGCGTTGTGCGGCGCAGAAATCGTCGAAGATCTTCCGGTCCCAAGTCATTGCGACCTAAGGTCGACGCACTCGTCCCGCAAGGCTATTCTGCTTTTGCCATCGATGAAAGCGAGGAAGCTGCAGAGGGAGCGGAATCGGATGGCGAGACGACGCCTTCGCCCACGCCAGCTCGTAGGAGCCGAGCTCGGCGTGGACGTGCCTCTTCGCCTCACCGGTCCACGCGTCAATGCGCTGTGGGTCTGTTTGGCGGAGGCATGCCCCAGACTCACTCCTCCTCCTCCTCGAAGGAGTTTTCTCCGTCATCCTCTCGATCGCGTCGGAGCGGGAACAGGGAAGGATCGCATATCAGCATCTCTACACCTATTCGCAGCGTTCGATCGTCGCCTGACCTCACGTACGCCGCAGCAGCTGCTGTCAATGCTGCACTCGGGGGAGACCAGGAAGGCGAAGCACAGACCAAAGGAGAACCCTCCCCACCACGTGGATCGAGGGGACGCAGGGGGGCTGTCAAGGTCGTTGCGTCTTCGGTCGGACAGCGTGCACCACCTCCTCAACCTCTGTTGCTCAGTGGAATGGAGGGCTTGCGTCGAGGACCCTCGTACCCACCTCGTGCCGGCGAACGCTTCGAAGATGGAGCTGCCGCTGGGACTGAGGCATGGGAGGAAGACCCATCATCGTCGACCTCAGGAGGTGCTGCGCGCGGCGGACGTGGTCGTAGTGCGTCCAGCCCTACCTGCGGCAACGCATCACCGCAACCCTTGCGCTTCCGACTTCTGAGCAACTCGTCGCATCTGCTCATGCTGTCGCTGGAACTCGACATGATCAAAAAGCAAAAGATTTCGGCGCCTCTGAAGCCACGCTGGGGCAAGCATCGTGCCAACGACTTCAATCCGCTGCCTTCCACCATCTCGTCCGCATCATCTGCCGCCCTCTACGCCACGTCCAAGTATCTCCGCTCGCCCTTCACGGCCTCACGTGACGACAAGGAGGTTGACGGTAGTGACGACAACGAGACGGAAGCGGGCGAGTGTCACAATGCCCGATGTTCGCCATGTGATCAAGTCGGGTCTCAGGTAGAGTTGGTAGCCCCATCGCTCACGATTGGCACAGCTGCAGCCGCAGTAGCGGTTCATCGACCGGCGGGCTCGTCGATGGCGTCCGGGCTGCGCAATCCAAGAAGCAGACTGCGCTACTCGTGGAGCGTTGCAGACATCGCTTCGGTACTAGATACCGCCGCATCCGTCTAGATTTGGTTAAACCTAACTGCACAAGATCACTATGTCCCACACTTGACACGACAGGGACCGTTGACTTGGCACCCCATTTATACGCACTACATTTTCTCTCGCTCTTCTTACAATTTGCATGCCTCGAGACTTGTTCGCACATTCAATCTTGCACCAGACGTGATGACGGTTTGTGTCGGAGTAAAAACGAAAAGTGAATTCCATCGTATCCATCTGATCCTAAGCAGGGATGATTACAATCACTTGAACATGTCACTCGTATCGGCGTTAGCCATAAAGCTCCAGACACCCTCTACACCGAGATCGTTAGGATCGTCCTTTATGGTGATCTCTGGTCTGCCCGGGATGCGACCGTTGACGATTAGATCTTTGCTTTCATCCAGCGAACCCGTTTCTTCCGGCTTGATCTTTTCGTCCGGTGTATCTTGCGCCATGGGAGGACCTTGGAAAACCATCTTGCCCAAGCCAAGGCTCAACTTGAGCATGTTGACTGCCGGCTGGAACTCCTGCATCTCGACTTTTTGAGCCCCAGAAGTCTTGGCCTGGATGTCCCTCAGAATGTTCTCGGTAGCAATGTCAGCCATGTTCCAAGCTTGGTATCCGGCGTTCAGCGCTCCGAAAGCATCAGCGACGTCGCCGATAGCGTACACATTGCTGAGCTTGCCGGACTCGTGACCGAGGTGCTCGGCGAGGTGATGCTCTTCGCCATTGTTGAGGTCGGCACCGTGGGCTTTCTTGTCGAGGAAGCAGTCGCAATCGCCACACGGTGGTTTGGCGTCAAACGGCTGCTGCGCTGCATCGCGTGGATCGGGTACTGCGACTTGCAAGCTTCGATGTACGCGGACAAGACGACTGCCGGGATCGACCGAGCTCGGGCTGAGCTTGGCCATCAGCGACGAGTTGGGCTGCTGACCGGTACAGAGGAGCAACAGATCGCATTCGAAGGATTTGCCACCGGTGGTGCGGACGAGCTTGCGCCCGCTGCCGATGCACATACCTTCCTGATGAGCCTGTTCGCCTTCGCCCTTCGCATCGCCCGTCACGCAGACCTCTACTTTGACGGGCTTGGCAGCCTTTGCGGCCACAGCGGTACCGTTGGCACCGACAGCATTGGCTGCCGAGTTCTGCACAGTGGAACCACGTGGGCAGCCTTCGGTGAGAGCCAGACGCTCACCGAGCACGACATTGACACCAAGCTTCTTGAGCCTATGATAGGCAATGTCATGGACGCGCTCATCAAAGTTGGGCAGGAGCTGCTTCCTCGAATGGATCAGGGTGACCTTCTTGCCTGGATGCACCGAGGCGATGTCAGTGGCGAACTGCACGCCAAGAGCACCGCCACCGACGAGGACAATCTCGTTCGAGTCTTTGACGCGGTCCTGGATCTCGCGCATCCAGTCGGTTCCGTCGGCCTTGAAGCGAGCTTCGGTACGAAGCGGATCTGGGAGGTGACTGCCGAGCGCGTAGACGAGATGCGAGTAAGGGATCTGGACACTGTCGATGGCCCAGAGCGACTTCTTCTGCGAGAATTGAGACAGATGGTGAGACGAAGAGGACGAGGTAGGAGTGACAGTGACGTGGGTCGGAGAGATGTCGGTGACGGTAGCCTGTAGAACAATGTGAGGCGACGAGTTTTCGAATCCTTTCGCAATATTGTGTTGACTATCTCGCTCGTTGTGACCATCCAAGTCGAGACCATGCTCGACGGCATCGCTGAGCTCTGTGACCTGAATTTCAGGTCTGCCCAACTTTTCCTCCTGACGTGCTTTGGCGGCACTCTGCGCAAGCTCGGACTCGAAGCCTTTGGAGCTAGCAACCTTGATGTCGGTTTCGATGTACGAGGAAGCTGCGGTGCTGGCTACGTCGTAGGCGGAGCTGCCGGAATCTGAGTCGGCAGCGCTGGAATCCGTAGAGACGGACAGCTGAGAGGAGTGCCGACTGTCCTGCGAACGGCCGCGAGACGAGACGGGCGAGTCAGAGCGAGACGCCGTCACATCTTCATCGACGCTGGCGTTGAGCGAGGCGGCGGTCACTGGGGAATCCTCAGGAACATCGGGCATAGAACTTGGGGTTGAGGCCGAAGCGGCGGCTCTGCGTGAAGAACCGAGTCTGTGGTCCGACGATGACGAGGTTGAGCCCATCTCGAGCGCGTTGCGCGTGACGGTGGATGCAGGTGTAGCAGACGGAGCTGGATTCGGTGATGGAGCCGAGTGCTTGGTAGCTGCGGCAGCGGAACGGCCGCGCTGGAGATGGGATTGTGGACGAACAGGAGCATGCTTGAAAATGCTCGAGTAAGGGATGAAGGCCTTGTGTTCGTGTCCTGGCAGGACAGAGAAGCGTGGAAAGACGTAGAGATGGTTGAAATGCGAGTTGCGCTCGATGAGGATGACGCGGTGAGTGGGAGGCAGCTTCTGGGCCAAGACGGTGGCAGCGTGCATACCACCATACGAGCCACCGAGCACAACTACATTCTGCGTGTGCGCTTCGGAGGCATCTGCGGAGGCTCCAGAGCGAGTATGGATGCTATTGGATGGACCTGCGATGGCTGATGTGGATGTGGAAGCAGAAGCGTTCGGCTTCTTGATTCGAATGGGCTGCGCCATTGCTGATGAGAGACGCACGCGCGTGCTGCTGGTTATATTGCGTAAAAGACCTGTGGAATCGGTGGAGAAGCGTCGAAGCAGCGAGCCGACGGGAAGCGAGCGAGACGCTCTGGAAGCTCTCGACGGAATCACCGACACAATGAAAGTTGACGTAATGGTGGGACACCGCAGATCTCGAGGTGGCGAACCTGGCCTGATGGAATTGTATCAGGCTGAAGATGCGTGCGCGATAGATCTAGAAGATGGTGGCGATGGTATTGATGGAAGTAGCGCAGAAGGTAAGTACGACGCAACGGAGCTGTTCGGGTTGGGTGGAAGTCGTTTGGGACTTGGCAACGAGGAGAAGGCAAATGCACCAGTGAGCGTCACGGCTTTCGTTCAAACGTGAATCATGCGGCAGGATCAACGGCAGCTCAGCAGTCTCACCGAGCATCGACAAGGGAATTTTGAAATTCGCATTTTTGTTTCTCCACCGCAGCCGGCCAGCCCGCCACACACACCAAAAGTCGGCAGACTGTCTCTCTGTCTGTCTGGCTGTCTGCCTGCCTTACTGTAGTTGGCTCGGACCGAGCTTTCGCCTGAACCGATTGGGCCTCTTCTGGCAATCTGATTATTTTGATGATTGGTTCGTTCCTGCAAACCAAGCTTCCGACAACGCCGCCGAGTCAGCAACTTTGATCATGGCTCGCGTTCCCTCGGATGTTTGCGCATCGCACCTCTCGCTCTGCGAACCGAACTAGTTTGTGATCACATAGCGGAAACGCGCCGGTGCCGAGTCAATGCCCTTTCTCCCTCGTCAATGACCCGACCTTGGCAGACAATGATGTTGGCATTCCTCTGAGCACTCGAGATCGACAGTTGACTTCCAAGGCTCTTCCGTGCTGACAATGTCCTCCTCACTTGCAAAGAGGTAAGATGTTTGGCTATGCGGCACAAAGGAAGAGGCTCGACGCTTGGCCCAGATGCAGATGAGGCCAAGCCGTGCCAGCGACCGCCAAGAAATCGACGTGCAACCTCGCAATCTGATAGGCCAAAGTGGGAGGAGCATTTTTGCATCTCTCTGGAATTTACGCAACCAGCCGCGCCGTTCGAAATCTGATAAGCGGAGCAAGACGGATCTGGATGATAGTCTCCCTCTCTCGCGCTGCACATTTGACGCGAACGATCAGCAAACGTGCAGCATCCTGAGGAATGGTCCGAATCGACTCGGCGTCCTTTTCAAGGCTGGCAACAATCGTGCAGTGTACGTCCATTTCGCAGAACGAGACCGCACTGTGAAAGAGACATAAGAATGCCGACTTAACAGTTTTCTGTCAACTTTTGGACCCGGCCGATAGATCATGGGCCCCTTCGTGCTCACGTCGGGTGTCGGGGCGTTCAACGCGTTTTGGCTGCCAAAATTTTTGTGGTTCTGTCAAGGCGAGCGAGACAAGGTTTTGGAAGAAAGCTTCGAGGGGTGCAACAGCAGCTGCCGCCTGGACCAGGGTCGTGCGAAGAAATTTGTCCATGACTGACTCCACAGCGATTTGTTGAAGGCGTTTTGACAGCTTCTTTTGGTGATTCCAGCCAAGCAAGTGTTGGCAGCAGCAAACCCAACTCGTATCGACACTGCCGGCCGCAGAACACCTTCTCTTTCTTCTTCTTTCTGGTGGTCGGCCCACTCCGAACTCACTGCTCCTTACCATCCGTCCTCCGCCTCTTCGGTGCTCCACATTTGTCGCGCGTCCATTTCGTCTCACACCAGAGACGACCTAGCATGCAGGCGCAGCACGAACCTGCCCACAAGCGAGCCAAGATGGCTTCCTCCACCCTCAACATCCCCCTCGAGTCGATGCTCCCATCGCCCGCACCGCTCCGCGTCCTTATCCTCGGCTCCGGCGGCCGTGAACACGCCATCGCGAACCACTTCCTCCGCTCGACCCGCGTTGAGCACGTCTACTGCGCTCCCGGCAACGGCGGCACCGCTACCCTCGGCTCGCGATGCACCAACCTCGACTCGCCCAAGGCCTCGGGCGACTTTAGCGAAATCACCGCCTGGGCTGTTCAGAACGGCATCAACCTCTGCTTCCCCGGCCCTGAGCAGCCGCTCGTCGATGGCGTCGAGCTAGCTTTTCGCAAGGTGGGCATCCCCGTCTTTGGACCCTCGCCCGTCGCCGCTCAGATGGAAGGATCCAAGACCTTTGCAAAGGCGTTCATGGACAAGTACAACATCCCCACCGCTGCGTTCCAGTCCTTTGACGCTTCTCAGGTGCAAGAGTGTCTCGCCTATATTCAAAAGCTCGGTGGTGCTCAACAGGTCGTCCTGAAAGCTTCCGGCCTGGCTGCCGGCAAAGGTGTCCTTCTTCCGGAGTCTGATGATGAGGCTCGTCAAGGAGTCGAAGACATCCTCGTCAAGAAGGTCTTTGGCGATGCCGGCTCGTCGCTTTTGATCGAGCAGAGACTCGTTGGTCCTGAGCTGTCCGTGCTCGCATTCTCCGACGGTTACACCGTCACTGCTCTTCCCGGCTGCCAGGATCACAAGCGCATCGGTGAAGGCGACACTGGTCCCAACACAGGTGGCATGGGCGCCTACACCCCCGCTCCCGAAGGTCTGGTCGACGACCTCCCCGCCCGCATCCGCAAGGAGGTGCTCGTCCCCACCATCGATGGCATGCGTAACGAGGGCTTCCCCTTTGTCGGCATGCTTTTTGTCGGACTCATGCTCACTGCCGATGGTCCCAAGGTGCTCGAATACAACGTCCGCTTCGGCGACCCCGAGACAGAGGCCGTTCTCGAGCTGCTCGATGAGTCGCAGACCAGCCTTGCCGATATCGTGCTTGCCTGTGTCGAGCGCCGTCTTGACTCGGTCAAGCCCGTCGTGCGCAACCAGCACGCAGTCAGCATCGTTCTTGCCAGCCAGGGCTACCCCGGCAAATACCCGACCGGCGTTCCGATCACCATCGGCGCTGTTCCTCAAAACGTCACTGTCTACCACGCTGGTACCAAGATCGATGCCAGTGGACAGCTCGTCACCGCCGGTGGTCGTGTCATCGCCGTCTCTGCCTTCGGTGATTCGCTCCAAGAGGCCGTCGAGCTCGCCTACAAGGGTGTCGACGCCGTTCAGTTTGAAGGCAAGACTTTCCGTCGCGACATTGCACACCGCGCTCTCAAGCCCGCCGCCAATTCGAACGGTGCCGGGCTCACATACGCCGCCGCCGGTGTCGACATCGACGCAGGAAACTCGCTCGTTGAGGCTATCAAGCCTCTAGCCAAGTCGACACGCCGCCCAGGGTGCGATGCGTCGCTCGGCGGCTTCGGAGGTACGTTCGACCTCAAAGCCATCGGCATGCGTGACCCGGTGTTGGTCTCCGGTACCGATGGTGTCGGCACCAAGCTCCGCGTTGCACTCGACATGAGCAAGCACGACACGGTCGGTATCGATCTCGTTGCCATGTCGGTCAACGACCTGCTCGTGCAGGGTGCTGCTCCCCTCTACTTCCTCGACTACTTTGCGTGCTCCAAGCTGAGCGTTCCCGTAGCCACTTCGGTCATCTCTGGTATCGCAGAGGGTTGTCGACAGGCCAAGTGTGGCCTCATCGGAGGCGAGACCGCTGAGATGCCTGGTATGTACGAGGGCGACGACTACGATCTCGCAGGTTTCGCTGTCGGTGCAGTTGAGCGTGAGGCTCTGCTGCCTCTGCTCGACCAGCTCAAAGCTGGTGACGTGCTTGTTGGTCTGCACAGTTCCGGAGTTCACTCGAACGGTTTTTCGTTGGTCCGAAAGATCGTTGCCCGATCCGGTCTTTCGCTGTCTGCGCCCTGCCCCTGGTCTGCAGAGAAGGATGGCTCTTCTCCTGCCGCCACTCTGGGCGACGCACTGATCGCCCCCACACGCATCTACGTTGATGCTCTCACACCGCTCTTTGCCGAAGCACAAGGCCTTCTTGCTCTATCGCACATCACTGGCGGTGGATTCACAGAAAACATCCCACGAATCCTCTCGCCAGGTAAAGGTGTCGAGATCGACCTGTCATCATGGCAACGACCGGCACTGTTCGAGTGGTTGCAAGCCACGGGCAACGTCGATCCTGAAGAGATGGCAAGGACGTTCAACAACGGTATTGGCATGGTCCTCATCGTCCAGGAAGCGCAAAAGGAGAGGATCCTGGGAATGCTGAGCCAGGCGGGCGAGCGTCCTGTTGTCATGGGCCGCGTGATCGACGGTGAAGGTGTCCACTACAAGAACTTGCAGAGCTGGTCGCTCTGAAAAGCTCTTCTCCAGCGTCGGCGCTTCCGAAATTGTATTGTGCTTTGTTCATAACGAAAAGAATCGAAATCTCATAGATACCATCCAGTCACTTTCCCTTGAACTGACTCGAGACACTGTAAGCGAGCTTGTCGGATGGTCCGACATGGCGCTTTCTGAATTCAAAGGGGATCTCACAACACATTCATCTTCCGCTTCTATATTGATGCCTAGTGCGCATTGATCGATCTGGATTCAAAGATTGACTCAGGCCAGAACATCGCGCAAGTCGAGCTTGATACCTGGACCTTGAGTAGAGCTGAGGTGAACCTGCTTGATGATGCCTGCTGCCTTCTTGAGCTCTCCCGGAGATCGGTTACCGCGTGGCGCATACTCTTTCGCCTGACCCGCTCCTTGTGCCGCTTGCTGCGAGCCCAAGGTGGGAACCTTTTGAACGATAGCATCGAGCAGTGTAGTGACGTTCTTCTTGACATCCTGCTTGTCGAAATTGAGACGACCCACCGCACCTCGGATCACGCCGACCTTGTCAGATCTCCAGTCCATGGCACCTTTGGACTCGCGGATAGCGTTGAGGATGGCTTTACGGTCATCGGCAGGGACCACTGTGCCACGACGAGGGTTGGGCATCAAACCTTTGGGACCCAACGATCTCGCGAGACCCTTTGACACCTCTGAGAGAAGCGTGTTGGTGCAAAGTACCTTTGTGAAGCCAGCGACTCGGTTGTTGAGTACCTGCGAGATGAGTTCTGAGCCACCGAGAATGATACCTGGCTCTGATGCCGAAGATGAAGATGCAGCCTCGTTCTGGACAATCTCTTTGACCGCCTCGGCAGCATCTGAGCCTTCCTCGGCGAATACGAGAAGGCGCTCCTGCTTTGTCCTCGGATCTTTGGGATATGCGATTCGACCTCGAAGGGCGTTGGTCTGATGCGAGGAGACGGATGTGACGATGTGCACCTCGAAAGCGTTGAGCGGTCTCTTGGCAGCTCCGTGTGCCTGCAGCTCTTCGCACGCCTGCTCGAGCGTCAAAAGCGTCTCGCCCTCCTCTGGCTCCAGATTGTTGGATGCCTTCTTGCCAGACTTGCCGCTTGCATTTGCAGCAGCTGCAGCGATTCCGCCTTGCCTTGAAGATAAACGTGGAGCAAGAGCGGCAAAGAGTGCCTGGTTGCGAGGTGATTTTCTGGCGGCACCACGAGCGCGGTTCGACTTTTTCAATGTGACAATTGAGGTGCTAAAGGATCGGGAACCTGAAGAAGATGTTGAAGCGAGCGCCCTGGCGGCTGCACCGGGTACGAGGAGCGACATTGTTGATAAATAGAGGGGTGGTGGTGGTGGGATGGTGCCGCGGTGGTGTGCGGAGTAGCAGGTGCTTGATCGATGTCATTTCTTCTGGTTCGTATCGGAAAGGAAGAAAGCCAAACGACTTTTCAGGGCCGCTTACGTAATACGGGTGCGTCCAAGCAAGTCGCAGTCACGTGTCGGTTTCGCGTTGATTTTTGGCGAGAATCTAATATTTCCGGGCTGAGCAGTGTGAGAGTTGTGTTGGTGTTGGTCGAATGTGATGCTCGGATGCAGGGACTTTGCATTCGCTACCTGGACGCTAAAAATGTGGATGGCCTGATCGTCATCACAACCATCTCATCACCATCCGACACCGAACAAGCAATTCCAGCTTCGAAGCCTTCCGCGAAGGAGCCTCGTACTTCGGTGATGTCGTTCCTCTCCGGCAACACCAAAAAGGTGTCGGTGTACGGTCGCAAAGCCGAAGTCAGGGTCGTGAACCGGCACTCCACCTTCACCTCGCTCGAGAACGACGAGAACGATCCTTTTGGCTTTTTCAAGCCGCAGACAAAGCCCAAGGTCACTTATGGTAAATCCCGGGCATCCGTCTTGCCTTTGTCTTTGGGATCGAACGGCGCAGGATCGATTCAAGACACTCTCAGAGACCAGTCTGCGGCAGATCAGAGCTCGGCTTACGAGACGGCGGACTCCAGCTCTTCCTTTCACTCGGCTTGCAGCTCCACTGCACCTTCATCTTCGAGCTCGAGCCGCTCGGCCAAAGCGAAGGAGCCGTCTGAGCAGAGAGCAGCGCTCGCAAGCAAGACCTTGAACAAGGACGAGCAGCCTGTAGCCAAATCGCAGAAGCGGTCGAGCCCTAAGAAGGCTCTCGTTCGGAGCGCAATCGATGCGACACCAAAAGCACGTCGCACCAAGTCCAGCACAGGCGCAGTTGATTCTCCCAGAACCGTCAGAAAGCCCGTTCCTGCCAGATCATCGACACCGACCTTGCCCAATGAATCAACACCACCACCCAACCAGCCCGCCGGCAGGTCATCCCGACGAGCAGCACAAGCAGCACGTATGGCGATCCAGGACTACGACTTCACCGACAGGGACATGACTCCGCGTCGACCCGTGCCTACCAAGTCGTACTTTGCCGAAAAAGCTCGACAGCTGGCCGAGCTCGCAGCGCAGGAACAACACGAGCGTCCGCAGCCGAAAGCTGTGAAGGAAGGAGGACGCGTACGGAAATCGATGGCTGCGAGACCGCGCAAAACGACCGCTCTCGGCACATCGGCATTGTCGGCGATCTCCATCTCCGACTCGTCTCTGTCCTCAGCCGCGGGCGTTTCAGACTCTTCGTTTGAAGCTGCCGGAACGAGTGAATCATCCTTGAGCATGATCGGTCCCAGCAGCGATGATTCGTACGCCTCGACAGAGAAGAGGAGGAGCGCTGCAGCAAAGGCGAAAGCCAAGCAGAACAAACGCGTCACCCGACGCATCGCGGCGAACAGCGACGATGAGGACGAGCAAGACGACAAGCCAGGCTCAGACGACGAAAGCGAGCAAGATCCTGCCAATCAACTCGCGGCTCAGGTGACCGACCTGGCCGTCTCGGATGGTGACGAGGCGATCGGCAACACCAGCAGCCTTTTTGGGCTCCTTGATTGCGTCTCGCAGTCCAAGCCGAAGTCATTTACAGAGGTGATCCAGCAGCTTCGTTTGGGCACTGCTTCTTCACGTCGCCGTGTCGAAAAGATTGGCGAAGCAAGCTACAGCGAGGTCTTCAAGATTTTCGCGTCGTCTCGAGCCGAACAAAGCAAACACGAAGCAGTCGTGCTCAAGATCATCCCTATCTCAAGTCCGAACTCGGTCGACGGCGTAACCGTCAATCGAGATGACCTACCATTCACCTCACCAGCTGCCGACGTCGAGCGCGAGATCCGGCTGATGCAACTCGTCGGAAGCGGATCTTGTGCCTCTGACTCATTCGTATCGCTACGTGCGGCACACATAGTTCGAGGATCGTATCCCTCCGCACTCATCCAAGCCTGGGATCGCTGGGACGACAAACGACGCACAAAGACGGGTGAAGGCGCAGAAAACATCCGACCAGACGTTCTCGGACGACAGCAAGTCTACGCCTTGCTCGTCATGACCGATGGCGGGATGGATTTGGAGAGTCTCAGGGTGAAATCTTGGTTGCAAGCAGCTTCCATCTTTTGGCAGGTGGTGGGCGGATTGGGAGTGATGGAGTCCAAGTACGAATTCGAGCATCGTGATTTGCATTGGGGCAACATCCTCGTGCAGGGCGTCGCACAGGACGTCTCGACCAAGACTCACAGTCGAGGCGACACGTCGAGCTGGTTGCTTGATCCAAAAGTCTCTGGAGTCAAGGCTACGATCATCGATTTCACCCTGTCACGTGCTTGTACTGTGCCGGTCACCACGAAGCAGAAGGCGAAAAAGGACGATGTGCTGCACTACCCTTTCGACGACGAAACGCTGTTCGACGGTTCGGGCGACCCACAGTTCGAAGTGTATCGCGAGATGCGAAGCGTCACGCGCGGTTCGTGGCAGAGCTACTTCCCAGCGACCAACGTACTTTGGCTGCGCTACCTTGCGCATAAGCTGGTGGATGTAAAGTGCAAATCGCACGGGATACCCAAGGCATCTCAGGTCAACGGAGATATGGATGCTCAGCGAGACTTGCAAGCTTATACCCTTTTGCAGAAAGCAGTTGTCGATTTGGATGGCGCTGCACAGAAGCTGTTGGAAGATGCGACTTGTTCGAGGAAGGTGGCCGCGGGAGGGAGGAAGTCGCTTCATCCTCAAGCCAGGAAATCAGTTTTGCCATCTTCCGCGACAGGACTGATGAGGAGAGGTAGAGCGACAATGGCGCCTGCGGCACTATTCGAAGCGTCAGAAGAGGCAAAGGCGTCGAAATCGGCTGCTGAGCTCATGTCGCTTCTTGAACAGTAGCACTTGTTCCTTTTACCGTTGCGATTCTCGTAGAAATATACCCTCATTACCATGTGGACAGCACCAATGAACCAGACTTGTTACAGTTCACTGGACCCGACCTGTTTTGTGATGATGAATGTGAATGAGACGAGGAATGTAGGTGGAGTTTTAATTGACCTCATTTTCCTCTCCGATTTTCCACGAAAGTTGTTAATCGTCCGCATTCTGAAATTGCGGGGTTGTTTGCCGGTTATTCTTCGCACCAACCTGTGCCGGTTCCGGTTGTCATTCTCGTTATTCTTTCTGACCTCATTTCCCAACACTTCGGCCCTTGTCTTCCGCCCACTTCATCTTCATTCGTACTAAAACTCGCGGATCGATCGAATTTACTCCCGTCAGATCCCCTCAGAACGATCCATCGCCCACCATGTCAGAAGCAAAAGGCCCCTGGCCCCACACGGTAACCTACCAAACACGATGGCTCGACAACGACCAGTACGGTCACCTCAACAACTCATCGTACTACCTCATAGCCGACTCAATCATCAACGCCTACCTCGTCAACGCCTGCGGCATCCAGCCTTTCATCCAGCCCTCTTCCCCCTCCTCCACCACCTCTACCTCAGCCACTTCAGCAGCTTCCGAGAAGGACGTGTCGAGCATCGTCGGGTTGGTGATCAGCAACTCGTGCAGGTACTACGCCTCGTGCAGCTTCCCTACACCGCTCAAGGTGGGCTTGAGAGTGGTCAAGTTGGGCAAGAGCTCGGTCACCTACCAGGTCTCGATCAGTGAGGAGGGTAAGGAGGTGGCTGCGCTGATCACCTCCACGCACGTGTTCGTGGACAGACACAGTAGGAAGCCAGTCGCTATGCCGGGAAGGTTGAGAGAGCCATTGTCAAAAATCTCGGTCGAGTCGGAGCAGTCACGGTCTAAGCTTTGATGGGCATGGCGCTCACAATCAGCTCAACGCCTTACGCTTCCCATCTGGCTGCACGCACACACACACATATCAAGGCGATCACAAAACGACTGAGGATCAGGATTTCGGAACTTCGACCATCGACGTAGACAACCAAATGTCCCGGAGGCGAATCATCTACATGCTGCCGGATCCATCACAAACCCTGCGCAGCGATCCACTGTGCGATCTCCTCTGCCACCATCGGCTGGCTGTAGTGAGCCGTGATACCGTGACCCGTGTTCTCGGCAATGTAACTGGTAAAGTTCTTTGCGTTCGGGTAGAGCATCTTGACACCGCTGGGGATGTCGGTACCATTGGGCCCACCCCAGCAGTTGCTCGAGCAGAAGATAAAGTCCTTGGCACCGTTGACCACCTGAACGGGTCCGGTGAAGTTGCTCATGCCGCCTACGGCGCCTACGGTGAACAGCGAACCCAGGGTGACGGCCTGTTCGGTGGAGCGAGCGAGGTCGAACGACGCTTCCGAGTAGTAAGGCGGGTAGAAGAAGCCGTTGATGTCCGAGGCGTTGCTGCCAGTGACGAGCCAGATGTCGGATTTGTTCGCCAGACGATCGGGGAAGATCTTGTTAGCGATAGAGTAGGAAGCGGCGTGCAGGTAGCCGGGCAAGTTGGTAGAGTTGGTAGTGTAACCGGTCAGGACAACGGCGTCGAGCAGTTGAGGTGTCATCATCGACACCGCTTGCGTCTGGATCGAGCCGTAGGAATGGCCGATACCGACGATCTTGTTGTGCTTCTTGCCACCAACCTTGGTGGAGTTCCTCAACTGCTGCAGCACACCTTGGTAGATGGCTACCTCGGTCTGGGCACGTACGACGTCGAAACCACCGGTGCTAGGCGTCTCGCTCCCACCGGTACCCAACCTGTCGTACCTGAAAGTGCTGTATCCGTAGCTAGCAGCGTGTCGGACAACACTGTACTCCTTCGACAGAGTGTAGTCCCAGTAGCTCGAATCGAATCCGATACCGTGGACCAAGTTCCACAGCGCACTGTCATTCTTGGCACCTCGAATGGGCGTGCAGTAGTAGCCGTTGATCGAGAAGGTGCGGTTCAGGTTGAACGTGGTGTTCATGCTTGGACCGTGTGCGGCGGTCCAATTGGCTTGAGCTTCGGTAAAGTCGATGACCTGTCGAGTGATGTACGACTGGTTAGAGTAGTTGTTGTCGACGTTGGTGAAGTTGGCGAGGGTCAGGTTGACGGGGACCGAGAGCTTGACGTTCTCGCATCTGGCATTGCTGAGACCGTAAGGTCCGGCGGCTGTCGAGTTGCTCGACGTGCCGTTGTTGTTGCTGCTGCTGCTGCTGCTGTTGCCGTTCTGGCGAGCGTCCAGCCGGATTGAAGCGGCATAGACCACGCTCAGCAGCGGGAGCAAGGTGAGCAAACTCTGAAGGATCAACATGGTGTACGTTGAAGTGTTGTTGAATAGATGCTCCCCCAGAAGCAGCAGCAGTGGTTCCTATATATACAACGTCTCACAGCATCGAGAATGCAGGATCGTATGATTCTTCAGCACTACTGCTTAGCCATCATACGTGCTTTGACACCTTCAACGCCGCTTAGTCAGTCGCTGCCACCTCATACGGCAGACCGATCGCACCGACACGGCGATCGACATGCCATCTCTCGTTCTCAATCCAAAGTGTACATGTGCGGCTGTCAGACTCCTAGCGCCACTGACCTAGTCTTCCCGCCCCGGGGGTTAAGTCGGACAGTGGCTTAACCCCGCAACCCAGAACCCTCTCTTCTTCCACATCCTTAACGAATGCTCCACTTTTCTTGTAGGGTGTGTGCCTCATCTCTGCTTAGCCGATGCTTTGTTGTGCGGTTCTTTCTCGGCGATTCGGTTAGCAAACACAGGATCAGAGAGCTTTTTCTTCGGGGTCTTGTCTGACGTGCGCGGATCGCCGTTCTGCTCGCGCTGAGTTGACGCCGGAGAATTTTTCCCTCCACACAGCCGTTGGTGATTTGCGGGGCAGCAACCGCTCCCCTTAGTGAGGATCAATTGGAAAAACGACGTCCTCGTGCAGCGGAATTGCCGTCGGTTCTGCGGGAGGAAAAGACGCATAATGCCTCGCTTCGCTCGAATTGCTGAGACACCATGAGCGAATGATTTCTGGAGATCCCATGATCGACAATTTTTCGCTCGACGCTAGCAGCGACCCCTCATCGTCAACGTCACGTCATGCTGGTCCCAAACGAGTCCAACTTCCTGCAGGAGTCACACGGTCTTCAATGCAGAGGCCCCCAACAAGCGCCAATTTCCGCTGCTCTCTACACACTCAATCGACATGGTTTGGCTGAACATCTGCGCGCCGACAAAATGGCATTGCGTGAACAGAATCTGCAATGGCATCATAGCTCGCCAACAATCTCTTCAACTTCTCTGCCGTCTCCTGGAGCCTCTTTGCTGCTGTTGATGGAAGCGGCGCGCTTTCGTGTGGCTCTGGTGCTTTTGCGGCTCCCGATCGAAGGCGGTCCGCTCGACTTGGTAGACCTGGCCTTGGCACCGGTGCTTGGATTCGCTTCGGTTGCATCAATCGCCGCGGAGTGGGTGCCAATTGCCGACGCAACGGGCTCTGACGCTGGTTCGGGTGCAGAGGGCGCAGGCGTAGAAGTCGAGTGAGTTCTTGTCGAATTGCGCTTCTTTTTGCTGCCTTTGCGACCCGGCTTCTTGCCCAGCCTGCGACGGATCACCTGTTCGTTGCCATCGTCGTCGATCTCGACCACCTCTTCGTACTCGTAGCCGTCGTCACCATCGTCTTGTTCGGCGTCGCTACGGTCACCTTTGCGGCTAGAGGCGGTCGCAGTGCCCTCACGCTTCTTGACGGCCACATCCACCGCCGTCGCTGCAGCGGCGGCAGCCAGCGACTCAATGTCGTGCAGATCAGCTTTGATTTCGGGCGGCGGACCCGAAAGGTCCACACCAATGGCCTGTGCGTACGCTTCGAGATTGACGGGCACCGAATTTGTGAGCGCCTCGTCGACCAGCTTTGCGTTGCTCTTCTCTTCCACGTTGAACTTCTTCTTGATCATCACCCTGTCCCGACCGGGAAAGAGGCGAGCGATCATCTCGAAATCAGTACCCCACTGCTGCAGACATCGATAAAATTTGGCCGTCTCGTCCGCTGACCATTTCTTGTTCCTGCCGAGCTTGCGTGAGTAGGTGGAAGCGTTGACGAAACGGTCCCCCTCTCGTTCGTCGACGACCTCCATATTATCTCGATCCTCCTCGCCGTTGCCGTAGTTGGCAAAAAGGGAAGTCTCGTCGAGCACAATCTTGCCGTCTACGATACGCGTCTGAACAGCAAAGCGGTTCTCGCGGAACGATACTTCCGTGGCGGCGACCGATGGTTCACGCCTTCTGCGTGCGCGACGACTGCTCGAGACACCCTCTCCGTCCGTGGTTCCGTCTGCGTCAGTCTCGTCCTTGTCCTCGTCCTCTTCTCCCGTCTGCTCTCCGACGACTTCTTCTTCACCCTGAAGCGCCTCTTCAGCACCCGTGGCGACGGGAACGCCGTTGGCCGTTCGGATGATGTTTGCGGCTGGCGCGGGCGACGGCGAAGCGTGGTTGACTTTCTCGCCCAACACGTGCTCGCCGAGCAGCGCCGACTTGGCAGCTGCGCGTCTGTCATGTACCAGCCTCTTGTAGACGCGATCCGCTTCGAAGGTCCGTGGACCAGCGCGACCTTTCCTGTAGTCGGCCGTGCTGATGTCGGCCATGGTGATGTTTTCCGGATCGATGCGGCTGGATGCGAGCTGTTCACCTTCGTGAAATACCTGCTTGCGATACTCTTCCTCATCGTCCGAAACGGTGTGTGGCTTACGAGACGCAGTGATGCGACGCTTCTTGCGACGGATGGGTTCGCCATCCTCGTCGATTTCCGACGTCGTCTCCATATCGCTCTCGTCCTCGGGACCAAGCGATACGCCCTCTGGGTGTGCAAGCTTCCAGGCGTCGAGGGCCGTGTCGTACTGCTGGCGCAGCAAGGAAGCCTCTGCTTCCCATTTGGTTCGTTGCGCAGGCTCGAGCTCACGCCATTCGGCGGCTATCTCGGCTGTGAGCTCTGTGAGGGGCATGTCCGGATTTTGAGTCTGTCTTTGCGAGCGCACCGAATTGACGAAGAGCAAGTAGGCGGATAGAGGACGCCTGGGCTTCCCAGAGGAGAGCTCTTTGCGCTTGAGTCGGCGTTTTTGCAGACGAGCAGCCGCATCGAGTCTACGTTGGGCTGCACTCGCAGCTTTTTCGGCATCGGTGGCCAGCGCAGCCGTACCAGCAGCCTGCGATCCAGCCTTGACACCTTGCGCCGATGCGAGGCCGTCTCCCGCTTTGCTCGTCTGTGAGATTTCGCGCGCCTTTCCTTTCCTGGACGAGGAAACAGGATTGGCGGTCCCGTTCAGCTCGGTCAGAGGGGCCGATGGCGCAGCAGCAGTCACCGCTGCCCTACGTTGAGAACGCGAGGATGGCGCGGTTTCCTGTTGAGAGGCACTCTCTTTTATAGCGGTCGTGACCTCGGCCTGCGTAGTGCTTGCACCTCTTGACCTGCTAGATCGGAGCGGCACTTGCAGAGGATCAGGCTGGGAAGCCTTGTCGATGATGAGATCGGTTTGGAGCGGAACCCGGGTCGCGTCGGCACGAGCCGGAGCTACCTCTGAAACTGTGTCGCTTGCAGCGCCGCCGACACTGGGAGGAATATCGGTGCGTGTCGCGTGCTCGCTTAGCGGCTGCAAGGGCTGTGACGCAGGTGCGGGAGGGTGCGCAAAGTTTGGCGCCGGAGTGAGGGACGCCCTGGAGCCTGGACGAGGTTTCGAGACGGATGGTCTGCGGAACACAGGCTTCGCTTTGGAAGCGCTGGATGAGGTCTGCCCGGCGGTGACGCTGGTGCGAGTAGTCGTGCTGGCACCTGGCTTGTTGATGATGGAAGGAGAGACATTGAAGGCATAGCTCTTGGACGAGCCAGCTTGCGTCGCAGATGGTTGTGAGACCGACGGCGGAATTGCAGTAGGGGCGACGGCCGAATCTTTGCTGCGAACGGATGGTGGGCGCGAGTGTCGGGCTGTGACTACGGGAGTAAGCGAGGGAGATGGAGGGGGACCACTGGAGGAGCTTGGAGTGGGTTGTTGTGTAGGAAGTGCCGCTTGCGGTGAAGCGGTCACTGGTGTTCCGCCACTTGTGGCAGCTCCTCCTGTTGACTTCCTCGGGACGATGGAGGGCTTGAACCGAGCACCACCCTTTTCGATACGCGACGACATGATGGAACGCGTCCTTTGGAGATGATCGAGATGAGGGCCAGAGTGGATGATTCGCGGTGGTGTGATCAGCGCGAGAGTCTGGTGGTGGCATACAGCTGAGCTGATGGTTGCTGAACGCTGATCGAAGGCAGGGCGATGAAAGTAAGGAGCGATGGAAAGGATGGATGGATGATGGCTGAGCAGAAGAATGATGCTGATTGTGATTTCAACTGAAAGCGCGTCTTCAGGGTTCGTTGCTGCCGTGCATTTCAGCGTGCATTTCGACTTTTTTAGGCTTGTACAGCAGTGCGGTCTCACTCGGACTCAGACCGACTTCCGAGAGTGATGTTTGAGCTCGGATTTCGGCAGCTCCGCATGGCGCTCGTGCTGATGCTTCCAACTTCTTCCCACGTCGATCCTCCTCGTCCCGTCCTCATAACCTTTTATACGAGGCAAAGGCTCAAGGCATGTCGAACTCGCCGGCACCTCCGTCATTTGGCGTGGGCATGTCACCGCCTTCCGTTCCGCCGCCGGGGATGTCCTCGCTACCACCACCACCGTTTGGAACGCCCATGGACCAGAGCGTTGACTCGGACGAGCCACCACCGCTGCCATCAGACGCAGGTCAGACGCTTTACGTCCAAAACCTCAACGAGAAAGTCAAGCTCGAAACCATGAAAGCCACTCTCGCCAACCTCTTCTCCAACTACGGCACCGTCCTGTCGGTCGTATCGCACACCAACCTTCGAATGCGAGGTCAGGCGTTTGTCTCGCTGGATGACGTCAAAGCGGCGGACAAAGCTCGACGCGAAGCACACCTCTTTCCTCTGTACGGTAAGGCCATGAAGATTAGCTTCGCCAAGTCCAAATCGGACGCCGAGGTCCTGCAAAAGCTCAAAGATCAGGGCGGACAAGATTCCGAAGAGTTCAAGCAGCACAAGGAGCAAAGACTGGAGCACAAGAAGATGGCGAGAAGAGGCAATGTGCTCCGAAGAAGGGAGCTCGAAAAGAAGAACAGAGCAAGGAGAGCTGCCGCCGGAGAGATCGCAGAGCCTGAGAAGGCAGCAGCTAAAAGGGCCCAACACGAGATGCCCGACGAATACCTTCCTCCCAACAAGATGCTCTTCTTGCAAAACATCCCAGATGGCGTCGGCAAGGGGGAGCTGGAGAGCTTATTCTCAGCGTAAGTATCCAACGTTGATAAGTCCATCAGCCGCTCGACACTGACTGACACCCTCATTGACTTTCTTCTCCTCGACCTCCGCAATAACCTTGTCTCCGTAACAGATACACGGGCTACGTCGACGTTCAAACGATCCCTGGCAAGGCCGACATCGCCTTCGTCGAGTATTCGGATATTCCGTCAAGCGCAACTGCTCGTGGCGCACTCAACGGCTACAATTTTGGTGCTGGTGACAAGCTCAAAGTAAGCTTCACAATGTTAGGAGAATTCCATCCTGTCGTGATCGTCATTGCTGACCATCCTCACCCTTTCTTCCGATCATTCCGTAACAGATCACATTCGCAAGAGCATGACGGACTTCTCCAGTCCTCTTTGTCTCGAAAGCCACACGATCGATCCGCATTTGCACGGCGCGGATACGTGTATTTCTACCTCGACCCTTCCGTGGGCTCAATCAATCCTCAATTCGTGTACTAGTAACACCGTCAATTCATATTTGCATGAACCATTGTCTCCCCTCTTGAATGACGTAGAGGCATCTCTTGACTGTGCTGGCAGAAAGCGTGCTTCCACGAAGCCGTTCCAGTATGTATGGCGTCAGTGTGCGAAATTAGCGAGAAGAATCGCGTGCCTGGGACCTCGGAACGCGGCTTTTCTTTTCGCTGCGGGCTTGCAGCTTTGAACGCGTTCTGTCTTGCATTTCGCACGTCCATCCAACACCTCACTTTCCAGCGATCTATTTAGTCTCTCGAGGAACTCAACGCCGATCCTGCAGACATGTCAAGATTCGGTGGACGATTCGTACCCAACCTCGAGCACGAAGTGCGCCGACAGGCTACCGAGCCAATCGTGAAATGGCGCCAGGAATGGGTTGTTCCCACAGGAACCGCACCCGATGGCAGCGCGTCATCGTCTTCCTCTACTACGGTCGGTGTCAAGATCCTCAAATGGGTTCGCGCACCGGATGAGCTCATCACGTTCCCCGAAGAGCAAGATGTGCTGGCAGAGGATCGAGTAGCGGACGACGCGGCGATTGTGGAAGCGCCCGTGCAGAGTATCCACAACGCGCCGGCTGTGGGAACGCCTGCTGCAGGAGGGTCGCTCTCGAGTGCTGATGGTGGGCTGGGCACTATCGCTCCAAAAGACCCTCCAGCCGCACCTTCAGCAGCTGTGGGTGAGGGAAGCGAGGTTGTTCCAGCCTCTGCGATCCCAGCACACGTCACACAGTCTACTTTGTCAGAACCAAGCTCCAGCGTCAACACCACCGTTGACAACACCCCCGATGACTCCCTCGCCCACACACCAGCCGCTTCAGCACTCGAACCGAGCACCACACAACCACAGCCGCTCAGTCAAGCACCCTCGTCTCAAGGAGAAGCAGGGACTGCAACAGGCACAGGATCCAACACGCCCCAGATCCAACCACAGGTCGAATCGCAGCTCCACGACAAGCCCGTGCTCGGTCAGGAGACCGACAATGCTACGCTAGCAGTGCTAGCCGCAGGCGCAGAGGCGGAGCAGGCTACAGCAGCGCAGGAAGAGACGCTCTTGACGACGGATCCGGCCGCTTCGGCGCCTGCCACGACGTTCGAGGACGAGGTACCGGTTGCAGCTGCTCCTGCTGGTGATGTCGAGATGAAAGACGCTTGATGCGGGGGTTGATGCACTGCACAGCGATTCCTCATCGCGGAACGCACGTAAGCTGCTTGACAGGTTTTGTATTCTATCCCGTGACCCAATGATACACAACCAAACCTTTTATGCCGTGCCGACATCGAGCCCTAGGCTGTCGTTTCAACCGTGATGAAAGTCGCCAGCATCGTCGCATCCACTCTCATCACTCTCCTGATCTCTTCCCCCTCCTTCCAACTGGGATGCACTTGCCAGCCATTGACGCACTCGTACTCCTTCTTGATCTGACTGAACTCTCGTTCGAACCTCGGCTTTTTCTCCGCACCACCCAAATCTTTGTCGAGACCCAAGCATCCGAATTCGTTCGAACCAGCAATGACCAACTGTCCCTCCGTAGTGATCCCAAAGGATCGACCGTTCGATGCGGCTATTGCGGTGAGCGAGAGCTCATCCTTGGGAGCAGAGGGGAGAGGGATGAGTGTGGGTTCGGACACGATGTTGGTGTCCCAACCTTGATTCGTCGGGCTGGAGTCGAAAGGCAGAAGAGGGGAATCTTCGTTCCATCCCCATCCGTAGAGGTCGCCGCCGGAGGTGAGGACGAGATTGTGTCGACTACCGGCGGAGATGTTTGCGATGCGGGATGGGAAGCCTTCGTGAGGTGAAAAGTAGGGTACTGGCATGAGGTAGCGTACATCGGTCGTTGGCAAGTCGGACGAAGGAGATTTTCCTTTGGCTTTCGTCAAAGGTAGCTTCCCTACAAGGGTGGTGTGCGAGAATGGTTGCATCGGAATGGCACCGAATCGAGCATCGCCGAAGATCCATACCGGTGAAGGTGTGCGGCTACTGTGGGAAAGCAGCGCAAAGTGTGCGTTGCCTGCCGAGATTTTGTCGAACTTGGGTAGTGGAGCCGGTGCTTTCGCTTCCTTTGCAGGGCTGCCCTCGGCACAGGGATGAGCTGTGAACCGAGCCGCCTCTCTCGCTGTGATTGCAGCTTCGCTCTGTCCCGTCGTGATCCTGAACATGGCCACAGAGTCAAAGAGATATACGCGCCCCTCCAGGTCTAGTGCCATACACCGACCTCTCCCATCGACCGCTGCCGTTTCCCACCCACATCCCTCGATCATCTCATATCGTCCTCCCTCTTCCTCATCATCTTCTGCGTACCTCAGAAAGCAGCATCGATCACTTTTGACATCCAATATAGCCTCGAAGATGTCATGACCTACAAACACAAGCCTATCGTCCACTTTCGTGTCTTGCAGCAAGTCCCGACAAGCCTTTTCGACGAGCGAAGGTGCTTCACCGTAAGCCTTGATTTTGCCAGATTTGCTGCGACAGACCGTCTGATACGTACACACAGCTACCACGGATGCAGCATCCTGCAAGATGGAAGATTGTGAAGTGCCGTCGTCTTTGTCTCGTGGGATCTGGTCGAAGAGGTTGCTCCCCCACGCTAGTACCTTTGTTCTTCGGTCGGCCGTCTGATCATCTGCCATGTTGCTAGTCCAGACATAGTGTCCTTAGAGCGTAACGGACAGCAGCGGTCTTGAACAGACGTTGACCGGCAGCTGTTCCTCGGCGCGAATGATGGCCTGAAGCCAAGAGACACCTCGAAAGGGCCCTCGCACGAAGGAGAGAAAGTGTTGGTGTGGAGGCGAGCAATGCGATTTTCGGCCGGCAGACCATCTTCAACAAAGGCGACGCGAAGAATTCCTCTCGACCGTCAACGCTTTGTCCACCTTCCTTTTACTCGACGACCATCTCTTCCTCCTATCACGCTGAAGCAGCCCCCACAAGAACTCCTGCAGGATTCAATCAAGATGCATCCGGCGATAGTGATCTTCCTCTCTGTCGTGGTGGTGCAGACCATCGCTGCGATAGGCAAACAGAGGTTGCAGGACATCGTAAGTCTTTCCCAACATCCAACCCGCAATCCTCAGCGAAGATCAATCAAACTGACACCATGCCCGCCGTCCTTTTTCTTCACAGCTATGGCTACTGTACACATCGCTCTTCCACCGCTCGACACTATCCGCACAACGTCGCCTTCGTCGCGAAATCCTCACCACCAAACAACAGCTCTCCGCCACGTCTTCCCAGGACCAATTCGCCAAATGGGCAAAACTCCGTCGTTCGGTCGACAAACAGCTTGCGACGCTCGAAGCCACCAACGCCACCCTCACCTCCTCTCGATCAACCTTCAACATGGTCGTCTCTGGGTTGCTGTTCGTCGTCACCTCCATCTTCCCATTCGCGGTGACGAGCTGGTACTCGAAGACACCGATCTTCTGGCTACCTCCCTCGGAACACAGCTGGTTCGGCCCCGTCGGATGGTTCTTAGCCCTACCGAGGGCACCGAAAGGCGCGATCAGCAGTACCGTCTGGCAGATGGTCTGTTCAAGGACGCTGATCGCAGTTGTAGGAGCAGGTGCCAACTTCATCCCTGGAAAGAAGGAGACTGTGGTTCCGCCAGTAGGCGAAGCCAAGACCCAAGAGTTGAACGAAGAGAAGAGCGCGCAGAGTGGCAAGCCACCCTTGACACCGACAGAGGCGTCAAGCGGTGGGCCAGCGAGAAAGAGGACAAATGCCCAGTCTGCTTCTGTGTCAGAGAAGCATGATCTTTGACGTTGCCATTGCACGCCCGTTCTCACTGTCTCTCGTCTTCTGCGCAATCGCATCAGCCGCCATATCACAGCAAAATCGACATGCTCGTTTCAGAAGGATTAGATGCCGTGTGCGAAAGGGTACAAATACAATTACAGTGAGCTCAATGATGATGACCTTCGCCGGCACCCAAGCTGGCCAACAGACCTTGAAGCATCCTAGGCGTGCACGCTCCGGCGATGAGCAGTACGATTCTGAGCCACTTGCCCAGGATCTGAGTCTCGCCCGGCGCATCTGCACTGGCCGAATGCGTTGGAACGGTGTCGGCTTCAGCTCCGGCGAGCTCGAGTACGGCGTGGAAAGCGACAAACAGGAAAGTGCCACCAGAGAATGCCAACGCGGTGCCGATACTCTTGCCGTCGATACCGCCCTGTGCATCTGCTGTAGCGCCGTGTACGGCGGAAAGGCCAGAATCGAAGAACAAGGCGAGCAAACCGTAGGTGACTAGCGCACCGACGGGGGATGCGAGGGCAAAGATGGCAACAGCTTTGCGGATGGATGTGCGCGAAAGACGCTGTGACATGAGCATGGCGCACAATCCGAAAGCTGCGGGTGCCTTGTGTACCATGATGGCGATGAAAACGACCATGGTGAGCGTCTCATCGCCCGATTGGGCCGAGGCACCCATCGCAATTCCGTCTGCTGCAGCGTGAATGAGCAGACCGACGATAGTGGTGAGCGCTTGACCAAATGTCGAGTTGGCTGCGTGGGAGGACGACATGGACCTGGAGCGTTTGGAAGCGGGGCGGGCGTTGCTGAGGGCAGAGGTCTGACGGTGGAGTAAGGGAGCACCGACGGAGACCTCGTGATCAAGGCCATCACGATGAAGCGTTGTGCTGCTGCGTGGTGAGCTGTGCCATTCGCGATTGCTGTGCGCACTGCGCTTGAGATCAGAGTGGCGGTAGCTGTCTGCGTCGTGATCGTCATAATCATCGGGCAAGTCCTGGTCGCTGCTGCTCGAAGCTGTCGCTACGCTCTCGACTCGACGGTGGGGTGCATCTGTAGATGACGAGTTTCCTCCAACAGCTGCGCTTGCCGTCTGCGCCTCTTCGTCGATTCCGTGCTGTGAGCGATCAAAGACGGTGAATGAAGCTCGACTGGTGACCTTGTGGATGGTGTTGGGCGGTGCCGATGGATCTGTTCTGTGATGGAAGGATTTGGAGAGACGGTGCGCCTCGAGACGCGGACGCGCAGGCGTGGATGCATAGTCACCGCCGTGGTGGTGATCTCGGACCTTGTCTGAGTTGTGATCGTGGGATGGATCCGCAGAGGAGGATGTGAGCTGGTCGATGATGTACATGAGAACGATTCCGAAGAGGATGCTGCTTCCGAGACGATGCTCTGCGTCAGATTGTGTGAAGGTACTCCCGTCATGATCGTCGTGCTCGTGTCCATGCTCGTGGCCGTGATTGCCACGATCGTGGCCAGGCGATGGCTCGTCTGACCTTTTCGTGATGAACGACCAAGCCCACGGCTCTTGTGATGCTTGTGCGCCCGATATTGAGCCTGCTTGGGGCTGAGCTGTGGGCGTGAAAGCAGCTGCAGAATGGAGCATGTCTGTGTATAGGTTTGGCGCAGACGGCGCTTGCGGCGTGACATTGGAGAAGAGTGAGCTGGAACCTTCTGGAATGACGACAGTGACGGCAGCTCCGACGAGGAGGCCAGCTCCAAACACTTCGAGAATGCGCATCATGCGATGTGACAAGGGTAGAGAGAGGGGTATGAGACCGCAGACGAGCGTGCCTACGCCCATACCGCTGACGAGCAGCACAAAGGCGAAGAGACCCGACATCTGTGCTCGTCACTCACTGGCTTTACGAGAGATTGGAAGAAAGCCGAGTGGGTTGCAATGCAGGATGCTGCTTGTCGAGTGGGTCGCAAGCTACCTGGTTCATGGGAACTGCATCGATGCAAAGGTTTGGTGAGACCTTGAGGAGCGCGAGGCGATGGTGATCACGACGATGGTGGTAGTGCTGGGGGCAAGCTGATTGCTCAACTGTCCGTGAGATGCACCACTAGGCAATGGTCCAATAGCCGAAGCAAGTCGAAGCTGGCCAGCTGGAATGCTGAGCTGCAGCGGCAGATGCACTGCCAAGAGAGGTTTACTGTATTTTTCTTGAATTCAGCTGTCAGCAAATGCACAAGCAAAGCGACCCTCACAGTTATCATGCTTTTGTCATCAGGCTTAACAGTCCTGGACTGACCTTGATTATGTGGTGCCAAGTCAGCAGCAACGTGGATTTTATGATTTTCGTCTGACCGCAGAACGGCGTTTTTTTTTGGCTTTCTCGTCAAGAAGAAATTTTTGAGTGGGCTTGCTCTGCTCATAAAGGCTGTCAGCAAGTCAATCATCTTCCCTTTCCTCTCTTCTATCCAGCTGCTTGGCTTGGCTCACAAATATACCCTCCTTTCTTCCCGTTCTTCGCATTATACCTTGGCTCGTTGCATTCCCCTTCACAGCACATCATGTCAAAACGTCCCTCATCCCCTTCGCTCGAGGGCAAGTCGGCCACCACTTCGGCTCCCTCCCAGCTCAACCGCGTCAAGGATGCCGACGGTGACGATGATATGGGCGAATTCGAGGACCAGTTCGAAGACGAATTCGACGAGGAAGACACCGACGCCGTCATTGCCTCCCGCGATTCAGAAGATTCCGACGACGATGATGACGGCGCTGAGACCATGGAGGTCGACGGTATCAAGGTTGACGGCAAGATCCAGCGCCCCGAAGAGGATCAAGCAGGCGCAGCTGCACCCGCAGAGCAGGTCTACATCCCCGGTATTAACAAGCTCGAAGAAGGTCAGACGCTCGAAGCAGATCAGAGCGCCTACGAGATGCTTCACCGCCTCAACGTCACATGGCCTTGCCTTTCCTTCGACCACCTCAAAGACCATCTCGGCAACGACAGGCAGAGCTACCCGCATACTTCGTACATGGTCGCCGGTACTCAGGCCGACATTGCTTCCCGCAACGAGATCCTCGTCATGAAGGCCAGCTCGCTCCACAAGACCCAGAACGATGATGGTAAGTTTCTCCTCTCTCACATCCCCTATGGAAGCATCAAGGAAAAGTGCGCGGTTTCGCAATGATGCCTTGAGGCATTTGGCTGTATGAGCCGTCTCCTGCCCCCGTGGGGCTCGGAAATAGCTCGATGCCGACAACATCTCAGCTACCTAATTTTTACTTTTCTGAGCCAAACCCGCACCTTGACCTCTGCTTTTTATCCAAGTTGACCTGGTCCCATACCGATGCAAAGCAATCTCTGACACCTGTCTCTCTTGCTTTCTGCTACAGGCTCATCCGACGATGAAGACGACGACGAGAACGACCTCGACGATGACGCTATCCTCGAATACAAGTCCATCCCCGTCGTTGGCGGCATCAACCGTGTTCGTGCCGCCCCGACCTCTACACCCGTCTCTGACCTCGAACCGTGTCTCGATCCATACCCCGTCGCCGCGTGGTCCGAAGTCGGCGATGTCAAGATCTTTGACGTCCGACAGCTCCTCAACGCTCTCGATCGACCCGGAACCAGCTACGACACTCGCAAGGTCAACACGCCCATGTTCACCGTCAAGGCGCACAACGGTGTCGAAGGATACGCGATGGACTGGGCCGGCGTAGTCAACGGTGGATCCTCAGCCGGCGGCAAGGCCTCTTCCTTGCGATTGTTGACCGGTGACATTCACAGCAAGATCTTCCTCACAACCGCCAACAATGCCGGTTTCACAACAAATCCCACTCCCTTCACATCACACACGTCGTCCGTCGAGGACTTGCAATGGTCGCCCAAGGAACCTACCGTGTTCGCATCATGTTCCGCCGATCGCTCCATTCGAGTCTGGGATGTACGAGTCAAGAACCGACGCAGCGTCATCTCCGTCGAGAATGCGCACGCACAAGATGTCAACGTCATCTCCTGGAACCGCGGCACTGACTACCTGCTCGTATCAGGTGGAGACGAGGGCGCGCTTAAAGTCTGGGATCTCCGACACTTCAAGCCCAACTCTACCACCGCTCCTTCCCCCGTAGCCCACTTCGACTGGCACAAGGCCCCCATCTCTTCCGTCGAATGGCACCCCACCGAAGACTCGATCTTTGCCGCTTCCGGACGCGACGATCAGGTCACACTCTGGGATCTTTCCGTCGAACAGGACGACGAAGAAGCTGCGAACGCTGACGGCTTGAAGGACGTCCCACCTCAACTGCTCTTCTGCCACCACGGTCTGACCGATTGCAAGGAGCTGCACTGGCACCCGCAGATCCCAGGTATGATCGGAACCACCAGTCTCGACGGTTTCAACCTGTTCAAGACCATCTCTGTCTGATCTTGTAGAATGTTGTTTTGTTTTTGTTTTAATGCCATTCCGCTTCACGGCGCTGTATTTGTACCCCATCACTTTACCTCACATTGTGCCCTCCGTGTCGTCCTGTGATCTGTGAATCATGAGATCCGTCCCCCTCAACCCTAATTCTTAATTCCACCGCCAATCACACAAGAAGCACACACGCACAATCTTCGCACGAATGCAATCAAACTCCCACTATCGTTCACTGTTCCGCAACCCTTCCCCCACCCTACTTCAACTGGCATCAGGCCACTCCCTCAGCTCGATCATCGAATCCGGACCACCGAACGCCAAGATAGGCAGATGAGGGTGGAAAGCCATACTTCCCGCCGCCGGCGTAAAGCTCGAAGGCGGGACCTCCGTCGCCGGCGGCAACAGCGTATGCAACGGATTCGTCGGGTTCAGCTGCGGTCCGTGATGCGATCCACCTCCTCCGCCGCTTCCACCCGCTCCTCCCGCACCGACAACACCACTGTGACCACCCGAGAAGCCAGAGTGCTGCGACGACAGCATTCCGCTGCCACCCATTCCCGCAGGATGGTGATGATGCGCCTCCCCAAGATGATGCGAGTGATGCAGATGGTGATGGTGGTGCACGCCCGAATTCACCGCTTCCGGCGGGTAGAGCAGTGTGCTGTTGCCGAGGTGCTGAGTGGATCCCATCGGCGCAAAGTTGCGAACGATCGGCTTGCCCAGCACCGAAAGCGTCTCGAGATGCGTCAGCAGCACCATCTGAGGCGAAGCCGTCGGTCGAAGCGGCTTGGGAGACGAACTGACCGCAAAAAGCGGAATCCGCTCGTGCACCGCCATGCACGACAACTTGCCACCCAACTTGCCACCCAGACTCAACTTGGCGATCGACGAGCGTACGCGCATATCCCACAACCGCACCTCGCCGTCCACGCTGGCGGTGACCAGTTCCCGCGAACCGCGTTTCTGCAGATGCACGTTTTGCACCCACGTCTGGTGCTCCTCCCACAGCCGCACCAGGCTCGCCTCGGGCGGATTGCGGCGATCGTACACGCCAACCGTACCGTCGCCAAATCCGGCAACGAACAGGTGGCCAAAGTCGGATTCGGAAGAGATCGACGTCACGCAGCTCGAAGCTCGAGTGGGGATGTCCACCACACACAGCTCGCGATGCGCGTCCCAAACTCGAATCACCCGGCTGTCGCCACCAGCGAGCATATGTCCCGATCCTTGCAGCCAGTCCACCACCAATCCGCTGGGTCGCTTGCTTCTCACCAAGTCCGGAAGAGCCTGGAAGCTCGACGCAAGCTCGGGACCTCGGAAGCCCGCCGTGTGCGCAGGCGAGTCGTAGTGCCTGTAGATGCGCACGTTGCCCTCCGCAGATCCCACCAGCAGCATGGCATCGCTGTCTTCGTTGATGAACAATGCCGAGGTGATGTTGGTCCTGGCCGGATTGCCATTGGCAAATCGACTGAGCAGTCGTTTCTCTTCCCAGTCCCACACCGCCACCGTGTCCTGGTCACTTGCCGTGACCAAATGGTTCTCGTACTGATGGAACAGCATCAGATGCGGCACGGCGCCGTTGCGGATGTAGCCTCCGTGCTCTGACCACGCCGACTGCGCAGCAGCATCGGCGATTTCGAGAGAGTGCTCGATGAGCCGGCTGTTGCGCTGCTTCTTCCAGTGCTGTACGTTGTACTTGAGGCTGCCCGGCTCCTCGCTCTCGGCCTGCTTCATCTGCGGCTCAATGTAATATTCGCTGCACCAAGCAAAAAGGCGACTCTTGAGCGGCAAGGTCTCGCGAAGCTCGTTGCTTGCACCGCCCGAGCCCACCGAGCCTGATGGCGTGCTGACACCGCTGCTCCCTGGTGTTGGCACAAAGCCCCATCGATTGGCGCGACTCACAGCGGGGGAGGACGCAGGCGTGTTCTGCGTCGAGCCTTCGGCACTGCCCGTGAACCGTAAGCGGAAGCGGTACATGTCCATGGCGATGAGACCGGCGAGCGCATCACCGACCTTGACGTGATCATCGACTGCGACATGCGGGTCTTTGTGCAATTCCTCGCCATAGAAGCGCTGCTGGTCGTGTACACCGGTGATGGCTTGTTCGATGCTGCTGTCGTGCAGACTACCGTTGCCGTTGCCGTTGATGTACTGCTGAGCCGGCGTAAAGCCGCTGGTGCTTGCCGACAGCTTCCTTCGCTCGGCTCTTCCGTTGACGTAGGATAGGCTTTCGGCGCTCTGCGAGCGGTTGCCAAGCTTGGCAGCCGAATTCAGTGGCGACGACGGCATCGACAAAGTGGAGGGCGCTTCGTGCTGTGGGGTGATCGAACCACCTGCACCGCCCTTTGACAGGTACGGCGAGCTGTACTGAGCCGCAGGCGCTTTGTTGCCGGGGCTACGACGCGGTGCGAGTACGGCGGGGCCGGGTGGCGGGATGCCCGAAGGACCTGCTTCTCCATATAGAGGTCGACCCGAGGTGTCGTGGTCCGACCCCACTGGCGACACCGGCCTTGAGTAGCCTAGGGTGGCTAGCGTCTTGACGGCTTGAGCCAGCGTCGATGTGCGTTTGGGTGCTGCGTGAGATTGTGCACGTACCACTTGACCTGGCCGAGCGGGCCCAGAGCCACCCGTGCCGAAGCCAGATGGCGGAACGTATGCTCCGTTCAGAGCTGCAATTTGGGACGTCGACATCTCATCGGACGAGCCTGGTGTCGTTCCCGTAGAGCGAGGCGTGAGTGGGAAGTAGCCCTCGAGACCGGCGTCGGTGCTGGTGGGCGTCGTGAACCGCGAAATGGTTTCCTGCGTTCCAAGACCTCGCAGCACGCTTTCGCCTGCATTGGACACATCGCTCTCGAGCAGGAGCGCAATGACAAAGTCCACCACGGTGCATGCTAGGTTAGCCACTTCCGGGTTCGAGTCGACACCGAGATCGAGCAGAGCCACGAAGATCGTCGTGAACGCTGGAATGTTGGCAATATCTTCCTCCTCGATCTCTTCCTCGATCAAAAGCTTGGACGCAAGACGCGCAAGCAGCGCCTCCTCGTTCGCAAGTGCACTTGTCGACGACCCTGATACACTGTTGCTGGACGCGCCTCGACCCATCGACCCCAGCGACGCTAGCGATGCTCGTCGATCGCGTTCATCTGACGATTGTGCAGCCTTGTTGCGGCTGGTCGCTGACTTCTGATCCCGTTGCGATGGCGGCTTTTTCAAGCTGCCTTCCCTTGAATAGTACAGGTAAGCCGCAAGAACAAAGAAGCCCTTGTACTCAGCCACCAGAGGGCTGAGCGCAATGACGAGCTCCTTACGGACGAGCGGGCTGCAGTCTCCCTTGGTTGTGAGCAAGGCGATAGCGATTCCGATCTCGAGGCTTCGTTGCTTGGCGGGCGGAAGGCCCGTGGCGGCACCAGTGCCAGGGCAAAAGCGTCTCGACGTAGCGAGCCGATTGGCACTCGAGATGGGCAGTGGCTCCCCGGAAGCATATGAGACGACGTCGACTTGGTCCTGGCTGGACCCGCTCGCACCGAGCAGAGTGCCAAGAGCGTAGAGGACGGCAGCACGCACCTCGGGTGATACGTCGCCAAGCATGCAGCAGAGCTTTCCATGCGCGTCGAGAGAGATGGCTCGAGCCTTGCCCGCCTCATTGTCGTCCCACAATTGGGCGAGACAGAGTGCACTCCATTGACGAAGCAAGAAATCGTCGTCCTCAAGATGCTCCAGACACGAATGCATGACGTCAGTCTCGAGGCAGGCAGCCTGACCGGCGGGAAAGTCCTGGCAAAAGACAGCGAGGATGAAGGCGCACATGGCCTGGTGCTCGGAGACGTTGGGTATCGGGATCGACGGACCGTTGGCGCCGGCGTTCTGACCGACATTGTTGTTCTGGAAAGGACTCAGCACGCCAGCAAAGTAGATGAAGCCGTTATCTCGGAGCAAATCGTTCTGACAGCTGCGATCGACGGCGAGAATGCGCGCCCAGATGTAAATGAGAACGGGCTTCAGGTCGGCAGCTGGACTTTGCAGAAGCTTGAGTACGTATGGGAAGATACCGATGCTAAGCGCCATGTTGACCGCCCAAGGACCCAGGTCGAGGAACTGGCTGAGCAGAATGAGCGCTCGCAACCGATGAGCTTGAGACAGCAGCACCTGCAAGACGATGGGAAGCTGATCCGGCGGTTCGCGCACTGGGCTGGCGTCTCCGTCATCGTCGAATGCTTCTGGATCGGCGCCAGTTGCAGCAGATGAGAGTCCCGCAGAAGGATTACCGTGCGGGGTGATTGCTGCGTTGACGCGGCGTCTTCGTCCCTTTCGACTGACTCCACCTTGCTGGAGCCAGACCTCGAACGCTTTCAACTGCTCGCTGAAGAACGTGCTGTGGCGGTACTCGAACGAAGCAAGATGCGGGGGCACGGGTGGACCGCCCTCGGCAGCTTCAGCCTGTGCGCGCTCCTTGGCGAGCAACGTGGGCAGCTGGGCGAGGCATTGATCGACGGCCAAGTCCCAGCTATCCCAGAGCGGATGATTGTGTGTTGGGGGAAGTTTCGGGTGACTCATGGGCGTGCAATGATAGAAGCGCATGATGCGTTCCGCTAGCAAAAAGTTGCGGAGGAGCGCGGCTACCATGAGATCGTCACGGAACAGACGGCGAAAGATGGTGCGTGGAAGGACGGTCCATGCAATGGTGTCGGTGATGGCTGTGAAGATCCAGTTGAGTTCGCCGAGGGGCGTCCTTCGATCCTGGAGTCGACCAGGAATGTTCATGACCATGTCGACGTTGAGTTTGGACGGTAGCGGATTCTGAAGCACGAACCATCGCAACGAAATCTCGATAGGAGATGTGAGACAGCAAGTGAAGAGGTCGGCTGGAAGGTCTGGGTTCATGGGGAGCACCTCGTCTGGACCGCACGCAGCTAGATGAATCGACTCACGCAGGGGAAAGTGCGGCTCTTCGGCAGAAGAAGATTGCGCACCCGATTTGCCTGCTGAAGCCGATGCATCGGCGCCTGCCTTGCTTCGGTCGCGGTCGCCAGAGCGGTTGTGCCCTTCCCTGTCCCGGTTGGACCGCGTAGCCTCCTCTTCTGCTTTGCGCTCCTGCAAACGCTTGAAGTTGACGACGACATTGCCGGCAGAGCTGGCATCCCATACGAAGATGCACGGGCTGCCGAGCCATGTGAGAAGGTCGTGCAGAGTGACTGGGATGTACTGCGTGTAAGCCTTGTTGAAGACCCAGATCTCGCCGCCTGGCGTCGGCTTCGGTACGCCGTATCCGTTGTAGTAGAAAAGCACTCGCTCGTCCTTGGCGGCTCTCCGCAAGGTGGTGCAGAATCGCCGTGTCTCTTCCACGATGGGATCGAGATATTGCTTGTAGCGCGTCTTGGTGCTAAGCGTTTCGAACTGGGCTTGCAGGTTGCGACCGATGGCCGGCAGCGCCTTGGACACTTCGAGGGAGCTTGGGTCCATCCAACAGATGAGCTTCGAGCAGGGGTTGGTCTTGGACACATCTGGAGGATCGACGCCGATGTTGAGACACATGACGAGAGCAGCGGTGACGGTGCGCAAGCGTTCACGCATGCGCCAATCTGGAAGGTCTCTCTCGTCTCTAGGTTTAGGGTTGCCGTGGGTGATGTGACGTTTGAGGCCCCAATGAAAGAACGAGTGTTGGAGCATCCACTCATTCACTTCCTCGACCAGAAGCGCGCCGTGACGCTTTCCGCTGGCTGTCGATGCATCGTCCTCGTCTTCGGGCTCGGTGACGAGCTGTGGAGTATCCACGTCAGCGTCTAGCGTGGAAAGCGAGTTGTGCAAGGATTCGGTATTGTTTCGAGGGTGGCCAGCAGAGCTGATGCTGCGAAAGAGTGTGGATGAATTTGAGACTTGCGGGAACGCATACTGATGCTGAGGCTGCGATTTCTGCGAGGCAGATGCGGGACGGCCGTTGCTATCTACCATGTAAGGATGAGGAGTCGGAGACGAGGTGGAGGCTGACCTGCGTCCGTCAGGCTGCTCGAAGTGAGCAGCAAGGGTTGCCATGCTGAGCGGTAGACGGCAGCCGATGCAGCTGCATGCACGCTATGGGCTTCCAGATTGTAACGAATGGAGGAATATCGAGGGAGATAGGTCGAAACTAGGATCCACAAGGTTCTGCGATGCTGTGTCGCTGGGAAGTCCAAAGCCGCCGACCTCGTGATCAACGCTGGGTGGAGATACGAGCCCGAACAAGAACACCGCGAGACAGGCGGTGATGTGCCGTTAATCCCAAGGATCCGGCGTGTCGGTCGGCTCTCTTTGGCGTGGAGGCGTGGACGGTGAGAAGGATGAAAGAAGGAAGGGTCTTTCGGAGCGACCTGATTCGCACGAGGTATCCTCAAATGAGCGCAGCGACGTCGCTTAGCGGGTCCGAGCGTGCACCTCGAGCCGACAAAGCGCTCTGCTGCCTGAAACTTTTGTTGCTCGACATCCAAAAATGGAAAATCGTGTGGTCATGGCAGTGGACAGCTTTTTTCCAATTTCAACGTGTAAGATCGCCGATGTAGGCTCGGTCATCGTCTGGCATCATCACTCAAAGCGTTGTCAATGTATTGATGTGCATGCTTGAGCTGTGCCTGCTAATCAGCGAAACGTGCAGACGAGCGACCGTATCGAGTATTGGTACTATACATGTCGATTTAGAAGGGGAGAGCAGCAGAACCAGCCTGTTGAAGAAGAAGCAAATGCCAGCACGAACTTAAGCCATCCTCGAGCGTTCCAATAGCTCTTGACGATCCACCGCGTCGGCATCGTATCCTTTGGTTTCCGGCACCATCAGTAGAGTGACGATGAGCCCGAGCAAGCTCACGCCCAGAAATAGCCAAAAGATGCCTGTATGACCGAAGCGTGGATCATTCGCTAACACGCTGAATCCGAGCGAGGACACGATGCTGCCAAGTTTGCCCATGGCTGCACAAAAACCATGCGCCGTGGCGCGGATTCGCGTGGGAAACACTTCCGCGGGAACCACAAACGTGGTACTATTCGACCCAAAATTGAAGCTGAGCTGCAGCAGAACAAAGACGGCAAAGAAAGGGCCGGCTTGATGGATGATGGTGTTGTAGGTGAGGGCGAGCACCAAGAAAAGCACCGAGTTGGCCGCGAATCCAAATAACTGGATCTTCTTGCGTCCAGTCACCTCGATGAATGCTACGGTGAGATAGTAGCCTGGAAGAAATCCGGCTAACACAACGATCAGGTTGCCCAACGCCAGTTTGTAGATGCGATGCCAAGGACTGCCCTGCGTGTATCCAATGAGCGAAAAGATGGCCGATTGGTTCAGGTTGATGCCATAGAAGGTGATGTCGACCAGGAACCACGAAAGGGAGGTGCCAATAAGCACTCGAAGGTGACTCCACTCGCTGAAATACTCCCAAAAGTCGTTGCGAGCGACACCGATCGAGCGGAACGACAAACCTTTACTTTGTGTGGCGGCCTTACGCATCGCCTCACGCAACTCTCGAGGTGAAGGTAGTTGCGGTCGTGCTAGGCTTGGACGACGAACGATCTCTGACTGGCCGTAAACATTGTAGCGGCTTTCGCCGCTTGAGCTCAGAGGTGACGAGATCGACGAAGGCGTCTCGGAAATCTTGCGTCCGTTGTGTGCCTTCTTGAGCATATGTGTGCCGGTGTAGATGCTTGCAGGTGCGATCTTCGTCTCGGACCTCTCAACGCTTTTGGGCATGGCGACCCCTGCCGCCGAAGCGTGAGTCGCCAGATCGTCGTGATCCTGCAGATATCGCGCTTGTAAGAAACGTGCTGATTCGACCAGCGTGAGACGGAAATAGAGCACCGCAAAGCCTGGTGCAAGAGGAAGGCCGAGCAGGATGCGCCACGCTCCGCTAAGCTCGGTCAAATTGCCGGACAGGATCGACGATCTGTAGGCTCCAACGACGGCCAGTGACGCTAGCGCTGCGAAAAGAGCACCCCATCCCTGATTGCTGAAGATAAGAGACAGCAACAATCCTCGGGTCTTTGAACTGGATCGATCCGCGACAACCGTGGCCGAGAGAGGGTAGTCGCCGCCGATTCCGATGCCCATCAAGAAGCGAAACACCGCGATCCATATCGTAACACCTTGTCCGTGCAGACTGTCTGGGGCTGAAATCATGAGAATGATTGCAGCCATGGCCAGCATGAGCTCCTTTCCGTACAGTACCGATCGGCCCCAAAAGTCTCCCAAGAAGCCAAAAAGCAGTTGACCCACCACGTTCCCCATGCTTGCCGAAGCTTTCAGAACTCCGCCCGCCAAGCCCCACTCGATGTTGTGTACCCCCACGGGATAGTATGCCAAAAGCAAGATCGGGTAGACCATATTGATGATGAAGAGGTCGTAGGAGTCCATGAAAAATCCGGCGCCAGCCAGAGACAGCAACTTGATCTCTCCCCACGTGAGCCCTATCCACGTCTTAGCCATGCGTCGCTCAACTAGCGCCAGGGGAGGGGTTGTGTTGTAACTGAAAGTTTCTTCTTGCCTTGGCAGGCCGGTCTGCGTTGCATTGTACTCTGCCGCGTGCGGGATGATTTTGGAGTCGCGCTGCGGAGAGGTGTGCCGAGGGGCTAGAGGACTGTCCGTATCTTGTTGGAAACGTTCGAGATTTGCTGCAAGATCTGATGAATGCATATCATTACGCCTAAAAGGCTCCAACGGCTGAGTGTTCTGCCAGATCGTGGAGAACTGCCTGTCGTGCGGAGGCTGCATTGGCTGCAATGCCGAAAAGACGACGGCGTTGGGCGCGAGGGGCGACATTCGTATTGTGCTGATTCGGTGGCCCCGCGACGAAGCTTCGGCATGGTCAAGCTCGGACGATGCCCGAGCCGAACCGACAGCATCCTCTTCCTCAATCTCGTCGCTAGGATAGTCGTAGAAGGATGCCCAGGCATCCATAGATGACCCAAACGGCATGTTTGAGGATGAGCACTATCCGACGCGGTGGTTTTTCAAGAGCTGTCTGAAGGTTGTTGCGAAGATTTTACCGTCTAAAGGCACACTGGAGACCTTGCTTGTAAGCGGTTCTTCTTGATGCTGCGAGGGAAAGACGCCAGTAGCTGCCATAGGAGGATTGGTTTCCGACGAGACAAGGCGAGGAGCAGATGGTGTAGAGTCAGGATGGCGGACGGGACTGTGACGGCCACAGTAGCTCGTAGATGAGGACAAGCCTGGCTTAAAAGCAATCGTGGTAGGAAGCGCACACCCTCTTCGTCTGAATCAAGCCGTAAAGCGTGCTAATGATCTGGAGGACCGTAATACCTAAGGCTTCGGCGTTAGTCGAGAAACGAAGCACGAATCGAAGCTTCAGAACAAGGCCGTCGGAGCAAAGCGATCGGAGATGGGCTTCGACAGGTACCCACAAAGGTGTGGCGGCAGGCGAGGGCGAAGGAAGTCCAGGCGGATCTTGTCTTGCTGCGTATGAACGTCAGGCTTTGCCGAGGTTGGCTTCGGGCTCTCACGCAAACAGATAGGGTGCCTAGCGGGCACTCATGTAGCTTATTGGTGTCAAAGTAGGAACCAAAAGCACAAGCGAGACCAGACAAGGGGGCTAACAAGATCCGCGGGATGGCACGAGTGCGCTTGTGGCTCCCTGGCCGGGACAACAGATTCGGGCGCCATAAGAGAGCCTTGTTTCCCGGTCGTCTATGAATCTTGAATGGCGTCGGCCTTTCAGGCAGGCTGACGAGAAGGAATGCTAGCCAACGGAGGGCAGAACGTGCTTGCGAAATGCATATCCTGGCTCAACGCGGAGCTCACCCCGACGTGTTCGCAAGCTCTGCAGAGGCTCAATCATGCTGTTAGGTCCGCTGAACCCGAGGTGGGCAGGCAGTCGACCGATGCCAGATCTGTTGTCCCTTCATCACACGAGCAAACATAGAGGTGAACCGGCCTGAATGGTCGCTGCAGCTACAACGTGCTCGAGACGGGCGCTTGTTTCAGCATCATGCAAGCCAGATCTCATCATAAGCTGAATGAGCAAACATCAGCCCAGCGCTATGAACATCAGAAACAGTCTGCAGCCTTAGACCAAGCTACGATGAGTTAGGGCGCAGAATCTAAGCGAGCTGTCCACGTTCTCGCGTGCATGCTGCAAACACCACAGTCACAGAGTAGTCGTGCAGGCTTGCCAATGATACCCAACACCGCTAGCTCATGTGAGAATTGGCGAATCCCATTGAAGTTTGTATGGATCGGTGTGGATCGCTTCCCGATACCGACGATCCCAAACCTTGTTACACGATCATAGATGTGAGATCGAAGCAGCCGTGATGATGCCCTGAAGGTCAACTTCCGGCATAAGATGGAGCCGTCCGACCAAACAGCCTGCCACATAAAACTTCGAGCGAGCTCCCAGACGTGAAGTCCGACCTGCAACATGAGATCGGAAGAGTGGTTATGAGTGAGGGACAGAGAGAGATTGGGTTCTAGTTTGGCAGCAGAAGGTTCCAATCTTGACACGATTGCCCTCTAAAATCCATGATAAGCCAAGTAGCAGACAGGCGATCACATAATATCGGTTAGGCACGACCGGGAAGGCCGAGGATTGAGCTTTGAAGGTAAAGTTGATCTGCACCACCTCCTTGCATCTACAGTGGAAGCCGAGCCCAGCGAAAGGCGTGCAAAGGAGAAAAGCAGATGCGGGGGCTCTCGGCGCAGCTGCTACCGGGACCACGGAAGGGTCCAGAACTGGACCTTCGAGATCGGCATCTGCACGGCTTGACAGGTGGGCTGAGGCACTTGAGCCGCCGACAAACGGTTGCGCGGATGGCGCGAGACTCCCCATCCGATGGGCGACGATGCCGGTCTCGTTTTCTCTCCCAACTTATTGAAACCAGTTAGCCACGGACACGGTTGTGAGGTCGACACGTACACTGATTCTGGGAAGACCTTCTCACGGATCAGCCGCGGAAGCTGTCAGCACAGGCGCAGTCCGAAAACAGTGGCTCAGACGCCTGTCACGATCGCGTCTGCATGTAGCTACAGATGTCTTCCCGTCAGTAGCGATCTTTCTCAGGCTTCAAGGGCAAATGTGCCCTGCTTGCTCTTCAAGAGCGGCTCTGTTTGTTCTCGGCTCGCTTCCGTGTGGCACACTGCTATTGCACTCCTGCGTTTCTCGTTAGCGGCGGGGGAGACGATCCATCACGGTCACCGCAAGCTGCAGACTCCTGACTGCTTTTCAACTGCTACACTGTGGCGTAAGGAAGCGTGCTTAGCCATAGGCGAAGTTCGAGACTCCAGACCCTGACACTATTTAAAACTTCGAACCGCGCGCCGAAATCATTGAAAGCACAATAAGGTTTTCAATACAACTCTCATCTCAGCAAGGGCTGTATTTGTATTGACAGGGCTCGAACCTTTAAATAGTTTTCGAAAAGCAAAAGGGTCGAAAGCCGGTCGAGTCGTCTGACGACGGGACAGGGTCGACTCACTGACTGTCCTGATGAATTCCGAATATGCGGTCTTCTCCGTACTGTACAGCGTAGCGTTTGATCCCGTTTTGCCGTTCGCAATGTGGCGCGATTTTTCTGAAAGATCGCAGTCAGTGGCCAGGGTGAATGGTATGCTGCCTGCCTCTACCCGCGCTTCGTGGTTGGAGGACAATAGAGGCGATCTGAGCCGTGTGTGCTGCTGCAGACAGCGCAGTAGTTTGACTAGCACCTTGGCCTCGTGTGTGCGCCCTGACCAGAGCTTTTCAGGGTGCTGCTGCTGCTTCAAACGTATCTCAAGTCAGGCAGACAGGGAATCGCATCCGACACCTTCTCACCACAAGCATCGTTGGTCGACGCACCTTGCTCCATTGCTCCTTACTCCATCATCTCTCCTCACCACCTTTCACTGCCCTCGAAAAGCTGCGCCCTCCTACAATCATCACCATAGGTCCAGCCCATTCTCAGAGCACACAGGTCGCCCCCGCAGCCGGATCGTCATTCCGCCTTGTTCGCATTTCGCACATCCTAGATTCCTTCTTTACGAACCAGACTGCGCCCCGTCGCTTCCTCAGGGCGTCCTCGGGCTAGGAAATTGGAAGCTCCGTCTGTTTCACCTTCACTCGCTCGATCGTACGAGTCACCCTACTCGAGCGCTTCTCGTCTTGCAGCGCTGTCTCCGACGCTTGGATGTCTTCTAGCGTTATCCCGCTTTGACGTCATCCTTGTGTGTATCTCGGTGTCTTAGCTGACCGATTGATACGAGACTTGACTTTTGACAAGGCCATCACGTCTCTCTTCCCACTTTGATCTTTTGCTCGCCGACCCACACGATCGAGCCGCCGCGATGAAGGTCAAATTGTACGCAGACAACCTGCCCGGTGCCGCCGAGGTTGTCACTTTACAGACTGCGGTCGCCCTTCCTGACCGTCACATCGACGACGACACTCCCATGAAAATCGATGTCGAAGAGACCAACCGCAAGTACGCCTCGGCCTCTCCGAACCCTTCTGCGCTTAAGCGTCTTGCTCCCAATTCCGAGGACTCGTGTTCCAATTCGGAAGGGACAACTTCGCTTCCCTCGACCGAGCCTTCCACCACGCCAGATGAGGTTGGAAGCAGCAGTGGTGGCTCAGGCTCTGGTCGCGGTATCCGCCATGGAAAAAAGCGCCCCCGGTTCGGATCAGCCGAAGTCTCATTCAACCCCCGCGACCGTTCGCGTTCCCGTCACACCCAGGTGCCTCACCCTTTGGGCATCAAGCCACTCGGAAACGCCTTTCTCGCTGATCGCAACGACCGCGCTTCTTCACTTGGTCTCTTCGCTCGTTTTGAGGACGACTTCCTGCTCGCCTTCCTCTCCGGCTTTGCCGAGGATCCTGCTACAATTGCCAAGCTAGAGGCCGTCAGCCATGGATTTTACGCTTTCATCAACGCGACCAACTCGATCTGGCGTGAAGCTTTCCTGCTCAGTTTCAATGGCAAGATGAAGCGATGGTGCGGAAGCTGGAAACGCACCTTCGTGTGGCATTATAAGATGGACCGGGCTGCTCTCGACGAAAAGATCAAGGATTCTACCGATGGCGCTCAATTTGCCCTACTCGACCCGCCCACTCCTCGCACTCAGTCGCCCTACATCTTCTCGGACACTCTCTACCATCCCTTCCGTCTTGCTATGGCCCCACTCGAGCATCTTGTTGCTCCAGCCTGCCGCGTCTATACCGCCATCGCAAAGATAGATCTCGCCGAACCAGGATCGGTCGCCGCTTTCAAGGACAAGTTTGCCTACACCAACACGCCTGCCATTGTTCAGAACGCGATGCCTCCCAAGGACTGGCCTTGCCGCGAATGGACGCTCGACAAGCTGGCGCAGCGATGGCCGGATCGCTTTTTCCAATGCGAGGCGGAGCGATCGCGACTGCCCTCCTACTTCAGCTACTCGCGCAATATGCAGCACCTTCAGGAGCAGACGTGGCAGCGCTTGGTCGAGGAAGACGTCTCAGAGATTCAAGAAGAGGCTCAAAGACGTTCCTCCTCCGCGTCTGCAACCGGGTCCGGAACCCCTTCGGAAGAGAGCGGGCCTCGCGACTTGTCGGCGCCGGCACTCGTAGATACTCCGTACACCGTCTCGCGTGTCGGCCCTCACATGTTTTCGGCCACCGCCGACGAAGGAGATTCGACTTTTGACCCCTACGCCGTTCCGGACGAGTCGCCTTTCTATTTGTTCGATGCCTCGTTCGCTGATGATCCACACGCCTCCTTGGAGTGGCGCGTACCCAAGTTCTTCCAGCAGATCTCGTCGACGCCAGCAGACGCCGCCTCGCAGTACGACATGTCGGCGGTGCGATCGGATCTGTTCTCGCTGCTAGGACTTTTGCGACCCGACCACCGCTGGATCATTGCCGGTCCTGCCCGTAGCGGCAGTGGCTGGCATAAGGATCCGAACGGCACCTCGGCCTGGAACGCCGTGCTCAACGGTCGAAAGGCGTGGATGATGCTTCCGCCCCACATCACGCCGCCAGGCGTCTACGTGAGCGAAGACGAGGCCGAAGTGACTGCCCCATTGAGCATCGCTGAATGGCTGCTCGAGTTCGCACAAGAAACCCGTCGCTTGTACGGGCCCGAAGCTGCTCGACCCGAAGATCGTCTGCTGCTGGAAGGCGTTTGCGAGGAAGGCGAGGTGCTGTACGTCCCCAGCGGATGGTGGCATCTCGTCATCAACCTGGAAGAGTCGGTGGCTCTGACTCAGAACTTCGTCTCGCCCGCCGAACTCGGCATCGTCTTGGACTTCATGAAGAACAAGTCGGACCAACTGTCTGGCTTCAAGCGAAGTCAGCAAATGCACGACGGCGACGCCGCAACCGTGGCACTCGCGCCAGGGCGACAGGCCGCTTCGTTATCGTCGGCCATCACCAGACATCCGGCGGACGATGATGAGGACGAATGTGACGGGGCAGGATTCAACGTCTTTGAATTATTCTGCGATCGTCTCGGCAGATTCGACCGCGACTTGCTCGACAGCAGCCTCAAGCAAGTCGAACAACTGGAAGAAACCCGTCGTACCACTTGTGCGCTCCTGCGTCGTACCGCCCCAGCGCCCGTGGCGGCCAAAGCGAGAAAAGCCAATGCCGGTCCGAGCTGGTGGGAGAAGCTCAAGCATGGCGAGACTTCCGCCGCTCCTGACGAAGCGGACAACGCCAGCTCAGCTGCCCACGCGACCAACCCCACAGCGGCAGCGGAAAGCTTCTCATTCTCAAACCAACTCACAACGTCCGAGCTCGAACTCGAAGATGTGCCTTGGTAGTCTTTGCATCGCATACAACATCTCACTTGTCTCACTGTACACGTATACGTACTTCCGTTCCTAACTCCCGGTCTCTTTTTTGCATGGAGCTGTACAACTTTCACCGAATCTCAATTCACACTCCCAACAAGCTCGCACTCAGTTCTTCAAACAAGTATGATCCGACTGCTGGCCTATGAGCAGCAGCGCTGTGAGTTCATTGCATCGCCTCCATACGAAGTGCGACTCTACTCGCCGAACAACAACTCCAAATTCTCCAGCGTCTCGCTTGAACCTTTGCCCTTCTCGCCGTCCTCGCCTTTCACCTTGAACGCATGCTTGATCAGCATCTCCTTGCGCTTCTGGATCAGCAAGATCCTGTTCTCGATCGAGTCCTTGACCAGATACCGAAAGACGCTGACTTCCTTGGTCTGACCCAACCTGTGAATCCTATCGATCGCCTGGTTCTCGATGCTCGAGTTCCACCAAAAGTCCAACAACCAGATCTTGTTCGCTGCCGTCAAATTCAACCCGACACCTCCTGCTTTGAGCGAGATCAAGAAGAGAACCACTTCGTCGCTGCCAGACGGAGATTGGAATTCGACCAGAAGCTTTTCGCGCACCTTTTGCGGTGTCGAACCATCCAGTCGTAGGAATCGGAATCGATAGCGTGTGAGAACCGGCTCGATCAGATCGAGGAACGAGGTGAACTGCGAAAAAATGACTCCCTTGAACGCTCCCTCGGTTGCACGAATCGTGTTGAGGTGCGAGATGAGCGCAGACACCTTTGTCGATGTGCGCAGGTTGTTGCGTACGTAGATCGTCGAAGGTATGCCGCCCAGGCTGTTTGTGGATGTCGAGTGACCGTTGGTGGGTGAAGCCGTGCCGCTGCCCGGTGGTGTAGCTGGTCTCGTTCGGATCGCTTCGATCAGATCCGTCTCTTTCACAGGACCAACCCTGCACGTCGGACACGCAGCTTCCTCGCCTTTCTCCTTACACTGGCGAAGATAGTCGACCAAACACGTCTTGCAAGCACTGTGCATGCAGCGTGGCAAGTAGCAAGCCGAGACTTGCGGATCCTCGAAGCAGATCGGGCATTCGTGTTCCAAGCCCGAGTCGGCGGAAGGTTCCGCAGCACTGTCGCCTTGCATCTCGCGGATCAATCTGTCCACGGTAGCTTTCGAATAGCTGACCGTCGATTCATCCGTAGCGTCGCCGTTGTCATCGGTCGATGATTGAAACTCGGCGACAAGCTCGCGCAGATCCTCGGTGTTTGGCGTGCTATCACCTCCGTCCTCGATGTCGGCCCCAAACTCTGCAGCATCCGCATCATCATCTATCTCACCCTGCATGCCAGATTCTTTCGCCGCACTGGCCCCATTCTTACCGCTACCGCTCTTGCCCCTCCCACCTGCCTTCAACACCAAGCTCGGATGACAAACCGCCTGCCTCAGCCGCATCAGCACGCTGAAGATTACCGAGAAGTTCCTCGTCACCGTACCGTTCGCCTTCAGACTCGCAAACTGCAAATACGCCTTCCTATACACGTTCTCGTAAATCCTCCTCTCCAAGTCCGTGAATTCCAGCTCCCTCATCTCGACCCTCTTCGGCGGCAGCTCGACAATCGGCTTTCCATCCTTATCCTTCATCCTCTTCTCCCTTCTCAACAACACCGATTCCAAGATGACCTGAACCACATCCAACGCCTTTGTGGACTTGGCCTGGAACGGCTTGCAGACGAACGAGTTGAAGAAGCTGAAGTCGCCCCACGGTTCGACCCTCAGGAACTTGAGCAGGCTGAACAGGTCGGTGAGACGGTTGATGATCGGAGTACCCGTGAGAGCCCACCGACGACGGGAGACGAGATCGCAGCAGGCACGAGCGTTCATGGTGGAACGGTTCTTGATGTTGTGCGCTTCGTCGAGGATGACTCGCAGCCAATCGATACAGTACAGCGGAGCTGTGGTCGACAAGTGTCGATTTGCAGCACCTCCGCCGTCGAGGAAACGACGGTATTCGGTGACGAGTGTGCCGTAGGATGTGATGACGACATCCACTTTGCCCGATTCGAGCTGTGCCAGTAGATCGCCTTTCGTGTCGGCGTAGTAGAGAACAGGTGTGAGCGAGCCAGGAGCAGAAGCACGGATGAGCTCGTCTCGCCACTGACCTATGAGACTCATCGGCGCAACAACCAAGGACGCCTTGCCTTTCGATACAGATGCCTTGAGAAGCGCCCTGCGCTGGTCTACGCTCGAAGTCGAAGCTGCGAACGCAGACGCAAGCGAGGTCTGCTTGGCCGAGCTCTTCCGCTTCGTCAAGCTTCCGTCTTCACCCACATCCATCACGACGTCATCCTCGCCTTCACTCTCCTCTCCTGGTTCGGATGTGCGATTGGCATGAAGCAGGCTCGCCACCATGATCGTCTTGCCAAGACCCATTTCGTCGGCCAAGATTCCGCCGCGCGAGCCCTTGCTAGCACGCTGGAAGTCCAGGCTGAGATCGCCTGTGTATGGGTTGAAGTAGAACATGCGTGTGTGGCTGAGCACCAAGCGCTCGTTGGCCTGTGGATTGTCATAGTCCAGCGGAAATTCGTACTCTTCCCACAAGGGGTGCAGCGAGAGGTTCCGCTCGCTAGAGTTACCATTCTGCTGTGTCGAGCCGTCCTCTTGGCTGGACGATGTCTGCCCGGGCGCCTTTTCCATGTTCTTCATCCATCCGAGCGCCTGCTTCTGGTAAGGGCGCAAAGTGAGAAGGAACGATTCGGGCGGCTCAACTTCCGGCAGATGCGCATCATTCGCCTGCGCCTTGCGATAGACCTCGTCAAGCTGATTGAGGTCGAGCTCAGTACCATCATTTTCCTCTGCATCGGCATCGCCATCTGTCTGTTGCTTTGCACTTTGCAACTGCTCCGCAGACCCACCCTCGGCAGCAGCATCCGCATCGCCATCGAGAACGATCGCGGTGGAAGCAGCGTCCCCGCCGGCGTGAGGCAACTCTCTGCCAGCCTCGGTCGACGGCGCCGCATCTCCACCAACATGCTTGGCGGCACCTTCAATGTCGCCGCCGAACTGATCGAGCATCGCCTCGCTCGAGAAATCGTCGCTCACCTTGTGCGATTTGAGGATTGAGTTGCTGAGGCTCGGCTTGAGATCGCACACGCGAAACATGCGAAGAAGGCTGATCTTTCGCTCCCGCAATACCTTTTCGAGATCGGATTCGGCCGTCTCTGGCCGCAGCCCGTCGTTCTGCTCTTCGAATTCGCGACCGCCCATCAAAGACAAGAAAAAGGCATCGAATTTGATGTATGCTTTCACCTGCAGTATGATGTCGCATCCCACGGTGAGCGAGGGCGGGCAATCGACAACTACTCCTTCGAATTCGGCGATGCCTGTGTCGATGAGCTTGGACATCCATGTGGCCACCTCAAGAGGCAGACGACCGACCTCGAACCCGCGCATATTGCTGAAGCGCACAATAAAGTCTTCCTTGTCTTTGGATTTTTGCTTGGAGCCGAAGAAGCTGCCTGAGCCACCTGCAGCGCCGCCAAAATTGAGCGTGGTCTGCTTGCCCTTCTTGACTCCTCCATTGGTCAGCTTTGATGTGGATTTGGTTGTGTCAGCGGCAGGTTGCTTCTTGCGAGGACGAAAGATGCGGACGCCGTCTCCAGGCTTGACGTAAGATGAGCCTTTGGAGAGGGACCATGCTGAGAGTACGAACGTGCCGAGGTAACGACGCTCAAATGCATCGTGGCGAAGACGCGGATCGGGTGTTGGTGAGCGACGGATGGGCTGTATCTTAGTTGCAGCAATCGCAGAGGGAGATGGCGATGTCCGTTTCAGCTTTTTGACAGACCCGTTCAATGCTTGGCCAGCATCGGGCTGAGGCGACCTTTTGCGGGGTGGCTCTGGCGGAGAAGATGCTTGATTTGAAACCTCTGCGCTTGGCTTGAACTCTTCGTCATCGCTGGTGACCTTGGCTCGAGTCTTGGAAGTGACCTTCTTGTCGATGGCCTGTGTGGAGAAGAAATCACCGCCGTCCTCTTCGTCGGCCATTTGCCAGTCCGCGACATCGTCGTCGTCCTGTGCCAGAAAGAGAGGCTTGGAATTTTGGGCCGCCGCTCGACGCGGCTGATGTCTGCGTGCAGGAGATCCACTCGCCGCCGCAGCAGCAGCAGCCGAAGCACTAGTCGACCCTACGATGCTGAAATCTTCAAGTGCATCATCATCTTGCTGTGCAGCTGTGCGTGAGATCGATTGATGCTGCTCCCAGAGGTGATCTTTGGCGTGAGTGCCGCTTGCTGTGACATGTGATGGCGATGCCAGGCCGGCTGGCTGAATCGCAGCTTGAGATGCTTTCTTGATCGGCGAAGAAGGAGTCGCCGAGGGTGAGGAAGCGAAAAAGTCGCGAGACGGCTGAGATTGAGGATCCGTGCTCGATTGGGTCGTCATGGCTGCGTCGGCAGCGTTCCGATCGATATCGCAGCTTCACAACAGGCAAAGTGACCGTGACAATGATGTTGGTCAGGACTGTCGGAGCATCCGGATTGCTTTCAAACTGCTACAAGGGTCTCGGCCAGATGTGCACAAGAAGCAGCCGTACAGCAGCTCGCCACATGAATTTCGGCTGCTGTCCAACACCGAGAACAACTCAGCCAAAAAGATTCCAGCCTGCAGATGCTGACAACGCACACGCGACTCTTACCGCGTTAATTGCTGCAAGAGCACGCGGAGCCAACGTTCTAACACTTGTGGAATCGGTGATTCCAAGAGCGGCAGCCGATCGATCCGGAAAAAATTACCCTGTCTCCACCGATTGGCTGGTGCGCATTGACATACAGGAAGAAATTTGGTCAACACACTCTACAGCTCTGCGAAGAAGCGGAATGTCGGAAGCTGCATAGTGCCGCACGTTTTCCAGGATGGCCACATGCAAGAAGAGTCTTGTGGAAGCCATTTCGTTCAGCAAGCCATTGGAGACTTTGTCACTGGAACTCCATCATCCTCATACTCGCTCACACAAACGAATTGATCAATATGGCAGGCGGAAACTTCGAACTCGTTGCCTTAGGCAACCCCCTTCTCGACATGCAGATCCGCAACGGAGAAGCTATGCTCGAAAAGTACGGTCTCAAGCCCAACGACGCCGTCCTCGCCGACGAGAAGCAGCTCGCCATCTACAAGGACATCGTTGACAACTACGACGTCACCTACGTCGCCGGAGGTGCCGCTCAGAACGCTGCCCGTTGCGCTCAGTACGTCCTCCCTGCAAACTCCACCGCCTACCTCGGTTGTGTAGGCAAGGACGATCTCGCCAAGCAGCTCCAGGCAGCCAACGACAAGGAAGGCCTCAAGTCCATCTACCAGTTCTCCGATGACCAGCCCACTGGATCTTGCGCCGTCGTCATCACCGGCCACAACCGTTCACTCTGCACCAACCTCGGTGCCGCCGAAAAGTTCACCAAGTCCCACCTCGAGACATCCGAGGCTCAGCAGGCCATCAAGAACGCCAAGATCTTCTACCTCGGAGGCTTCTTCCTCACACACGGTGTCGAGTCCGCGCTCGTTCTTGCCGAGGAGGCCAAGTCCCGCGACGTTTCGTTCACCATGAACCTCTCTGCTCCCTTCATCCCGCAGTTCTTCACCTCGCAGGTCGACCAGGTCGTCCCTTACGCCGATGTCATTTTCGGCAACGAATCCGAGGCCGAAGCCTGGGGTGAGGCTCACAAGATCGAATCCAAGGACCTCAAGACCATCGCTCAGGCTATTGCCGACTTTGACGCCGCCACTACAAAGGCTCAGAAGCGTGTTGTCATCATCACCCAGGGCGCCCAGCCTACCATCGTCGCCAAGCGTGGTGACAAGGAGCAAAAGGTCCACGAGACCCCCAAGATCAACCCCGCCGATATCGTCGACACCAACGGTGCCGGTGATGCTTTCGCTGGCGGTGTCGTCGGCGCCCTCGTGCTGGGTAAGAGCATCGAGGAGGCGATCGATGTCGGTCACAAGCTCGGTGGTATGTGCATCGGTCAGGTCGGTCCCATCCTCAAGTTCCCCAAGGAGAACGTTCTCTAGATCAGACATTACCTGGATCGTTCAGTTCTTGTTTCAGCTCGCAATTCAACATAGCAAGTCTAGTCCTGTTCCTTTACACAGTCTTTGTTCGTGCTTTCGCTATCAAAATCGCATCTAGGGTGCTCAACATACCCCCACACTTCCCACACATATTCCTCTCACGTTCGGTGACGCTTCAACAAGTAGGACGTCTGTAATACATTTCATGATGATGACTGTAGACGAGCGCAGCACTTTGGTCGCATGTGATGAAATGACGTTAGGCGCGCAAATTCAGAGTGCACGTTCTACGTTGCGAAGCAGAACAGACTGCATCGCTGGAACGTTGGAAACAGTAGGAGGGTTTTATGATCACAAAGCTTGTCGTGCCTTTGAGGAGCCTTTGGAGAAGGTGATGAAAGCGTGAAGGAGACGATGGAGTGGAAGCGGCAAGGCCGTGATGGGTTGACCACTGCAGAATGACTCAAATGTTCTCGTCATCGATAGGGTAGACGACACCCTTCCTCATCTGTTTGCGCACACACTCGATCTCGTCGAAAAGTCCCGCACGCGCGTTCGCAGGAGGGTCGAACACCTCAAATCCCATCAGGCCAAAAGCACGGCCCATGACGACCGTGAAGTACTTTTCGGGAACGAACCAATTGACCCGCACATTGCAAGTTTTTCCGACCAGGGTGTACACACCGTGTTCGACTGACCAAAAATAGGGGATGTTCGCAGCGGTAGCTTCGAAAGCCTTGAGGCGGTGCTGAGGCACATTGTGGTAGGTAGTAAGGAAGGACTTTGTTTGCTCGGCTCCCTGGCCTCCGTTCTCCAGTCTCGGGAGCTGGACCGGGTTATTGCGTCTGCTGTCGCAGATCCAGCCGCCGCTTGTCTGAACGATAGTTGTGAAGCTGCCCGACCTGCCGGCGTTGCTGGTGATAGTGAGGTTGCAGCCATGACTGGAGGAACCAGCGACATTAATGGAACAGAAGTTGCGAGAATTGTCACTAAAGGAGCCGTTGTTGACAATAGTCATGTTCCAACCATCTTTGATAGTCACGATGGACGACATGGTTCAAAGCAGCGTGACGCTGATGGACGCAGCGGATGTGTGAATCCGCCACGCGAAACAAGGCGCTGAAAGTTGCGGAGAGAGACCGACGAGGCTCAAGGAGTGGCGTTGAGCACAAAGACGCAACGTCGCGCGTGGTATGGATCTGCGGAGCAGGGTCTTATAGTGAGACGAATGTGACGTGCGACGCAGGTATGTTACACCGAGAAGGTAGGGGTGAGTTCCTATATCTGAAACAGTACAATGTAGCGGATGATGGATACGGTGAGAACGGAGGAGGACAGTCGAAGGAGCACTACTTATACACCCGAGATATCGAGATAACGTCGAGCTAGAACCTCCCGCACCCCTGGCTGAGCTGAACCCAAATTCCGCACGTTGTGTCTTGCTCCAACTTCGTGCAACTTTGCGTGACATCTGAGCGTCACAAGGGGCGACGCCAGTAACGCATTACCGCAGTCCATCATCCGTCGTACCTCGGCTTTAAACTTCGGCGTAGCGCACTGCGACATTTCTCAAAGTCAAGGTTTGCGGCCTCTTCCAGAGGCGGAAAGCTCAGCTTGGTCTGCGGAAGGCGCAGCTTAGTCATGGCCTTCTCTGATCGCTTTGGCCTTGGCGGAATGGACAGAACCTTGCATACCAATACAGTGACGAGAAACCATTTCCAGAAAGTACAAATACAAAAGCAAAGCAAGAATCCATGACACCGAAAAGGTCTCTACACCATCTTTCGACCTTCGCCTAACCCGATCATCGACGTCACCTCCTCAGCAACCAGTGAGCTTGTTCTTAGGCCACTTGTAGGGATACACCGTCTGTTGTATCAAGGAAGAATAGAAAAGGAGCAAAGTCAGCACATGAAGGATCGCCAAACATACGTGCAAGAAAACAATGCCAACTTACCAGATTGTTGTTCGTGTAAAGCTCCATGTGATCAGCGATGTACTGAGCAGTAGGGTGGTCAGGTGGGTCGCACGAGATCTTGTCATCTTGTCCATCCAGCTGGTAGACCCTGACGTAGTCGACCGACATCTTTGCCGGGAACTCGACGCCTCCAGCTCCGAAGTTGACACGCTGGAACGTCGGCGACATGCCCAAGTTCATGATGATCGACATAGGCTCGACCGAGATGGTGCGGATACCGATGTCCATGGGCGGATTCGCGGGCATGGATTTTCCGTTGATGGACCAAGAAGGTTTGCCGTCGACGTACCAGGTGACCGATCCACCGCCGTTTTCGTTCCAGTCCGGGTGGTATTCAACGCCGTATGTGAGGTACTGGTTGCTGCTGTCGACGTAGCCGGTATCGGGGATCTGAGTGAGGGAGGAGACGGCTTCCTGGTAGACATTTCCTTTGTACGAGTTGATGACAGTGACGTCGGGATCCCAGATCTTGACGGCAGCGGAGGTGTTGATCCACTCGTAGCTCAGGTCGAAGGGTGCGACCTGGTAAGACTGGGATGCGTAACCGTGCGAGACGCCTTGATGGTTCTGAATCTGCGCTTCGAGGATGTCGAGCTCTGGCGACGATCGCGCGACGTTGACGTTGGGTCCAGGGTGGTCTTCGCCGGAACAGGTGCAGGAAGGGGATCGCATACCGGAAAGGAACGAAACTTGACCACCGACCGAATAGGTGCCTGTCGAGTGGATGGCGCCTTCGGGACCAGTACCATTGACCCAAGTCTGGTTGCGCAAGATACCAGCATCACAACCAGCGTACGAGTAGGGCCACATGCCATCCGTCGAACCAGGGTACCCCGGACGACCCAAGTTGCCCATCAACCACAGACCCGGCCAGTAGCCCGAGGTGGCGGGACCACCCGGCATTTTCATCGAGAACTCGATGTATCCTCCCTGGAAGCAGAACTTGTTCCAAGACTGGACCATGCCGGACTGGAAGTTGAGGTTGTGCGTCTGCTTCTGGGTCATGGTCATCACCAGTGCGCCACCGGTAGTGTTGACGGCCTCCGGCGAGTAGTACTCGTAGTCACCGGTGACTCCGTAGTACAGATCCATGGCTTCCCAGAACGGATCATCTCCTGGCCAAAAGGTACGCCCTTCCTGTTCGAACTCGTCGGAAAAGACGAGGTGGTACGATTTGCCATCGGAAGGCGACGTGCGTGTCATTGCCGACGAGGGCGTATCCTTGTCGACGAGGCTGAACAGCGGAAGGTCTGGAACTTGACCTGATCCATTGGTGCCGCCGATGTTGAAGCCGCTCTTGGTCTGGACCTTCTTTTCAAAGTGCGAGATGATGGGATAACCTGCAAAGAGTGCGACGAGACCGACGACGAGGAAGACCAGAGTCAAGACGTTGGCGACACCACGCCACGACATGGCGTGCGAGCGGCTCTCCTTCTTCCAGTCATGAAGATCGTCGTCATCTTCGGGACCGTTGGTGAGGAGCTGAGCGGGACCGCCCATGGCGTACTTGTAGCTACTTGCAGACTCGGAGGATGCGTAGGTGTTGGCGCGCGCATTGGCGACGGTGGGCCTCATACCCTGCTGAGTGACGCGAGGCTGGTAGCTGGCGGTGGGCAAAAGGCGTTGCTTCTGCACAGACGAGCCGCTATCGCCACTGGAGAACGATCCCGAAGTTTGATCGAACGCCGACGCTTGACGATTTGCAGCGGGCGGCTGATAGGTGACTTGTTTGTAGGAAGGCATGTTCTTCGACGGCTGCTGCGAGCCGGGAACGCTGCGGTAATCACCGCCTTTGCGACTCATGGATTATGGCGGAGGGAGATCGATTGCAAGGTCGAGTCCAGGCTGCGTGCTGTCCCAGAGTTGCACGAGACAGTCGCCGATGCGGACGATGGTCGAACGTGAGCGAAATATACTGCGAAGAGAGAGGTAGGGTTGAAAATAGTCGTGTATGTCTCCGGAGGACGTGTTTATGTCAGATAATGTTGAAAGAGTAGGTGGGACCGGGGAGGGTGGGATCAAGAAGGAAGATGAAGGGCGAGCTGGTGAGATCAAGGGGACGTCGAAGGCACTCGCAGGGTACGAGGCGGCAAAGATGGAGCCACCATGAGGCTCAGCGAGACAGGGTCAAGTGGCTAGACTGAACACAGCAGACAGGTCCATCTCGGAGCGACCGTCACAAAGAGCGGCAGTCACGACAGGCAAATGGAGTGGGACCAGACTGCATCCGAAGGCACATAAGGGCGCAAGTGGGCGGAGCAGCAGCAAAGCCTAAATTGCTGCAATGGGGACATATGAAGTCGTGGCGTGCGTCGGGCAGGCAGAGAGAGAAACACAATCATGGGGAAAGTGAGTTCGTAGAACAGTCGATATTTTGACAGGTTGCTGCATCCAGAAGCTGACGACCGCCTATTGTGTGTGTCTTTGCTCTCGCCTCACGCGAAGAGGGGCGGTGCGTCGAACAAGAAGGGCAGGGAAAGTACCAGGGCACTGCTGGAGCGGCGCAGTCCTGCACGATATGCATTCGCGGGACTGTCGATCTGATATACCACTGTACGCACATGACCACTGTGCGAACATTGCTCTTGGTCGGCGGAGCTCAGGAGACGCGGACGAGAACGCGAATCTAATTTGAGCGCGCAGATGGAACGATATGGTCCAGCCCAGGGCATAGTGACCGAGGGGAAGCGCGTAAGAGACAAGGCGACACGACTCGGCAAAGAGTGGGAAGAGAATGGATTGTGTAAAACCGAGGGTCCGGAATGAGTTGGCCGCGGCAACAGAGTCGGCTGGCTCGCCTAAGCTACCTCTCAGAACACTACACACCGCTCTGGATAGAGTAAGTTATACAGTATCCTGCAAGGGTCGCGAAGGAGGGGGGGGATGAAGAGTCGAGCAAGTGCCTCTTGAAATCCGAAGACGAGCGGAGATTGAAATGGATGTCCGCCACTCGTTGGATCGGCACAAGGTACTGTAGTTCGAATCCTTTGCTCTCCGACCTGGGAACTCCTTCGTGTGGCCGATTCTTTGCACTATGTCCCCTTTGTACAAGACACAGAAGAGCTCTCCACCAGAAGGACGATCTCGACAGCTCTCGAATCGACAGAGGTCCACAACGAAGCGCTCGAGGCGGCTAAAAGTGACAGCTCGGACTGAGCTCCTTTTTGCTGCAGCTCCGTTCCTGTGTTGTCAAGGGTTTGGGCTGGGGTTCGGGATAGAGCTCAGTGTTGCGCGCGCGTCTCGAGGACCGCGACAGTTGCCTAACCTCAGGCTCGCTCGAGGCGGCGGCGGGAAAGGCACTTGCATAGACCGACCGCAGGCTTCATTTTGGTTGCATTTAGTTTTTCGGACGTGCATCCAAGAGGTTCGAAAATTAGAAATCGGATGAAAAAATATACAAGACTTGCAGCTTGCAGGCCTGCAAAGTAGAAGTTTCGACTTGCCAGCATAGGACGCAGCCGAGTCGGACAGGAACGTGGTCATCTGCCGCTCGATCGGCATCTTATCCCGATGCTCTATATATCATTTTCGACCCGATCAGATCAACAGCTGTCCGACCTCCCGAACGTGTGTCCGACTTCCCGACCATCGGCCTTCTCCGAGAAAGCACGAGACCTTACGTGTCCTTCGACCATCTCCGACCGGTTCGGAAACGTCGACAAAAACTTTTCATATCCTTCCGGAACGTCGTCGAGTCCGGATGTCCGGCTGAGAATACAACGGTCAAGCTGAATATTGAACACTGTAGCAAGGCAAGACTTGAATGGTCGGAAGCCACGGATCCGGACTTGCGCTCGAGCTTTAGCCGAGAAAGCCACAATTTGGCAAGGGTCGTGTGGACGGATGAGAAGGAGCCGTGCCTGAGCTGCTGATTGTGTGTGCGTGCATTCGGATCGTCCGGCGAATTTCGACCAAGTCGACGAGTGCAGCCGAAACGTGGTTACTTTTGCCGCTGATATAATTGCAACGTCCTTCCAAAAGTCGATCCTTCTTCACCAACCACCATCTCATCGCTTTCTGCTCACCTCCAACAGCCAAGATGACCGCAACGCATCTCGAAAGTGCGCCGCTTCCCGGGTACGCCCATAGCACCACCACCGTCGAGACGGTCCCCTCGTACAACGCCGCTAGCACCACCGCCCCATTCCCTGGAAACCTTCCATGCTCGCTCACCGTCAAGAACCTCGACCGCAAGCGTGACCCCATCCTTTTTGTTGATGAAGCTGGCCGCGTCGTGTTCGAGTTTATCCAGCTCGAGTACTCTCGCGAATCCAGCTTTGACAGCTCGCTTTATGGCGAACTGGTCAGCAACGCAGGAGAAATCTTTGCGTCGCCCGTCAAGCTCGTCGTTTCTGCAAAGGACACTATTCCCTTCGCCGTTCGAAAGCACGTCGCTTCATCTACCTACGAGATCATCGAACTGGAGCACGACGGAAGCTTTGGCAAGTGCACCAAGATCACTACGAAGGGGCTCTTCAAGAACAAGTACCACCTCGAAAGTGCGTCTGCACCATCGTCGCCGCCAGGAACCCCCAGCTCGGACGACGTTTACATCAAAGGCTCTCTCAAGAGTCTCAACGTCTCCCTTCGTCGTAACGCTGATGGCCAGAAATCCACACTGGTTGAGCTTATCAAAGGCGTGCATGCCACCGTAGCCCACTTCGATTCGTCCATCACATCCCTCCCCAGCTCGTTCTCGATCCCATACCTGGTAGCAGCTCTCTTTGCCGCCATCGACAGCCACCGTGAGCACTACCTCACCTTCACCACCAACGAAAAACTTGATGAGCTCCAGGCAAAAGTCCGCCCTTCCACGTGGGACAGTCTCTTCTTGCAGGCAGGTCAGACGAGCAAGAAGCAGAAGGAATTCTCGCAGCAACTAGAATCGGAACGTGTACGGGAGTACAACGAGGCTGTGCACAATAAGGGCGCTTTCCCGAACGGTTTTCTTCCTGCGCAGCGTTCCAGCTCGAAAAGCAGGTCCAGGTCGAGGGCGAGGGCAGGTTCGAGGGACCAGAGTCGAACCGCTAGCCCTGCGCCCAGAACTTTGGGCAAAGTAGTGGATCAGGAGGAGGGCGCTGGTGCTGATGAACAGCGCGGCCGTCGTTGAGGCTGTTAGCGCTAGATGTTTATATCAATGATACCTTTGTTTCAGAAAGTTTGTTCGCAAAATGTGTTGCTGTGTGGAGCATTCCGCTGAATCTGGGTCCTGCCGTCGGAGCATTTTGTCGCGGGTTGAGTACAGTCGTTATGCGTCACTCGCTGCGTTTGATGCTGCTGCGTACTGGGCTTCCACGACGATACTGTACGAGCGTCGATTTTCGCCATTCGCCACTCAAAATTCTGCGAACGACGCCGAGCTGACCCCCCGGCTGACCTTGCCGAGATCCACGATGTTTAAAGCCTTGTGTTGGAGCTCCGTGGGAATGCGAGGTGAAAGGAGCTGTTTTGTGGGTTTGGTGCATAAGGTTTTGAATGAAAGAGGCGTCGTGACACACGTTGAAAGGGGGAGGGTGACGGTGCACGGGTTGTCTTGGGGAGGGTGGTGGGATCCCACAGCACTTCATTAGCTGGGCGAGGAGAGGATGTGGGCGGTCGAGTCGTGATGGGGCGGGTTCAGCGGGTGATTGCCGATACCGTATAAGAGGCGCAGTTGGTGCGTGTCCTTGATGTATCCCAACTTTTGGATCTCCTACCTCCTTTCTAGCGTCGATAGATCCACAACACACAATGAGGTGCGGATTCAGAACCACGTTCATGTTCAGCACGCTGTCCATGCTCCTTCTGCTCTTGGCTCCTTTCGTCGCTGGACTGGATCCGGTCCGACGCGCATCTGGAAACAACGTTGCCGTCTGCAGTGAGTCGTCTTATCTCGTCCATCTAATCGAGACTTTCCTCTTACTGATATCGTCCTGACTTGCCCTCTATGTCGGCTCTCCAGCCTTGCCAGCGAAAACGGATCCAGCAACAGTCTCCAATCTAGTCCGAGGAATCACTTTTACTCTATGCTCTTCTGCCATCCCACCACCTCCAGCAGGAGTTCGTTTCGCCTTCGTCTCCATCACGCCTGAATCCGGGTTCCAACAGCAGTTCTGGGATATCGGGGGAGACAATTTTGACTCTTACTGGTTGAGACAGGTACGTAGCGATCTCACTCATTTCCTCACTTTGCTTCAACCAGAAGTGGTCTGAGCTGACATTGAGATGATTGCACATTTTGTACTTAGTATCTCGACCCACAACTGGGTGGCTTCCAGACCGATTGCTGGGAAGCACCTCAAGCGGGGTGTGCGAAACCAGTTGGTTTGCAACCGCCTGCTGGGATTCCAAAGGGGAGTGAGATGAAGTTGGCGATGGCCCATCCAGCAGAGGCACCGGAGAAAGATGAGAAGCCGTCGGAATCGGGAGATACGAGCGATGCTGATCTGGTGCCTCTGGGCGATCCTAGTCTTGCGGTGTAAAAGGGGTGAAGCACTAAGGGGCTCCAACGGGTTTGGGCAGAAGCATGCAGACACGGGTATCGTCTCAATTCATGCTGTCTTGGTTGCTCTTCGCACAGCAGCCTCAATTTCAGTAAGGTACCAATGTCATTGACGATGTGAAGTCAGCATGAGAGAAGCATCACTCGTCTTGTGCATCACCGACTTGCGTTCTAGACCACCACTCAAATGCTGCGACGTATAGGCGACTCAGTTCTTCGAGAAGCACTTTTCATCAGCATCCTTCAGCTCGTAGCACCTGAACGTCGGTTTGCAATGAGTCTGCTCCGTCACCTCTCGGTCCATGTCCTGTTCGCATGCAGAAAGATCTCAAATGTCAGTCTTCATCACCATTTCCACGTATGCCGCTCTGCAGAGTACTTACGGCAGCGATCACGTCCAAACGATCCCGATGGTACGCAGCATACGTATCGCATTCCACATCCTTGTGGTTGCAGTACACCCAAAAGCTGTTGATGAACTTGTGATGTCTGTTGAAGATCCACCTTCCCAGCTGTTTCGGCCAACTGTCGTGATGGCAGGTTGAGAGTTGCATGTTGCCTTTCAGAGGTAGAGAGGTAAAGTCATCGTCGTACATGCAACGACGTGATTCGGCGGCTGCAAAGGGACACCCGACATCGAAGAACGGTGGTTGTGATCAGAATGCGAAAAGAGGAGGTCGGTGGGGACAGAAAGGCACTTACAGCACGCGAAAAGAGGACGAGATGGTTTCCCGACATCAGTGTTGACGTAGGGAACGGTTTCAACGGTGACCCCGGCGCGAACCACAGTTGAAAGGATGATGGCTGCCAGAAGAGCAGCAAAGATCGATCCGTTGATGATGCGCATCGTTTCTAGACACAAGTGTTCTTACTGGTGGTGTCGAGTCAGAAGTAGCAAGCTAGGTCAGAGTCTAATGACACGGTGAAAGTTTTCATGTCCGGCGTGCTTTTTGTAGCATTCCTTGAAACTTCCTCTGTCGAACGGACAAGAGTGGGCGCTAGGTGTGGCTGAGGATCCGGATCGCTCACGCTGTGCCATCGAGTAGGCACATTGAGGATCAGCGAGTGGGGCTCAGCAGTTAAGCTCGGCAGTTGAGCTCTTTGGCGACTCTCGGCAGTGGGCTGGGTAATGCGGACAGCGTCCCACCTTTTCGTGACCGTCCGGACGGACAAACAAGTGTGAATCATGCTGTTGCTTCATCTGCGCTGGCAGCGAATGAAGTCTCTTCCCGAATTTCGCCACCTCGATGGGTCAAACTTCACTGTGATTGCATTTGTGCATCGAGCGCTGTGGTCGAATGCTTACCGTCAGTGGTTCACATGTTGTCTGCGTTCAAACACTACGTCTGTCGACGCTTGCATGCGTTAAATGACACAAGTCACAAACCCACGGCAGAATTGGTGGAACAGCTTTCGAAATGAAAGAGCGGCTGAGAAGCCCAACGACCGTGCTTAGCAAGCCATTGGAAGCTGACGTACAGAGAGTGCAAAACGAATTGGATAACGGGGAAGTTGGAGATTTCTTCACTGCAGATGCTGAGTAAGTGTCCACCCGTCTACTCATCCTTAGGGAAGCACTTGTCGTCAACATCCTTGACATCGAAGCACTGGATGTAAGCGTTGCAGTTGGTCTGACCGTTGATACCATCGTCGAGGATATCGCGGATCTGGCGGGTGCTCTTCTTGAGACCTTTGTGCTGATCGCAGTCCTCAACGTAGAAGGTGTTGGAGAACATGCCCTTGGCGCTGCTGAAGGGCGAGAGTCGATGCCACCAGTTGCGCACGAAGCCATCGTGGTGACAGGTGGTCAGCTTGAGATGAGGGTCATAGGTGATATCGTTAGTGAAACGAGAGTCCGACTTGCAGCTGGTGGACTTGATCACGCACGCGTACTTGGCATCCTTAGGTGCAGCAGCGGGAGCGTCGGTGACGACGGCAACTCCGATGCCGTCAGCAGAAACGAGTGTGGCGCAGCTGAGCAGGAGCAGTGCCGAGAGGGTGGCAATGAACAGGGTGTTCTTGAACAACATCTTGTAGAGAAGTAGGAATACCAAGAATGGAGAGAGGAGGGGAAAAAGTAGTTGAACGAAGAGGAAGGTAGTTTTCCGATGGTTCTCGAATCTTTATACCTTTCCTTCTGATCGCTCCTTTGGCATGTGCTCTTCGACGACAAGGCCAGCGTCTCACTACTCCTCGTATACGCCGTGGACGGTGATATCACCGCTTGAGGGGGCCACCGGTAAAAATCAATGATACCACGCAACCATCACGCACAGCGAGGCATTGTTGAAGTGCGGCGCAACTGCCTCGTCTCAAAACCCACCTTCCGATGCTATTCTGCTACTGGTTGCAGCGAGCAGTAGCACCAAGCCCTTGCGTCCGCATCACCCTGCAGTCACAAATCCACAGCCCACGCAACGCCGCACTTGATCGACGTCCCATGAACAACTTCAGCATCCCAACAACCCACGACACAGCACAAACAAGCAAGCATTCTTAAACCAATTTCATTCGCAGATTGCATTTTTACAGACCCAATCACATCTACGCGAGGTAGCCGTTCGCCTTCAGCCACTCCTCTACATCCTTGGCGTCCCTCTCGACCCACCTGGCTTTTGCCCTCACAGCATCTAGACCCTGGCTGAGACCCATGCTGAACTTGGCCGTGTCCTTGTCCTTGAAGAACTGCTCGACATCCTTTGCATCCTTCTCGGAGCTGAAGGCGCTGAACGAGTACTCGATGAGTCTGCTGAGCGAAAAGTTGCCAGCAAAGCGCTTCGACAAGACGTCCCAGCGAGACTTGGTTGCCTCCCAGATGACCCTTCGTCCCTTGGGGTTGGCGCTGAGCGCAGCAAAGAAGTACATGAAATCTTGCTCCTTAACCTCGCCGCCGTAGAGGAAGTCTACAGTGCGCTCGAGCACCTTTTCGTCGGAAGAGGCGCCAAGAGCAAGCATCGATGCAATCTTGTGCGTGGGTGTCTGAGGCTTGCGGTAGATGGTCAGCACAGCCTCGTACTCCTTCTCGCCTCCGTGCTCGACGGCACGGCTGAAGACGGTGCGGAGCAGATCGGGGTGAATCTGGCTCTCGTCACCGGTGGCGACGTACGCGTCGAAGCGCTTCTTGATCTCGGAGAGCGTCCAGTCGTCTTCACCGCTGGCTGCAGCACCAATGGCGATAGCGCGCAACTGCTTGAGATCCGGCGAGTCATTGGGGCCGAACTCAAAGCCGAGCTTCTTGGCAGTGGGGCCAAAGATGTCGGCGCGCAACTTCTTGATGGCGGTCTGCACCTTGGGATCCTGCTCCCACCAAGCGCTGCTGAGCGTGCCGAGGTTGAGCCCAGAGGCCTGGTTGACGAGGTAAGTGGGGTCGTTCCTCAAAGCCTTGAGCAGCGAAAGACCGCCAGAGGTCTTGCCGTAACCGGCGGTCGCGAGGGTGAACGCGTCCGTGACAAGGCCGACGCGGTCCTCCAGCGAGAAGGCCGAGTTGGGCTTGGCGGCCTCCTCACCGAGCTTTGCAAGGCGCTCGGGCGAGTAGGCGACACGGTAGACACCGATGGTCTCTGCATTCAGCTTGTAGGTGGCGTCCTTGGCGTTGGCGAGGGGCAGCTTGATCTCGCGCTCGCTCTTGAGGACAGCGTCGCGGTCGACCGAGACCTTGCCGTCGGCGCCGACGGTCTTGAGCATGAGAGGCACGTGCCAGAGCGTCTCGTCCTCCTCAGGAGTGGGGTCTCCCGTGGAGAGGAATCGGTTCTGCTTGATGCGCAAGCCATCGGCCTCTTCGGTCACGGTGAGCACAGGGAAGCCCTGCTTCAAGATCCAGTTGGCCATGATCGAGGCAATATCTTGACCCGACGACTCGCTGATACCGTTCCAGAGGTCTTTGGTGACCGCATTGGCGTAGAGGTGCTTCTTGAGGTAGATCGAGACACCCTTGAGGAACACATCCTCGCCGATCATGTTTGAAAGCATGCGGAGCACACTGGCACCCTTCGAGTACGAGATGGCGTCAAACACCTGGTTGATGGCATCTTCGACGTTCTCGCCTTGGAGAGGCACCTCGATCGGGTGACTGGAACGCTTGCCGTCGAGGTCAAGAGCGCGGTCAAGGTGGACGTTGATGAACTCAGAAGCCGACTCCCACTCGGGGAAGCATCGGTCGAGGATGACGACCTCGCCCATCAGGGTGGCAAAGGCCTCGTTGAGCCAGAGGTTGTCCCACCAGTCTAGGGTGGCAATGTTGCCGAACCACTGGTGAGCCACTTCGTGCGATTGGACACCGGCAGTACGCTTTTGACCTTGAAGACCTGATTTCTCGGGGTCGTAGAGGTAGACCGAGGTTCGGCCAGTAATGAGACCCCAGTTCTCCATGGCGCCAGCATCAAAGTCGGAGGCGACGAGCGTGTCGAGCTTGGGCAAGGGGTAAGCGACGTCGAAGACGCGTTCGTACTCGGGCAAAACCTTGACCTTGACGTCCAGCGCGTACTGAGCCTGGTGAATGTATTCGGCAGTGGTGTAGACCTTCATAGGGATGACCTTGCCAGTCAGAGGGCTGGTGTAGCTGCTCTCGAGACTGACGAAGGGACCATTGGCCCATGCGACCAAGTAGGTGGACACCTTGGGAGTGGTGGCGAACTCGGTGAGGGTCCAGTCGTTGGAGGCGGTGGAGGAAATTTCGGTCTTTCCCTCAGTCTTTCCCTCGGTCTTGCCCTCGGTTTTCCCGGCGGAAAGCGAAGCCTGGTCGAGACCGAGCTCCGAAGCACGAAGAAGCTTGTCCTGCTCGACCTGCGAGATATCCTTGGAGCTGACGACGTTCATATTGGCGAGAGCGGTAGTGTCTTTGCGATGGATCATGCGGAATGTGTAGGTGGCCTTGAGGTTGGGCTCGTCCCAGGTGGGAATGGCACGACGAGCAGCGGTGGGCTCGAATTGGGTGAGCGCGTAGTAGCCCTTCTTGCCTTCGTGTTCCCAGGTCGAGCGGTAGTATCCCATCATGCTATTGTCGATGTCGCTTGCGAAAGCAACCACGAGCTGAGCCTTGGAACCTTTGGGAAGGGAGTTGGGGAGCTTAGCTGTAGCACGCTCATGCTTGTTGTCGATGTCGAGTGCGACGATGCTTTTGTTGTCAGTCTTGAGCGCCTGGCTGAGCACGAGCGACTTGCTGAGGTGAAGCTTGGAGGCCGCGTTGAAGACGATCGAGTCGGTATCCTCGAGCACATCAAGGTCGATCGTAGCGGTTCCGGAGAACTGCAAGGCCTCGAGGTCGGACTTGAGCGTGATGTCGTAGTGGGTAGGGACCACACTGCGCGGCAGGCGGAACCACTTGGAGGCGTCGGAAGCGTCGGTCATGGTGGAGGAGACAGGAGCGAAAGCGGGATCGGCAAGGGTGCAGGTGGCGTGGCCTCGAGAAAAGAGGGAGGTAGTAGCTGCACGGAGCGACTGCCAGAAGGTGGAAGTTGCGTCAGAGGGCACGAAAAAAGCGAGCAGGGCAGCAAAGAGAGAACAAGCAAGGAAGAGGTGAGCCTTTCTGCCAAAGGAGATATGGAGAGCACGCATGCCTCGCCTGCGAAACGACGTTCTGAACAGCGTGGAGATCCTGCGATCGTGAAGTGTGTTCCGATGAGAAAGATTGAGGAGGTGGCTTCATGCATACCTTTGCGAGTTCGTCCGAGCGGTGTGAGCGTAGAAACGCTTTGTTGCCGCGGAGCGAGGATGCGGAGGTCCTGAACGAGGTTGAGTGAATTAGAAGAGAGCGGTGGGAACGCGAAGCGGGAAGAGCGCGAACAGCGGATGAAAAAAGGAGTGAAGATGGTTTCATCTGCACGCCGGTTTGGATGGTGGGCACAAAGCAAACAAGCAAAGCGAGGGCGTTTATAGAACCAGAGTGGAGCAAGCGAGCAAACGTCAGCGCGAACTCCAAAGCAGATTGCGAGCTAGCCTCGAGTGGGTGTCTGCCACAACTTGGGAAATCTGAGAGGCACTTACGCACAAACCAGACTGGTTGACGCGGCCAGCTAGTGTGGAGAGAAGAAGAAGGAAAAGACGCGCGTTCAATTTGAGAGATGGCTCCTGCGCAACCAGCGAAGACTCGATTCGTATCAGCGTCGCCTCCGCGATTGCTCCAGATTGATGGCGTTCCAGAGACAGTGATGGTGAGAAAGGTAGAGGTATCCGACGGTTCGAGCACACACATATACACACGCAGTCATGGCACACATCAGTGACGACGCTGACGACGCCCAGGCGGAACACAGCCGTCCGACGAGCAACATAAAAGTGGCAGACGACACTGAGAACTAGAGACATGCAGGTCACGGCAGGCGCTGTTTGTGTTACTTTCTTTTTTTCGTCTTTTTCCCCTTGATCTTCTCTTGGGCGAGCCGACACGGCAGGAAAAGCTCAGTCGGCACAGGGTCCCCCGATCCAATCACACCCTGCGAGCCTGAGTTCTATTCAAGCTCCACGTCGCCGGGCACCTCGCTAGCGCATTTCGCCGTATGCAGACTGTCTTGCCGCACATCTATCTCCACGCAGCGATTGATCCATCGGCGGAGTCTGTTCCGGTCGAGTTTCCCTTAAGGTGACCAATCGACGGTCAGCGCCCTCTCTCCCGTATGAAAGGCCATCTCGCTTCGTTTGCTGCCCGATAATCTGCTTCCTCTTCGTGCATGTCCGTGATAAGCTGGCCACGGGATAGTTTTCCCCTCCTCTTGTCCTTCATCAATCCATCGAACGGTGTGTGCTGTGAAGGTAGTGTTCATTGATTGACAGGCATCTGTGGATACACGCCGAGGCTGAAGAGCATCTACAGACAGATTTTGAAGAAGACAGAATGCAAGAAGGCGGAAACAAGATATATAGAAAAGAACGAGTGTTCGATGTCGGGGGCAAATACCAAGCGATGTGATGCTGTGCTTCATTGACCATAGTAGCCAGGTGGCGGTGCTTGTTGAGGCATGTGCAAATTGGTTGAGCTGCTCATCGCCGATGCTTCGCCGTGGATGCCTCCGGCACGATGCGCCTTTCGTACACGCAACTGCCTCGCGGGCCATCCTGCATACACCGCGCCAGCCTCAGCGATCTCGCCCGACGCCACTAGCGTATGCTCGAGAAGCATCGAGCGAGGCTCCATGCTGGCTCCCGACAGCAGACGACTGCCCGTACGCATCGCACATCCGTCGCCGATTCGCAGCTTGTTCAGGCTGAAGCGACCTCGCGAGTTGATGTGTGCTACCACAGAGCAGTCGTCGATGCTCACCCGATCGCCCATCGAGACCAGCTCGGGCTCCGTCAGCTGCAGCGACGGTTTACCGCCCGCCCAGATGGCGCAGTCTTTGCCGATCTTGGCGCCCAGCGCTCGCAGATACCAAACCGCAAACGCAGTACCGGAAATGTTGCCGTAAATGTGTCCGCCAAAACCGCGTCCGAGCAGCTTCTGCAGCGTCAGGTGGAGCTGCCAACGCTGGCAGTACGACGACTTGTCCCAATCGTAGCGACCCTCGCGACGACGGCCGATGACGGCCCACTTGGTGGCGATGGTCCACATGAATGCCAGCAAAGCCTGGATGGTGAGGATCACCACAAACAGGATGGCGATCACGCCGTAGATCAGTCCGGGACGCCACCAGTGGTCGTCAAACAGGAACCCGATCGACGAGTATTCAAAGTGCTTGCGCAGCACGTTGAGCACCAGCACTGTGCCCACCGCCGCCGATGCCCAGTACGCCGATGAAAAGATGGTCATGCCCACGTTGATCACCACCAGCAACAGGTACGGGAAGACGAAGAAGTTGGCCTGTCGCTTGTAGAAGGCTCGTCCGAAAGGTGTAATAGTTTCCTCGCTGCCATCGCTGGTGAGCCCTTCGCTCTTCTCGGCGGCCGCTTTACCGAAGCTGACCGCTTCGCCGTGCTTGCATCCCATCCACACGCTGCCCTCCTCGTAGTGACCATTGCGGCGAGCCAAGGCACCGGAGCCCATCACACACTGCTTGCCAATGACGGTGCCGGGAAGCAGCACCACACGGTCCGCAATCATGGCGCCGCGTCCAACGCGAACGCGCGCCCAGCCGATGCTGTCCGAGGTGAACACCTCTGAACGTGATCCGAACACGACGTCGTCGCCAATCTCGAGCAGTTCCGGATCGGGACAATAGATGCTGGAACCTGGCCAGTAGACGCGCTTGCCGACGCGCGCGCCCATCGCACGGAAGATGACCGACGTCATCTCGTAGTGCGTACCCAGGATGGCGAGGGCGCGACGTACGCGAGGCTGAGAGAGAAGCTGCTGATTCATCCATCGACGGAAAAGCGCATACTGTGTGGCGTTGCGCATCGAGCCTTCCTTGTTGATGCCGAGCAGACGCTTCACGAGAATGCCGAGGGCAAGGTTGATGAGCGGCGGCATTCCGTTTCGCACGATACGGGCGACGTAGTGCCAGCCGATACGACGCGGATAGGCGAACCAGGCGATGACACCCTTGACGCTGTCGTGGTGGTCGAACGCGAACGGCTGCGAGAGGAGCATGAACAGAGATGCGAACCAGGGCACGAAGCAGGCGAAACGGACGAGGAAGATGATGGGCCATCCGATCAGCACCATGAGCGCCCAGTGCGGCTGAGGCGCGTTGTTGCGGTTGTAGGCGGCGTACGCATCCGACGAGGGCTCCTCGTGCGACGACGACTGGGGGCCCCAGACAGTGCCGTCGGCCAGCCTTGCGCCGGGCGAGATCTGGGTGAACGTATTGACCACACAGTCGCGACCGACGATGATGGGCTCGAGCCTGAAGTAGCCATTGCGCTCGACGCAGAAACCTCGGACGAGACACTTGTCGATGCGGGCACCATCGTGAATGGTGATGAGGTCGTGCTCGGCAATCTTGGCGAACTGGTCGATCTTGACGTCGGAACCAATCTGCATACCCAGCAGGCGGTAGTAGGTCTTCTGGAGGCCAGGCGTGAGGGCAAACAGTCCTTTACCGGCAGTCTTGAGAGACTGGTTGACGATCCACCATCGCAGATGATAGTTGCACCACATCGGATACTTGCCCGGGCGGTAGCGGCCGATGACGATCCACTTGAACGCGATGGCGGTGATGGGGCAGATGATACGACTGGTAAGCCTGGCAACCACGATGGATGCGAGCAGCGCACCGACTCGCTCCCAAAAGATGTCACGGATGTAAAAGGCAGAGAAGGCGAGTCCGTGCAAGATGACGGTCCAGGTCCAGGCGGCTTTGAAGGGGTAAAAGAAGAGGAAAGGGATGGCCTGGATGAGGAGCACCCAGGGATGCGTCTGGCTGCGTGGCTTGTAGCCATGGCTCTGGAAGGCAACATCCTCGTCTTCGTCGTAGCGGTGCGCTGCGTACGTGGCGCCGAGAGCGCCCTTGTCGTCATAGCCGTCGAAAAAGTCGTCCTCGTCTTCGTCGTCGAGGCCTTGCTCGTCGTCGATCTGGTCGGCGATGCCTGCAATGGTCGAGTTGTTGAAGAGTGTCGCCACCTCGAGCGACACGCCAGTCTCTTTGCGGATGAGGTGGACGAGTCGACCGAGCAGCAGACTGTTTCCACCGAGGAGGAAGAAGTCGGACTCTGCCGTGATGGATCCAGCCTCCGTGTCGAGCAGACGCGCGATAATGTCGCGGACGATCAGAGCGCTTCGGGTCATGCTGGAAGCGTTCTGCCTTCGCACCTCGGCCTCCATGGTATCAAAGTCGATCTGGCCGTGGTTCTTCGCCAACGGTTGTCGGAAGACGTGGAGAGGGTTGGGCACGACGTAGCCGTGGAGGACCTGCGCCAATGCTCGGTCGATGTCGGCAGCATCGTAGTCGGCATCCTCCTCGACCTGGATGAAGGCTTCGGGAGAGCCGTCGCGACGCTGACGGACGGCAGCTTCAATGATACCTGGAATGCGGTAGCAGGCGCGCTCGACGGCTCGGACATCGACGGTGACGAGGTTGCAGGGGATAGGCTCGGAAAGAGGAACCTCTTTTCCTGGAGCCTTGGCCTCAAAGTGGCGCTGCAGGGGAGGGACGTCGTCCGAGAGCGGTCCGATGCCGAGACGTGTGCCGAGCTTGATACGCAGCGGCTTTCCAGCCTGGTTCTTGGGGAGATCGTCCATGTAGACAGCCGCGAATGGCCATTTGGAGGGATGCAGGTGAGATCGGAGCATATTGTGGAGCTCGGCAAGACCGACGCGAGGCTGGTTGGGGACTGGCACAATGACGATACCGATCGTCTCCTGAAGAACGTTGTGCTCGATGGAGAAAGCAAGACACTGCTTGACACGGTCCGAACACGCCTGAGTGATGGCCTCCTCAACTTCAAAGGGTGAGACGACCTCACCACCCTTGTTGATAATCTCTTTGGAACGACCGGTAATGTAGAGATATCCATCGGCATCCATGTGGCCCATGTCACCCGAGTCGAACCAACCTTCGCTCGAGAAGGCCGAGGTGTCGAGAGGCTCGAAAGGGTCAGGCGATGTTTCGTAGCCCGAAAAGGTAGGTAGACCTCGCACGGAGACGGCACCGGTCTGACCGACGGGCAACTCGCGCTCCTTATCGAAGGGATCTCGGATTGAGAGGTCTGGACCACAGGCGACACCAGAGCAGCCTGGACGGTCGAGTTGGTAGTTGGTTGGCGGCGAGGCGATGGGCATGCATTCCGTCATTCCGTACGACGGGAGCACGGCGCATCCGGCGAAGGTCTCCTTGAGCTGCACGGCGAGCGAAGGCAAAAGACCACCTGCAGCGTTGGCGATCATCTTGATGTTGGTCTCCCTTGCGGCGTCGATGCCTTCGGGCTTGGAAGCGAGGATGGCGTGGTGCATGGTGGGCGCTGCGTAGTACCAAGTGGCACCAAGCTGCTTGGCAAGCGGCCACCAGGCGTTGGCGTCGAAACCGGCGCACATGATGGCGCTGCCCGCCGAAAACACGGGCGACCACAAGTTTCGGACGATACCACCGACGTGGAAGAGCGGCATCATGTTCATGTTGACGCTTTCTGGTCGGAGGTCCCACGAGTACACGACACAGCAGGTACCGACGATGAGGTGGCGGAGTGAATAGGGTACCACCTTTTTCTTTCCCGAGGTACCCGAGGTATGGAGGACAAGACTCTGGTGTTCGAGGCCGTGAGGTGCCGAGGGACGACGACCGGCAGTAGATGCGATGCCCTTTTGGCCGAGCACGTGCATATCAAAGAGACCGGCAGGGCCCGAGGTGCGAGGCTCGACAAAGATGATCTCCATATTGTCCTGTTCGCGCAAGGCGTGCAACTCGAGCCGATCCACGGCGTCTCTGGTGGTGACGACGGCTCGCGCACGCAGGCGAACGGCATCATCACGCAGTTCGCCAGCGGTGCAGCTGGCGTTGACGGGTGCACATGTGTGGTAGGCGGCGACAGAGAGGAGCGCGAGCGCGTTCTCGGGCCCTGTCGGCAGCGCCATCATGACGCGATCGTTCGGGCCAAGGGGTGCACTGCCAGAGGAACATGGGAGAATGAAGTTGGAGACGAAGGATTTGATGTGGCGGTGTTCCAGCGGTGGGCGAGACAGATCTGGTGACCAGAGAGCTGGACTGGATGTAGAAGGGAGACAGTCGATGAGTGTCGTGATCCTGCCATTGTCCGTGACGTGTTCTGCGATGTGATCACCGAGCGACTTTGTCTTTGGCCTGTGTGGCAGGCTATACAGGAAGCCAAGAGGAAAGTCGGCGCTCATGCTGGGCCAGCCCTAACGCAATTGAGCGTGTGATGAGAAGTAAGGGGAGGACGGCAGATCGGAGACGCCACTATGGTGTGTCAAGCTATGCTGTGATTATATGGCGTGCGTGCCTGTCCCAACGTTGTCGATTGGTGAAAGCGGATGTTCCGACGAGGTTCGAGAAGGAGCTCAGATATGCATTGGTGCGCTGCGAATGGGATCGAGCAGTTCGGATTCGGCGATCAGCGGGTGGTGACGAAGCGTGAGCTCCGATCGCGAGCAAAGCTGGAAGCCGTTGCGTTGAACGAGTTGCAATGCTATCCAATGCGGGATCGTTCCGAAGACAGAAGCTCGCAATCGACTCGAGATCTCGTCTTGGCGGTTGTGATAAACTGTCGAACAAGTCAAGTTGAGTCGGATCGCTGTGCGAGAGCGTGTCGTTATTGTGACGATGGAGGAGTAGCGAGATGGAAGGATCAAATGATGGAGTGCGTGCGACACAAGTTCGACCCAAAGGCGATGCAGCGGACTGATAAATTTAGTGGCAAGGTCAGCAAGATGCCGTCTGGCTCGGCGTGTTCGGTGAGTGAGGGACAGGCAGGCAGGCAGGCAGGCAGATTTCATTCGCTGGTTGCCGATTCAGAATCGCGCCGTGTGCTGCTCCGTGGCGTGCGTGCATGTGTGTGCGTATGTATATTTGTGTGAGATGTGTGTGTGTCTCTGCCGCCTGTGTTTGAACTGGTTTGTTTCTTTGCCAGGCTGGCCGTGCTGCAGCGGCGGTGCGCCTCGATGTGCAGTTGCGCGAGAGTGTGTGCTTGAGTGTCAAAAATCGAGAAACGCGTCTGCTTGCCTCGCCTCGCAGGTCCCACTCCGAGACCTGTCAAGCCATCTGCAGTCAGCCAAAAAGGCTGGCAGTTGACAAGCCAAGTCGGCTGTGCTTTTCCGCCGATGCTCATGGAGGAGTTTCAAAAATATTGGAAAAGACGCGCGACCATGCGACAAGGGGCTGCTGTTGGTCTCTTGGTCCTATTGTACACTGTTCAGGTGCTGAGGAGAAATGAACGGAATCGAAGATCGACGTCGGCTCCCCTTTCCCCTGTCGCTTCGGCACCCACCAGATGTCGGGGGCCCATCATGGGCGTCATCTTTGTTGTCGTAGTCACCTTCTTCTTGTTCTTCTACACTAGCGAGTTTGAGCAACCACCGTGCTAATGGGTTGCAAATAAGCTCTTGGCAACCTGACAAACGATTCTGTCCGTGCTGCTTCTCCTTCCGAAGGCGCTGCAAAGTCTTGCAGAGCTTTGGTCAACAGCTGGACTAGGACACGCCATACGCAACTGCTGCACAGAGCGGCTCCGTTCCGATCGCTGTTGCTGCACTGTTTTTTCATGCTTGCAATGTGCTGTCTCTTGACTGGCCTGGCGGCTGGATTCATGGACGGTCAGCACGGCAGTCATGTGTCTCATTGGCTGCTGTAGCACAGTTAGATCGTGAGAGGGGACGAGCGGCAAATTCTCGCATGTGGGCTTGCGTGATGCAGCGCCGAGGCGTCGAGTGCCAGCTCGGCAACTCCGAGCATGTGTGCAGCGTGGAAGGAAAAAAATCCCGGGCACCACTCACACACGCTGCATCTAGCGGCAGCCGGAATCAAGTCCTCGTGTCACACCCCACGGCGACCAAAGGCAGTCGAAAGACGGTCCCACCCTTTACTGTTTCTTAACTTTACAGGGATAAGGACAGCATTAGTGTCCGGCAGGTCTTTCGGAGCCATTCTTCGAGGAGCTCGCACTCATATCGGCATGAATCCTGGTTGAGCAGTGAGAGAAGGAATCGCTCACCGTCGGCGTCATCTGTAATTTTTCGGTACCACAGTACAGACCTCAACAAGGTGAGAGGTGGTTGTCGATCAGGGGATTGCTTACTGTCCAACTCCTAATCGTTCTCGGGAAGCATCCTGCATACCACCACACGGACATGGCTCCTCGCGTTGGACTATATGCACGCACCATTGAGACGTTGCAGTTGATTGAGTTCATGAAGAAGCATTGGCCCAGCGACTGCGCACAGCATTCGGTCCGCCATAGGAATGTCCTGCACGGCAACGCTCGCCTAAACTCCAGCAGAGCTCAATCATCGCCAAGTTCCGAGGCCTGCGGTATTGCGCATCGAAGCCGGAAAGCGATGCGCACGAGCAGGCTATGAGTCGAGCGTGATCTGTGATTGTTCCGCGCACGCTGCCTGTAGGCGTTCTAATGACACTGGTGCCGATCGAGGGTCAAGTCACATGCTGGCCACGAGCCGCCTCGTGTACAGCAGCCGCTAACGAGTGTTGGAAGACCGAGCTAACAGCGAGAAGTACTATTTTGGTCTTCAATACTTTGATCGGCTTAACATCCATACAGTCTCGAAAGTCTGAAACGGCTTGGCCGCTCCCAGTCGATCCGCACGAGTTTCGTAGCGCCCAGCTTCAGCCAAGCCCACCGGCCAAGGCCGGTCGTAAGGACACCGGTGCAGACAATGCAACACTGGTCGGGACGAGGCGAGATGCTCACGTCGCTGCTTGTCTCGGCCCCGCATTGTCGTCGAGGACCGGTCAAAGCTCGCTCGTGCCGGACGAGAAGGGTGACAGAATTGACCGATGTCTCCCAAACCTCGTGCGAAAACGCAAGCTGACCATCCGCCGCCGTGCGAACGAAGCTTGTCCACGATCACCCCCTCATTGCCATTCCAGCCCTAGAACGACAGCAACGTGGCGCAAGGGCTCTGTTCAGACAATAAACATGCGTCATTGATTGTAAGAGTCTGTTGCATTCCCATACGCAACGAGGAAGGGGTTGAGAGGGGGAAGGAGAAGAAGAAGAAGAAAGAACCGAGCCCATTGTTCGAGCTGCACCGGCTCGGGAGACGAAGGGTGTTCCCGGACTCGTCGGCAGTGTTCGGTCTTGAAAAACGAAGTGGGTCGAGCTATGGAAGCGAGAGAGAGAGAGAGAGAGAGAGGTATCAATCATTTCGATTCGTTTCTGTTCTTTTGGCAATCTAAGTTGACTTGTTCAAATGGGGTCAGCCGCGAGACTAGATTGAAAGATACTCGGAAGCCTCTCCTGAATCCCCAAAATCTACACATAAATTTCGTCACCGCTAAGATCTTGCGTTTGTGTGGAGTCGCTTTCAACTCGACCACGGTCCGAAGCAGAAAGGGCTGGGCAAGCACAGTTGTAACTTACACGGCACCGGCCATTGGCTGCGTCCGTCTTGGCCGGATCTAGGTCTCGTCGGCTTCCCCGCCTGCCAATTTTGGAGCGTGCGTCACTCCGCCTTTCGAGCTTCGAGCGTTGGAGAGAAGGAAAGCATACACCCTTGCAGTCAACGAGTATCATCAGTCTGGAACAACCGGTCCAGCCGGCCGGTGTGGTCCTTTTTTCCTCCGTTCCCCATTCACAGCGAGGATTACCAACCGATCCGTCCCCGTCCTACTTCTTCCTTATCTTCCTGTACTTTGTAACCCTTCTCATCTCCATCATCATCGCTTCGACTTCAGCTACCAAAGACCCTACCCCTCCTCCTGTTCGTCAAGACTTGCGTTTCCATCCGTCTCCTTCTTCTGGACAGGCTCGCCTTTGACTCGCACGTCACCGCGGTTGCTCCTTATGACACTCCTCGGCCTGGCTCGTTCACACGCACGCTCGTCTGCTTCCCGAATTGGTCTCACCGCTTCCACTTCCGCATCCATCGTTTCTAGCAAGACTTTTGCTGCCAGTGCTTCCACCGCCATGTCGCGCTACTCATCCACCTCCACCAAGAGCGGTGGCATCGGCAACGGACCCATGTACGAGGGTCAGAGCGCGATGCCGCACCTTCCCGTGCCTGCTCTCGAGCAGACGCTGAAAAAGTACCTTCGAAGCACCGTGCCGCATCAGACCAGCGAGTCACTCGCCAAGACTGAAGCAGCCGTCGAATCGGCCCTGTCGGGAGAGGATGCCAAGCTCGTCCAGACGCTCCAGCAGCGTCTCGAGGATCGTGCCGCCAAAGAGGGCCGCGAGAGCTGGCTCAGCGAATGGTGGAATGATGCCGCCTACATGGCCTATCGCGATCCCGTCGTGCCGTACGTCAGCTACTTCTACGCCCACAAGGACGACAAGACGCGCCGCACCGGTCCCAAGCGTGCCGCTGGCTTGCTCAAGGCTTTCCTGGCCTTCCGCCGATTGCTAGAGACCGAGCAGCTGGCCCCTGAGAAGGGCAAGGCCGGTCCGCTCTGCATGAGGTCGTACAAGTGGATGTTCAACTCGAACCGTATCCCCGAAAAGCCCTCGGACACGGCGGTCAAGTACGACTGGCAGGCCAACAACCACCTCGTCGTCCTGCGCAACGGTCACTTCTACGAGTTTGACCTGGTCCACAACGGCGAAGAGCTCAGTGAGGCCGAGATCGAGTCGCAGCTGCAAAAGATCCTTTCGGATTCGGCCTCGAGTAAACCGGCTCCGCAGCCTATCGGTGCTCTTTCGTCCAACAACCGTGACAAGTGGACCGACTCGCGCAAAGCGCTCGCTTCCATCTCTGGCAACCAGGAAGCGTTGGAACGCATCGACAGCTCGGTGATTGTCGTCTGCCTCGACGAGACCGCACCTCACAGCATCGAGTCGACCGCTTGGGGTCTGTGGTGCGGTGACGGCAAGAACCGCTTCTACGACAAGCAGCAGATCATCACTTTTGCCAACGGAAAGTCCGGATTCATGGGCGAGCACTCGATGATGGACGGTACCCCGACACTGCGTCTCAACGACTTTGCCATCCAGGCTTTGCAAGCCGGCCAGATCGACCTGGGCAGCTCGAAGCGCACTGATCTGCCTGCGCCCAAGCAAATCCAGTTCAAGACGGACAAGACTGTCGAGGCTCAGATCGAAGAAAGCATCAAGGACTTCGAAAAGCTGATGGGCAGTCACGATCTCTCCATCCTGGACTTCCAGGGTTACGGCAAGGGAGCGATCAAGAAGTTCAAGTGTTCGCCCGATGCGTGGGTGCAGATGGTGATCCAGCTCGCCTACTTCAAGATGTTTGGCAAGCCTTGCCCCACGTACGAATCGGCGCAGACGCGAAAATTCAAGTGGGGACGTACCGAGACCATCCGTTCGGCCAGCGTCGAGTCCCTTGCCTTCTGTAAGGCTATGGAGTCGCACGAGGCTTCGGACACGGAACGATACGAGAAGTTCCAGGCGGCTGTCAAGCAGCATCTCTCGTACGCTACCGCAGCTGCCGACGGTCAAGGTGTCGACCGTCACCTGTTCGGTCTCAAGAAGCTGCTCAAGGAAGGCGAAAAGGTGCCCGCCATCTACGAAGACCCTGCGTACGGAGCGAGCGCAACGTGGAAGCTGTCCACCTCGCAGATCTCGTCCGAGGTGTTCGCCTGCTGGGGCTTCGGTGAGGTAACACCGGAAGGCTTCGGTTGCGCTTACGCTATCAAGGAGAACTCGTTGACCCTCACCTTGACTTCGCTCAAGCTCGGTGCGTCCGACTTGCGACACTACATCAACGAGGCTGCCGTCGAATTGCGTGACATGCACTTGAGGCTGCAGCAGAACGAGGCTCCTAAGAGCAAGGCTTGATTGGGCCGAGGCGAGGTGATGCGAGGCCTGCTTTTCGTCACCCGGCGTTCGTATCTTGTACATGAAAAACTGCTGTTGCAACTATAATAGACTGTTCAAAACCGATGGCAAAGCGTGTTGGGCAGAGCATCCTTGCGCCGTGATGTGTTTTAATGAGGAAGTGATTTTGTGCCCCCTTTTTTTGGAGTGACTTTTGAGGTAAGTTATGTGGAGCTGTGGTGTCGGAGAGGCCGAAAAATTTGCCGACGTCAGGGTTCACAGATTTCTTCTTGCGGAATGTGTCTTTCCACACGACCAGCAACCACGAACATGTCGCCGGCACACTAAAGGATCTCGCACTCGGAAAGCTTCTGGTCTCGGCGGTCTAACGAAGCGATACGAACGTGGTTGTCGGCAAATCAGACCACCATGCTGCGATCCTTGGCAAAAGCTGCGTCCGCCCAGGCAAGTAGAGGGACCGGCTTCTCGTCGTGCGGTGTCCCACGATGCTGTCTATCGTCTGTGGGCGATGTAGCTGGAACTTCACGACGGAGGTCGTCACACATGCTGTATCCAAGTCGAACCTTCTCCTCGTCGTCATCTACAAGAGTGGACGGAAGTGTCACTAGTACGCTCGCAGACGAGTCGTCAAGACCATTGAAATCGAGCTCTGATACGAGCTCGTCTTCTCCAACCACGGTCTCCACCCCAGCATCGTCCTTCGTCCCACGCCAACACTTTCCCCTTCCGTCCACCACCCCATCCTGGTACGCCGGGCACATGGCGCGAGCGATCCGATCCATGCCCTCCCTGCTCGCCCGGTACCCCCCTCCCCTCGTCATCGAAGCACGCGATGCCCGCCTGCCACTAACCTCGATCAACCCGGTCTTCGAAAAGCTCCTCCGCAAAGCACCCACCGCCAACGACCATCTCTCCACACCATCATCGTCCATAACAACGTGGCGCAGTCGACGGCTCATCGTCTACCTCAAACGAGACCTCATCTCCCCCACCGTTGAATCCTCCCTCCTCTCATCCCTCCAACAGATCGACCCGCACCAATCTATCCTCTTCATCGATACGCGGTCCGACCCAGACATCAAGAAGGTGCTCTCCTGGGTCAACCGTCAAGCACGCATCATCCACGCCGACGACACGGTGCATCGACCGGCGCTGTCGGAAAAAGCCGAGAGGAGAGCGAGGAAGGGTCTTTCCGGTGCGTTTCGTCACACGCCTACGCCGGAGGAAGGCGTGAGGCTGTTGATCTTGGGAATGCCGAACGTGGGCAAGAGCAGCTTGTTGAATGGGCTAAGGAGGGTCGGAGTGGGGAAGGGCAAGGCGGCCAGTACGGCGCCGCATCCGGGGCATACGAGGAAGTTGACGGGTACGGTAAGGATCAGCAAGGCCGGTCCTAGTAAGGAGGTGGAAGAGGCGGCGATGGTGAAGGGCGGTAGAAGATCGAGAAGGGAGGCAAAGGAGGAAGAAGATGCAGAAGCTGGTTTTGTCATTCCGAACGATACAACAAACGTCGATCCTTCCGATGGCAAGGGGGATAAACCAGTAGATCCACCGATCTACGTCTACGACACCCCGGGAGTCATGGTCCCCTTCCTCGGTCACGGCAGCAACGGCTCGGAAAGAGGTCTCAAACTCGCCATCACAGCTGGCATCAAAGATTCCCTCTTCGACATCCAGCTTCTCGCAGACTACCTGCTGTATCGTCTCAACCTTCGCCCCTCCAGCCACGCTACCACCAGCTCAGACTCGCAACCGGTCGCCCACGACCACCTGCCCCCGTACATCCGCAACCTGCCACTCTCACTCGACAGCTACCTCTCGACGTGCGCCGATCCGCACGGTCGGACCAACTCGATCGCCGAGCTCCTCTGGCACGTCGCCGGCAAAGCGCCCGGTTCGCTGCGCAAGGGCAACGTTCGGGATCTCGACGCAGCGGCGCAGTTCATGCTCCAACACTGGAGGTTGGGCAAACTGGATCGAAACACCGAGTTGGATCTGAACACCGAGGATGAGGGGGAGATTCGCAGACGCGTCAAGGAGTTCTTCGAGTCTGAGTTGGAGGCGGTTGACAGTGGGAAGGTCGATGGAAGAGATAGAATAGTTAGGAGCGAGAGGGGTGGGGAGAGAGAGGGGCAGAGCAGAACGCAGGCGAAGAAGCAACAGAAGCAGGACGAGATGTTGGCGAGGAAACGCAAGTTGATGAGTAAAGGCATCGCTGTCGGTGCCAAGAAGAGCTTCACTCGTGGTGCACCCGGTGGAGCAAGCAAGAAGAGACGAAAGTAAGACTGCGAGCACTAACACAACGTCAGCACCTCCTTCACTACATCTGTGTCAACACAAAACGCACCCGCAACGCATGTAACTCTATCATCGTATTTCTGATCATCGCTTACAGGACAATTGTCTTTGCAAATCATCAACAGAATCTCATCCTCTCCACCCTCAGTTCTTACCCTTGTACTCGGTAGGGCCGAGCATAAACTCTGGCCTGACGATCTTCTTGAACTCCTCCTCGGTCATGAAACCCAACGCCACGGTTGCCTCCACCAACTTGGTCCCTTCCTTGTGGGCCTTCTTCGCTGCCGCTGCCACGTTATCGTAACCGAGGTGCGAGTTCAAGATGGTAGCCAGCATGAGACTCTCGTTGAGGATCTTGTTGATGGTATCCCTGTTAGCCTCGATGCCGACGACGCAGTTCTTGGTGAAGGAACGGGCACCATCGGCCAACAGACGGATGGACTGGAGGAGGTTCTTGATCAAAACGGGTTTGAAGACGTTGAGTTCAAACTGACCGTACGAACCGGCGACGGAAATGGTGGTGTTGTTACCCATCACCTGCGCAGCTACCATGGTGAGAGCCTCGCACTGCGTAGGGTTCACCTTACCCGGCATGATCGACGATCCAGGCTCGTTCTCCGGCAAGCTCAACTCTCCCAACCCACACCTAGGTCCAGATCCCAGGTATCGAATGTCGTTGGCGATCTTCATCATGGAAACCGCTACGGTGTTGAGCGCACCGCTAGCCTCGACAATGGCATCGTGAGCAGCGAGAGCCTCGAACTTGTTCTCGGCGGTCTCGAAGTGCAAGCCGGTGATGTTGGAGATCTCGGCGGCCACCTTCTTGTCGAAACCGATGTAGGTGTTGAGACCGGTTCCTACGGCGGTACCTCCTTGGGCGAGCTGCGAGAGGCGAGGGATGACGCCCTTGACGCGCTCAATGCCGTTGTCAACCTGCTTGACATAGCCGGAGAACTCCTGGCCGAGGGTCAGCGGGGTGGCGTCCTGCAAGTGAGTGCGGCCGATCTTGATGATGTCGTCAAACTCGGCACGCTTGGCGTCGAGGGCAGCGCGGAGCTCCTCGAGAGCAGGGATGAGCGACTTGGTGATCTGCGTGACCGAGGCGACGTGCATGGCGGTGGGGAAGGTGTCGTTGGACGACTGGCTCATGTTGACGTGGTCGTTGGGGTGGACGGGCTTCTTGCTTCCGAGTTCACCGCCGAGGATCTCGATGGCACGGTTGCTGATGACCTCGTTGACGTTCATGTTGGTCTGGGTACCTGAGCCGGTCTGGAAGACGACCAGGGGGAAGTGGCCGTGCAGCTTGCCGCCGATCACCTCGTCGGCAGCCTGGCAGATGGCATCGGCGACCTTGGGATCGAGACCGAACGACTTGTTGACGGTGGCAGCTGCCTTCTTGAGCACACCAAAGGCTTCGATGAGGGGCTCGGGCATGCGCTCCTGAGGTCCGCCAATGTCAAAGTTTTGGAGCGATCGCTGGGTCTGAGCACCCCAGTAGCGGTCGGCGGGCACCTGGAGAGGACCGAAGGTGTCCTTCTCGGAACGGAACTTGCCCTGCGACATGATGAAGGCGGACGAAGCGAATCCTCGAGCGACGGTGGGGACAGTAGCAGAGGTCACGGTGAGGCGCGGGGCGACTCGAGCGGATGCCTGGAAGTGGTGACGATGACAGCAAGGCGTGCGCAAGAGCAAAAGGCGGTGGTCAGCAAGTGGAACGAGATTGGACGGCGTGAAGATGGTGATGGTGAAGAGACACGAGTGCAGTTCAATGGAATGCGGAGGAAGGCATGCTATATGCTTCGAGCGAGCCGAGGTGGAGAGGACGAGCAAAGGCGTTGGACAAGCGAACGGACCAACCCGTGACCTCGCTTTCTTCGTCAAGCAAGCTGTTCATGCACGGCCGCATCTTTCCGATGGGAGTGCCTTGGGACTTTTTTCTGCGTTCCGTGTTCTCCGCAATGGCTACAGCAGCTACCCCACACTTTCCATTCGATGGAAGCGACCATTCGCAGGAGCACCATTGAAAGGAATGACTTTTGTCTTCTTTTTGCATGAGCTGAATGCTGCGCGGATGATCCGAGCCGAACGTGCGCCAGCCGCCGAAGCAAACGCAACGCTTTGGCCAGCCGAGGCTCGACGTCAAATCGGGCTGCTTTCCGTCGATCCAATTTTCTTATTTTTTCGCTGCGAGTGCGAGCCAGGCGACCGAGACTTCTTCTCGCCAATCCAACCCGCCATCTATCTGCGCCGTCTCTTCCGCTGAACAAGCGACAATCTGTGTTGTTGTTTCGCTCCAGTAGCCGTGCGCGATGCTTTGTGGGTCGGTCGTACTTACCCTGAGGGATCGAAGAGCGATGGATCGAGCAACCATTTTTGATAGTGTGAGCGGGTGTGGTGATCGCAAGAGGTGGGAGGGAGGATGGAGGAAGTGGACGAAGACGGAAAGGGAGTGACCGAGAGCGAGATAATCGGAAACGAATGCGAAGCTTCGTGCGTAGGCGCAGACGCCGATGCGCTCGCTCTCACAAGGCTTTCAGTCTTCTTGCTCTTCTTTCGGAAGCAATCAACACCGGCATCCACCTGCGACGTCCGCTTTCTTCTTTGCTCGCACCTGCATTCACAGCTCAGACATTGCTCCTCACACACGCGCATCCGAAGACCAACACTCGGTTTCGTCGACTACACCCCTTTCTTCCAGCGTGAGGTCTCCTCTCTTCCACCCAACCAGCCAACATGACGCCGTTTGTATTGAGCGATCTTCCGAGTCGTTGACTGAATTTGACACTGCTCACCACTGACTCGAGCGCACAACCATCCATCTGAATGCGCTGTGCACACTGCTTCATAACTCACTTCTCACCCACCAGACCCAAATGATTCTAACCCGCTCGGCAAAAAATGTTTTGATCCGTGACCTTCCGAAATCCACCAACTCACCCGAGCCCAACCAGCGCACGTCGCTAAAGCCGACAAACAAACCTCCACCTCAGCGCGAACCGGATAATCGATTTTCTCACGGTCGCAGTCTAACACTGAAGGATTAAATTGCATGTCACGACACCATGAGCGTTGTTTCGACAGAGTGACACGATGACCCTAGTCAGGAGAAGCCGAACCACTGACTCCATTTGCCCGAGCTACCGGCGGTGCGATTCCCATCTGCCTGCTGCTCGGCGCGGTCGTCGAGCGACACTGCTCGTCCAAACACGTCTTCGAGACCGGTGGGGATTTGTGGCTCCCAGAATCGCTGTGGTCCTAGCTGAAAGTCGGTGTATCTGGACGAGCCGGTGCGCGTTGCATCTTGTTTGAAACTCGCCGCAAAGCTAGCCTGCTGCGATGCTGCAGTCTTCGACCACTGACCTGCCCATGCTGAGGTTTGTGTGGAAAGGCGAGCATCATCTTGATCCGACTCGTCACCCCAAGAGCTCCGCCGGGCTGCATACGTCGCAGCATCCTCCATGACGGCATCGCCGTCTGCGTCACGATCCATGCGGGGCACTCGCATGCCTGGCTCAGCCACGAGATCGTCGTCATTCTCCGGGTCCATATCTGATGCTGCAGATAGAAGGGCAGCTCGATCGTCCAAGCTGAGGCTCGTGAGCAACGCGTCGCTGTGCTGATTTGACGGCTTTGATGATCTTGCATTTGCCACAATAGGTCGTGAGACGAGTTGCAAAGCAGCTGGTACTCGAATCCCAAGCTGAGATGCAGCCATTACCGTCAGCCCGACTTCGCCCAGCAACAATGCTGCAGCTGCCAGTCCTAGAAGCTCTATACGTGTCCTTCCTGTGCTAAGCTCGGTCCACTCTGATGCCGCCGTAAAGCTTCTGGGCGAGAGCAAACCTGAGGTCGCGACAAGAAGCAGGCTGAGTCGAAGGCACAGGAGCATGCTCTGTATCGTATGCCAGAGGGTCAGACCTTTGGCCTCGACACGCAACTGACGAATTCTGGCGCGCTCGATTCGATGCTTGATTGGGTCCACTTTGGAGGCTATCGTGAGAAGCCAGGGTACGATAACCAAGCACGTAAGGCCTGTCGTCGCAGTGCAAAGCGAAAAAGGTGCTCGCTTGGTTTGCTCCATTACCTGATGTACCAAAGCGGCTGTGTTGTGTGGCCACAAAGCTGTCCACAGGTACACGGACCAAAGGCCTACAGTGGCGAAGGCGGCAACGGCCATCGTGAGAGGTGATCCGTTGTCCAGGTTACCAACAATGCCCCGGAAGCTGAAACGAGAACTAGGCTGAGCCAAGTCGCTCGTCATTGGAGCATAGCGCCTCGTAGCTTGCTTGTCATCTGAAGCTGACAACGGCCCCGCGATGCTATCAGCGAGATCCGCATTCGATGCTTCCTTTTTGAGGTCGAGCCACCTGCCCAGACTCCAGCTGCGGGCGAATTGATCTCGCTCGGTGATCCTCTCCTGCACTCGAGGTGCACAGTCCGAGCAGACCGGAGGGTATCTTGAAGCTAGCGAGGCTTCGTATTCGGGAAGATTTCGGAGCTTTTTCTCGTATCCTGGGTCGTCCTCGCTCGGCAAATAGTCTGCGAGCATGTTGAGCGTAAGCACCTGGTTGGTCTGGCATGTGTGACAGAACGTGAAGGAGTTCTTGCTGTGCGGCCCAAGACCTCCGGTTTCTCGGAAACGGTCGGAAGAGGACTGCACCGACGTCGATGCTCGAGGACGCATATGTCGCATCAAGCGGCTTCGGTCGCGGTTCCACGCTTCATCCCACATTGGACGAGTATACTGCTCGACAGGCGTTCCATCCAGCTTAGCGACATTTTGGCAATGACAGCTGGAGCAGAACCAATTTGTGGGAGTGCCAGTGGAGATGGTTGAAGTGGTCGAGGATGTAGCGATGTCATGCGATGGAGCTTGCACAACTTCGATCGAGTCTGTGTCAAGTTCAGATACGCTTTGAGGCTTATACGGGGGCAGAATGATGCTGGTTGTGCAGCAGAAGAAGCATTCTCGCCGCGGGTAGCCGGATGCACCCCTGCCGGTCCACGGCAGAAGGTTCCACATTGGGACCACGCAGTCCTTCCCTTTAGAGCTGATATACCATGTCACGAGCGAGCAGCGCTGGATGTGGATGTTGAGCGTTTGGTATGGATCGCTGGGAAGGTGGTTGTACCAATGGGAGATGAATGCTTTTCAATCAAAACACTCATCAAGCAGATTTCAGGGTCCAATTTCGGCGTTTTGTTGCTGCTGAGTCCGCTTTTTTTCGGGCTGCAGCCGACCAATTTTTCAGATCTTCTCGTGCTCGTTTGGCCTCCACCTCGAACAAACTTGGCCACCCTTGCTCACCACCATCAGCATCACCCGTATAGATAGCTATGAAGGCCGTCTTACGCCCGAGAAGCTCGATTTGCTCTCAGGCAGCTTGTTTCCGCCATGTATCATCCAGCGCTGCTACCAGCTCATCTCGAGCAGCTGCCCTTGCCAAAGCAGCCGAAGCTTCCGCAACTGCTTCCGAACGCCTAGCAGCAGGCGGTCCTCCCATGATGGGTCCATCCTTCACCTCGCGTCAGGACGCCAACAAGCTCGACTCATACCGTATTCACTCTGATCACGATCAAAGGAGCGCACAGCTCAACCTCAGCTCGTCCCAAGCACGTCGCTCCAGAGCCGCTCGATTCGGTACCAGCCGACACGCCACCTACGCTCCTGCGTCCCTCCCTTCTGCCTCCACGATGCCAGAAGAGCTCGAAGACGACGAACTTGCCCTTTCGTACGCATCAACCACAGGCACATCCACCTCATCCATCTATCTACCTGAATACGTCGCTTGGGCCATATCCCAGCTCATCGCTGCTGCCAACGATCCCAAACTCTTACGAGCGGATCACCTCAAGCTCGCGCACCTCACAGATCCGCAGGAACACATGGCGGAAGCAGCACACATCCCACCCAAACGCTCGTCACTCTTGCATCTGGCGACCGTGTCGCCACAACGATACGCGGCGATTCTGGCGGTGCTCTCGGAGGTGCGGCAGAGATTGTCGACTCGTGCGGTGATGGAGGGTGGAGGTGAGGAGCTGGAGGAGGCGCTGCCGAGGTGGCTGCCGGATACGGTGCTGGATTTCGACTGCGCTGCTGGTGAAGGGCTGTGGGCTGCAGCGCACGTGTTCAGACAGGACGATTCCGATCAGCACAGCGCCACCTCTGTCCAGCAGTATCACGGATTCGATCGAAGACCCAACTTGCTCAAGAGCGGGAAAAGGGTGGCTCAAAGCTCCGCGTCCAACGTCTCGCCAGCCGAACCAGCGAAGTCTGCCCGAGAAGTGATACTGAAAGACGAGGGCGAGGAGATCGTTGTGGACGGAGTGACGTACTACGAGCAGGAAGAGCATCAAGACGAAGTCGAACCAGATCTCGAGCAGCAACAGGACGAATCGGAACTCGAATACTTTTCAGGACCCAATCCCGCCATGTCTTCAGTGACGAAAAAGTTTCAATCCGTTCCACTGGCCCGCGACCTCGCCTCCGTCTCCTCGTCCCGCTCGCTCGCACTCTCCGCCTTTGCACTAAGTCTCATGACTAACGACACGAACCGGTTCGAAGCCGTCCAAGCCATGTGGGACTCTGGAGCCGAAGTCATCGTCATCATCGACAGCGCTACACCGCGAGGGTTCGCAAGCGTTGCCTCTGCTCGAGCACAGCTGCTTCAGCTCGGGCAGAAGTCGGACGGATCGCATGTGGTTGCGCCGTGCTCGCACGACAAACCCTGTCCGCTACTGCATCCGTTCAGCATCAGCTCCGCGGTCGCTTCGGCGGTAGGCGCGAGGTCGGATACGGGTAACCCGGCCAAGAGCAGCGACGTCTGCGGGTTCACGGCGAGGTATCATACGCCGACGTTTTTGAGGAGGACCAAGCATTCGGATAAGGGAGAGGAGAATGTCGGGTACAGCTATGTGGTGGTCAGGCGTGGGACAAGGCCGAGTCTTGTGAGCGAGGCGAAGAGGAGGTTGGGCGTCGATAGAGGTGCGAAAGAAGAGCAAGTCAGGGACGTAGTGGAAGAGTTGACGGTGGAAGCGGCGAAGACAAGAACGGGAATTTTGGATCTGTTGAGGAATGCAAAGAAGGCTAGCGCTGAGAGGAAGACGTTGGAAGAGATCGGTGCGATCTCTGCGATCGGTGGAGATGAAGCTATGACGGCGGGTGACGCCGATGCAGCGGCGGTGGGCGAAGGAGAGATGTCGGATGAACATGCGATGGATGAGTTGCTCAAACTGCTTCCAGACGCAGTGAAAGCCGAGTTTGCTGCTTCCTCGTCCGACAATGGCTCCCCCGCTCTCACCGCAGAACAACTCGACTCGATCATGGCTTCCGTCCGATCTACCGCTTCCACCTCTGCTGCTTCCGACGACCACCCAGACCCCTTGACCACCTCCACCGCCGACGCTTCGACGATCACACTGCCCGCCCCCACCTCATCCTCCGAACTCGCCATGAGGCTGGAATCCTACTCCTGGCCACGTCTCATCCGCTCGCCTCTCAAAAAGGGCGGACACGTGACGCTCGACGCCTGCTGTTCCTCGGGCAACATCGAACGCTTCACCATCTCCAAGGCTTCCGGCAAACAAGCCTACCAAGACGCACGCAAGGCCAAATGGGGTGATCTCTTCCCGCATCCTTCGCGCAGTCGTAGTGTCGTCAAGGTCCTGAACCCGCTTACTGCTGTGGAAATGCAGTCTGAGGAAGGGGAAGAGGTGGGGTTGGAGCAGCTTACGTTGAGAGCACCGAGTAAGCTCAACGGTGGGAAAGGAAAAACCGTCGTCATCGGGATGTCCGACGATGACGACGATGAAATCCTTCGCGAACTCTTCGACCACCCTTCCCCCCAACCTTCCTCCGATTCTCCACCCATCCACCTCCCATCAGCTTCCTACGCCCTCATCTCTCCCAACCTCATCACCCCTACCAAAAAACAACTCAAAAAACAATCCATCAACTACTCCTCCAAATGGAACTCCTCCCCCACCACCACAAAGTCAAAACTCTCAAACACCAAAACAAACCTCAACACCCGTCAAACACCTCTCCCTTCCCCCATCGAACACTCCTTCACAAGCTCCCTCTCTCCATCAGATAGATGGGGAGAACAGAAAACTAAGGAAAGAAGATCTTCCAGGAAGAAGAGCCGTGGCGATTGGAATCAGGAGCTGTTCGGAAGGTAGTCAAGCAAAGCACGGTAGAGGCGGAACGGCAAATCGGTATATTAACATCGTCAATGTGTGTGTGTGTGTGTGTGTGTGTGTGTGCGAATGACTGAAACCAGGCGCTGAGCGCTGATATTGCTTCAAAAGATGGTGCAGAGGAGTGTGCTAGCAGTGTGACTCGGGCCGGAACGAGCGGCCCAATGTCACGAGTATATCCATCTGCCTGCAATGGCCTCTTACCCCACGGTGGTAGTGGCTGCAGATACGCGCGGCGCCTCAGCTGAAGGCGACGTGGATCCAGGCGAAACACCCGGAGGGGGACCTAGTGGCAGGGAGCGAGGAAGCGGAGATGTCCGCAAGCTGTTCGAAGTTCTGGCTGGACTGACGCGCTTTCCTGGGCTACCTGTGATGTTGGCAGGAGCAGACAGCAGACCGCCAAGACCAGAAGCAGGTCTGCTGCCGGCACCGTTCTTGCTACCGCCAAGGGAGAGACTGGCCAGGTCGGAATCGAGGCCGGCGTCCGAAGTCTGACTGCTGTTGCGGGACATCTTGCTAGGTGACTCGGCCATAAGACTGGATCTGGCGGCAGCGACGGGATTGGCAGGTAGGCCAGCAATGCCGCTCAATGTGTCGACACCTGCAAGAACACGATTGGCGGGAGAAGGACCGCCGTTGGCAGCATCGAAGAGTGCTGCCGCGACGGGCTTGGGCGGCAGGTTAGGGTTTGATCCGCTCTGTTGGCGTCGATGGCCGAAGGAACGGCCAAAGGAAGGCGTGTGTGCGTGTGTGCGAAGAGGTCTTGAGGAGCTGTCGGGCGTGGAAGGTGCGACGAGCTCGGCAGGCTGTTTTGTCGGGCTGCCCATAACACCTCCGGCATTGGAACGGGAACGCTGTCGGCTCATGACACTGGAGATGATGGCGCTGGCATCGTCTCCGTCGTAGGGCTTGATGTTTGCGGGGACACCATTGTCGTTGATGAGCTGCTGCGGAGGGGCCATTATGGTGCGGAGGTAGGCTTTCTTCGCAGTGGCAGGGTCGGCAAAGATGATAAGAGCGGTGGTGTCATCGACCCACTTGATCTTGTAGCCTCCCTTTTCGTCCTCGTACGCCGAAAACACTTGTTGGAGGTCTCTGGTCTTGAGCTGAGGTGGAAAGCCGGAAAGCTGGAGGATGCGGGTCACCAGAGGCGAAAGGAGGGGCAATGCAGAAGCGACTGACATGGTGAGGATATTTTGAGGCGACGAATCGAAGTCAAGATTTGGAGAGTGAGGATCGAGTTGCGCGAGAGAATGAAGGAGCTCGATGATCGGGACTGAACCCAGGTGATGCTGTGACGGTGAGGGGTTACAATATGCAGAAAGCGGGAATCGGAGTATGGTTGCGGTGCTATGTGTGCTGGCGAGCAATGAGATTGGAATGGTCGAGCAGGCTGGGGCAGTGGACAGAGGACTGAAGCGGTATTGTTCTGGAATAAGATGAATGAAAAAAACCGAAGCGTGGGAACGTAGCGAAAGGATTGCAGGGGCTGAGGAGGGGCGATAGGTATCAAGTGCAAGAAGAGATGGAGGCAAAGGAGGGATGATGGAGTGAAGGTGGCGACAATGACGATGGTGATGAGGGGAGTAATGGTCATGCGGAACTCAGCTGCACAGTCCGGCGCGCAAACACGTCAACCGCAGCCACGTCGGCAGAGTGCAGAGTGCAGAGTCAGTCAGTCACAAGGGCGCGCGCTACGAAATGTGTGAATTTTCATAGGGCACTCCCTGCACCTCAGACCGTGTCGGTGCGCCGTGCATATTTCAATTCTCCTCAGGGTTTTTCCTCGCAAACAGAGCTGCAGCCGCAGACACGCTTAGCTAGCCCCAACCCTAAACTCAGGCTTGTGGTGCAGCAACCCCGGCAGCACCCCGCGCGGCGCGTAGAGTGCGCTTTGTGTTAGAAGAGCACAGCAAGAAAGAACGGGCGACGCTTTGTGTTAAGATGTCACAGATGATGGTCAGCGCCTCACATATCCTGTTTCCTTCAGCTAGGCATTGTCGCCATCGAAGCCGACCCCGGCACGATCAGCTTGGCGGCAGGGCGTAGTGATTTGTGCTCGTCTTTCTTCAGAGTGATACATCACCTGCCACAAGCTCAGCCGCACTTCGCCTAATCAGCTCGAGCTATGAACGGGAGAATGTGAATTGGAAGAATGACGTTGCGCACGGACAACCTAACAAAATCTGCATCTTCCCCCTGATTTCCTTTTGGCGCAAAAGTGTTGTTCTCCCTGCACCACATCAACATGCTGATTCGATTGAAGCTTGTCTCTGTCACACAATGCTATCCATAGAGCCAAGCTCATCTGCAACATGCAGTCAAGCCATGCTGACGTCGAACATGGCATCCGACAGCCCAGCAAAAGAAGGCGTCTGGTAGAGACGCATAACAAGCCTGTCTATGGAAACTTTCAGAGATACTATCACATTCGCAATCCCGCCGACTTGGACTCGAAAGACGGACCATCGAGCTCGATACATCCTGCACTGGCAATAGACAGCCGAGTCACTGCGATTCTGCAGTTCCTTCGGCGTCATTACGAGCACGGCGACCCGCCTCAAGAGCGCCTCAAAGTGCTCGACCTAGGGTGCAATTCTGGTAAACTTACTATCGAACTCGCCCAGACTCTGCCCAGACTTCTCCGCGAATGCAGTTCGCAATCACCACGAGGAAGAGGGTGTGTGAATGCGGCTCCAGTACAGGTCCAGATCCTCGGTGTCGATATCGATGCTTCTCTGGTCAAGCAAGCTAGGACAGCGGCTGCCGTTGCACGGTCTCAACATCGACCCGAACAAGGTGAATCAGTGCAGGAGAAAAGAGACGAACTCGTTGATTCGCACGACTCTCTCCCCCCTGACTGCGTCCACTTCCCATCGGTGTTTCCTTCGCTTTACGGCTGCATCCCTAGCTTCGCAGAGGGTGAAGTGCAGTCTCGCCATGCAATGCGGCGTCAAGAAGGGACGCACAGCGGAAGCATCGCCAGGTCGTCCGAGGATGTGCTTACACGGGATGATGCACAGAGATGCCCCAAGGACGACGATCAGCTGTGTCCGCCGAATCTGCACTTTGTCGCGCTGGATTGGGCGGATCCAGAGGCTAGACATGAAACCCTGAATCGCGGTGTGGTCGACACGAAAACCCTAGGAGAAATGGAGAAAGGCGGGCTCGACATGATGCTCGCTCTCTCCATCACCAAATGGATCCACATCCAAAAGGGCGACCCAGGTCTCATGCTCTTCTTTGCTCGCATCGCCGATACTCTCAAGCCGGGAGGATTGCTTTTTCTCGAACCGCAGGAGTGGATCAGCTACCACTCGGCCAAGACCCTGGATCACACAATCAGAGGCAAGATCAAGAGGCTCCAGTTGAGACCCGGGGGCGACTTTGAATGGTGGCTCTCTACTTTTGGGCTGCAATTTGAAATCGAGATAGGGCAGGGGAAAGGATTTGGATTCTCTCGATCGCTTCAAATGTTTCGCAAAGCATCGGTGGAAACAGATGAGGTGTTGGAGGCGAGCTGTTTGGTGGAGAAGCTGTTGAAGGACAGCGAGCGATCTGGAGAGCCGAAAAGGCCGATCGAGCTGATCCCGTGGGTCGCGAGATGTGCTTCGTCTTCTCGCGTTGGAGCGAGCGCGTTGTCGACCTCAATGTGAACGACGTTCTTGCAAGACGCGCCTGTCTGATTGCGTGCCTGAAGAAATGGCGTGATGAGATCTCGGAGGTGAGGGCCGAGCATTCTCAGGCGACAAGCAAGTGACATCGACGGCGACACGATCTAATCTGATAACTCCGTGCAGCATCGAGCTGCACCGTGCGTTACACTCACGCATTGACGGAGGTCTACCTCACGGCGATTGAAACGGGTGTGTCACTTTAGCCAGCATGCGCGTGCGTCAGTCTAAGCCATAGGTTCACGGATGCGCGATGTGCGTGACTCGAGAAAAATGGTCTTGGCGCGCTCTCGGAGTGCACGAGCCTAGCCTCAGAGAAGATTACAGCGAGGTGAAAGGCGCTGTGCAGGGTGGCCGAGAGGGATCATGCAGCTGCATGTGCCGAGCGAAGGCCTCGAAAGTATGAAGCGCGATTTTATCTGATTAGATTTCCCACTGCGCTGTGTTCGGCTGGCGTGATGCAGATGCGAATTTGGTCTCCCCCTTCTTAGCCGAGGTTCAACGTCACCTCTCGGGTTGCGACTTAGGGGCACGGTCGAGCTGGGAGACAATGCTGAGGGTGCAATGGGGATGCAGCCTGCAAGAAATGAATGTACACAAAGTGAGCGAAGGTCTTTGTGGTGGCATGCCCTCCATAATCCCGGGTTCTGTACCGCTCGGAAGGTCCCGTGGAGTCGCTGGTCTTTGGTCGCAATGTCGGCTTGATCTTTGCCCCTTGCTAGCCATAGGATCTCACTCAATCGACTGACAATTTTTGTCTAGCCTCAGGAGGACCGACCAAAGACCAGGCTGGAGGAAACTTCATATCCCTCGCGTGGCGCCCGGCCCACCACAGCCGACTATGTTACGAAAAATCCAGCAAAAAATATCACTCTGCAATCAACGATCTGCGTGAACCCTGTCTCACAGTGCGGTATCTGTGCCTAGCCTCTTGGAAAAATTATGCAAATCGACAGTCACCCCAGGCTGGCTGTGTTTGGCTCAGAG